CCCTTCCTAGAAGTATTAATGGTACAAAGATGAGATCATGGTAGAGATACTGTAGGACATAACTCCCTCATAACGGTTTTAACTTTCACTCATCCATGTTAGAAAGAAACAGGTGGGGAAACAAATGGGACAGAAGAGGCCGAAGGCAGCACTCAATTTGGTGTAAATAGTGTGAGTGCTGTATGTCGGACACCAAATTCTCAAAGTGGAAGGACAGAACTCCTTACTGGCATTGTACATTAAAGTCTCTCTTTGCGTTAACTGAAGCATTTTACCCATTATAGTTATTTGATAGAAACTCTTAAGCTTCAGGTGAGAAGAGGAAACATTCATCTGTTAAGGTGGAGTCAAAGATTCTGAAGAGAGATGGTTGATATTTTAAATCAACACCCAAATAAATCAAAGATACTAAATCAAACCCTCTACTCGCTTCCACTGCCTCTCTACATGCGTCCATGGCCTTTCCCCTCACCTGACCTGTGCACAAGCACAAAAGTCACCGGTTGCTGATTGGCTGGAATAGTTTTCTGTTGCTCAATTTTAGGGCCATGGCTGTGTATGAACAACAAATCTTTTTTTGCGTAATTTGAGCAAACTGCGTCTTCATCTCCAAATTCTCTTTGGAGTCTATTGTTTCATTTTTTTGAGTTTAATGCAAGGGAAGAAAATTGTGTATCACACTTCCCAAAGCTCCAGGTATAAATTGCCTGTTTTGCCGCAGAGGTAAGTAGCTTAAGCACTCAATGTGTCTGGGGTACATGGCAATAACAGGTGTGAGTGTGTTTTCTTTTTGTGCACTTTCTGCGTCTGTCAGGATATCGGACAGGAGGGGCACCTGTCCAGATCCCGCCGTCTTAAGTCCGTACCGCAGGCTGTCCAGAACACTTGCACCGCGGTGGGTGGACCTACGCAGTGTCCCTCCCAGTAGAGATGCAGCGCCTAGCACAGATTGAGACAAATGTGTCTTTGCTGTAGTTCCCGTAGCGTTAGTAGGTTACTGGTTGTTAATTAGGTGCTTTTCATGTGTAACGCTCCAGATTTCTGAGCCTTGGGTGCTTGAGTTTATTTGAAGCTGTGCAAAGATGTACCTGACATTGCAACTAAAACCAACTTTGGATGCACACGTGTGTCTGCTGGTTTTACCTGAAGCTGCCGGCCTGCTAGCTGGCGGTGATCCCAAACGTCCTCCTTCTTCACTAAGACCGTGTCCCTCTGCTTTTATCCAACATTCTTTCACTTGTTCCTCATGATCCTTTTTCTGTCCCAGTCTCTCCCCCCGGATCCTCTCACGTACCTCTCCTCTTGCCCTCCCTAGGTTCCTGAAGGCTCTTAGCTTTGCCTCTCTGGACAAAGAGGAACTCCTAAGTCCCATCAACCAAAGCACTCTTCACCGCTGCTCCTCAGTGCGCTCCATGGTTTCTAGCGCCACCTACGGGTGTAGCGATGACTACGTTGGCCTGGCGCTGCCTCATGGACATCAACGACATGTTCCACATCAGAGAATCGGCTTACTTTCAGCAGAGGATCAGCCCGCCGTCGGAGGAGCGTAAACGCTTCCTCTTTGGTGATGGAGACGGTGAGTTCAGCTTTACGCCTGATTTCAAATTTCAACCATAACAGAGAAGTGTTAACATGTAAATATTTGGTCTGTGCTGAACTTGGGCTTTCCCGTCCGCAGGCGATCGCCCTGCTCTACCGTCGCTGAAACAACAGTTCAGTATTTCTGAGCTGATTGTGTGCCGAGGTGACAGCCAGAACCACACGGTGGGTTCAGAAGAGACGGGGCTGCAGGAGCACACCGAAGAGAACTGCCTGTACTGCGTAGGAGCCAGCGTACTAGGATACCCCACACAGCCGCAGATCAACAGCACACACCCTCGGACAGGTGTGTGTGTGTGTGTGTGTGTGTGTGTGTGTGTGTTAAATTCATCGAAGAATTTAACCAATCCCGGGGTTTATTTGTCTCAGACTTTGTCGACTTCCCGTCATGGGGCGGGCAGAGCGGCCATCGCCTGGAGGTGATGCCTCAGTCCAAGTTCTCCGGCGTGTCGGGCTGCAGCGACGCTGCTGTCTCCCAAAGCTCCGTCTGTAGCACGCCCACACCCGCTGATGTTGTCATGGGTAAGAACACCAATAACTGCAGTTTTGTCATGACGATAATATGTCTAAATGTAATTGGTTCCATGACAAAAGGATTTGCTTGTTGGTGGTGCTTGATATTGTATTTATGGTGACGAATACTGAATATTTGTAGGCAGCAAGGTGATATCCGAAGACGGCCCCGCCTCCCGAGTCTTGTTGAGGAAGGAGGTGCTCCGCCTCATCATCAACCTCAGCTCCTCTGTAGGAACCAAAGGCCACGAAACAGGACTGCTGACGTAAAGCGCTTTATTCTACGTACATTTTTTGAGATTTACGTTCAGTTGGAGAAACAATTGCGACAAGGCCTCATGAGTGTCGTTTTCCTGCAGGATAAAGGAGAAGTTTCCCTATGCGTTTGACGACATCTGCTTGTACTCCGAGGTCTCCCACCTCTTAGCTCACTGCATGTTCCGCCTGACGTCGCGGCGTTTCATACAGGAACTCTTCCAGGACGTGCAATTCATGCCTGTAAGACTTACCCGTCGTCCTGCATTACCTGAGATTCTGCATCTTTTGTGATTGCCATTCCATGTATTCTATCCCTATGTCCTCTTTTCAGATGTATGAAGAAGCAGAGGGGATCCTGACGAAGCTACCAAAACCCGTTGAAGAAGCTGGTGTCTCTCCTGAAGAATCCTGACCGTCCGCTCCCTTGTGTTCCCTGCAAAGCCTCGGACCTGCCACCCAAAATGGAAAAACAGCCGACAGTAAATAAGTTATAGGGTTGGGAAGGCGTCTGGCAAGTTTCTGTTCCTACCATAGCTAGGGAGGCGAAGGTGGTCAGCGCTCGCCGTCTTTGGAAACTGAACGTGTTTATCTCTAAACAAAGATTTAATTTCAGATTTAATTTAATTTTTAGATTTAACCCGACCCACCTAATGCTGTTTAAGATTTTTTTTTTTTTTTTTTTAACAGGAAAAAGGGGTAGCGGTTTAACCAAATACTGTTTTCAGATATGTTGGCACATCTTTAGCAACACTCAATAATACATCAACATAATGCTAAAGGAGAAAACGGTATTATTAACACAAAGACTTGCGTGTTTAAAAGAAAAAAAGGTTCTATCAACATTTTATCTCTTACCAGAGGCGGTGTTTTTTTTTCTGTAATGACGTGAATAAGGCATGTTGTTGTGTCGACCTAGTGATTCCTCGGACCCCTGCGTTCTTTTTTCCTCATGAAACAAAACACTACAGGAGGGGTCCTGCTGTTTTTAAAACTTATCTGGAGCCTCCCTGGTTCATATTCCACCCCGACTTGTGATCTGTTCTAGCCAGATATGTGCTTTTGCTTCTCCTGCCTCGACACTTCCTACAACCTGTAGCCTCTCGTCCGCACAGACAGCCGATTACTTTTCTATTCCTTGTATCTCAGACAATCAAACATCACAAGTATTTTCTAAAGCACTATATATGTCACCCTTAAACAATACGTGAGGAGAATAGCATGTAATTAAATGCTAGTTAATGCCATCCTTTACTTGCCTAGGACCTTTTTTAATGTTATTTCTTCAGACATTACCGGTAGGCTTTCTCAGAAGGTGGGTTGATCCTTTTAAAAGATGCTCAGTTGTAAAGTTATCTGTATAATGATTCATTACAGATTCGGTGCGAAACTCTGCTCACAGACGTCTGCAAAACCTGCATACCCCCCCCCCCCCCCCCTGCGGCTACACAACTCGGCCCCTTCTTACCTCTGTGCTTCACTTCCACTGCATGTGCAACAAGCATGGCAACGTTCTAATGTCACCTCAACGTCTTTCTTGCTTGTAAAACTTAGAAAACAATAATAATAATAAAAGGAATAGGCTGCCATTAAATGCTGCCGTCACATTGTAGGGATATAATTCCCCTTGAATCTGTTTCCACAATGCAATATCACTGTCTGTCATTGCCTGAGATGGAGGAAGGGGCGGTGTGATGATGACTAAAGGATTTGTAAAAGGTTTCCCGGGGAACGGGGATCTGTTTCCATTGGCTTGGTTTTTGCTATAATGCTGCTACACAAATGGGACTCATAGAGAGATGATTCATAGATCAGCTGAGTAATGTCCAGTCCGATCTATTTATTATATGTCTGTACCATAGAGTGAGCTCAACCCGAGGAGAAAAAAAGTTATTTATATTTTTTCCTCAAGACTGTATTATAATTTAAAGTTGTTTTTTGTTAATTTCTTTTTTTTTGCCTGAATTGTGTTTTCCCTTGTATAATGTGTACAGTATGTTTTGGGGGGGAATTGATGACCTAAAGAAACATACAATCCTATCAAAGGGATGCATTGTTAATAAAACAAAATTTGAAATACCCAAAAGTTTTTCTTTTTCTCCTAGCAGTCGTTCCTGTCAGTTTCTCTCAAAAAAAGCTCTGAAGGTCTGAAACGTGTGTGTGTTGGATCAGAAGACAGTCGTGACATTTAGAGCAGGATGCTTCTGTGAACAGACAAATCCAGATAATATGCAGATAAATTGGAAATGTATCAGTCATTAACTATAAATAGAAAGCCTGGCATTTAAGTGTCCTATGCTAGATTAGCATAATATGTAACTGGGGGCATATATAAAAAGTATAAACAAATGCACACTTAAATCTGGATTATTTAATTACACACAAGGCGCTTAAGCTTTTAGTCCCAAAAATACATTTACATTACAGGTCATTTAGCAGACGCTTTTATCCAAAGCGACTTACATTACATTTTGAACCCATGGCTTTTTTTTACATTTTGGCCCAGGGAGCAATTAGTGGTTAGGAGTCTTGCTCAGGAACACTTCGACATGAGACATGGGGCAGCTTGGAATCAAACCACCAACCTTGCGGTTTCCAGCACACTCTCATTACCCCTGCGCCACGACAACCAATATGTTTAAACAATACATTTAATATTGCGCCAATGATTGCTCATTTTACAGAAATGCTATTTAACAAACATTTATATTAAAAGGTGGAGTGTGTGTTCCTTTGAATCACTCTTACAAAAGTGCTAATGTGAAGTGTTCACACAAACAGAAAATTACATTAAATACAAAAAACACAACATGACTTATTCAAGAACATTTGTCGGCTTCCTGCCCTGTCAAATACTCTCAAAGCTGAACACTATATCGTTGAACACTGTATCTTGTGAAGAAGGATGTGTGGTTTTTCCACTCTTTGCGATAGTCCACTCTTGCATTGCTCAGAAATATTGCACAACTGTTTTTTTGTTGTCCAGTTCCACCGTCCCCAGTCTGATTGAGGTACATACTGTAGTAAATGATTCCCATACAGAGGTAAATACGTGGTGCTCCGTTCTTTTCGGCGTGCATCCTTGTTACAGAGGTATTCTCTCATCAGAGCTTTCTGCCTCTTGTGCAGGTCTGTGGGCTTCTGTTGGGGCCTTTATGGAGTTTGAGTCCGTGGGTTCCTGTTTCGTCTCGTTGTTTTCATAGCTCAGGTTGTCATAGGTTTGTCTCATGCTGTTTCTCAGCTCCAGCTCCTGTCTGGCCTTAGCTTTCTCCTGCTGGAGCTGCAGCAGCACTGCTTTATTCACACCAGGACCTGAGAAAAGAAAACATCAAGATGAAAAATTGTTGTTTTGATACATAGTGGTTCTCTAAGTCTCTTTGTTGCACACGTAAACAAGCAGCTATAAGGTGCGTACCAAAGTAGCTTAGCAGCACGGGGAGGAAGACGAGTCCGTGAGCCATCCCCAAAAGTGTGATGACGAGGTTTAATCGGAAGAAGAAGATCTGAATGAGTTGTGCTTTGGCGAAGGCCAGCACAAGGATGCCCGGCAGGTTGGTCATAGCAACACCAGCGAACACCTAAAGAGTACAAAGATTTGTGTACATGAAATGGATGGTTCAAATAAAACACCTGTTTTTGTATGTGTTTATTTATACAAAAGTGTGTGTGTGGCCCCTTCAGTCCACTAGGTTTTTGTTCTGGGTGCTATTTATCTTGCTGGATCTGGTCGGTCAGCTAATGTGCCACACCTGGGCCTGACTGGTCTGTGGTTAGTTTATTAGTGATTCCTAATTTCTTTATCACCCTTCGACCAAGGCCATACAACTTGTTCATGTCAACCCAACCAGATTACATCTTTCATAAAAACAAAGTGGCCCTGCCTGGGCTACAAGTCAACAAGCCATTTACAACCAGCACAAGTGGGGATTTTACTGTCCTAACTAAACCGGGTGGAGGTGTCGCTCATCGCCTGATTACACATGCTGTACCAAGAGCAGCCAGGACACAAACACAGTGGATCAGAGGGGTTTTCGCAGTGAGGCATTACCAGTGTCAGCTTTAGCTTCCTTCAAAGTTCACTTACCGCACTGCCCATGGTTGCCGTGGCTTCCATAGCTCTTTCTACACGCGTGGGCTTCGTGCTGAGCGCAAAAGATCTTGTCATATGAGACACAAACTCGACAGAGATTCCCACTGCCTGCAAACAACAAAGTTAATATAATTTAACCAAGTGAGAAATTACACTACTACTGTAATTATGGGTAATTTAGATGGATTACAAAAAAAAAAAGCCCCCTCTAGAGACATTGTACACCTGTCCTCAGTGGATGAGTCGTGCCCCATGACAGACATGTTCTTACCGTGACCAGATTGATCAGGGCCACGGCGTTGTAATGGATGCCCCAAAGCGTCATGACACCAACGGTATCCACGGTGATCATGACTATTGTGATCAGGTTGAGCAGACCGGAGCGCAGATCCAAACCCAGCAGCAGGCAGCACACCACGAAGGTCGGCAGCAGACACAAGCCGATGTTGAAGAGTCCCTCTGGCACAATCGTCAGGTACTGCTCGTAAAACACGTTAGTCACCCTACAAGAAGGAAAGAAATATTGGCCATAAACGACTGCATTTGTTTAATGCCAATTACCATGTGAATAATTGGCAACAGAGTTGCAGAAGTGCCAATACTTCTTACACAGAGTTGTACATACGTGTAAGGAAATACTTCAAAGTCCGGGGAGGTGCCTTTTATATTCCTCATGCCCATTGTGATGTTGTGCGCCAGCTCTCTGGTCTTCAGCAGTGCGGCGGTGAACTCCTGAGAGTTGGTCAGAGGCACGTGGTAAGCCATGAAGCGAGTGGCTGGGGAGCACGGGGAACAAAAGGTTCAACTGCACTGTTTCCATTCAAAGATCAAGAGATCTTTTGGGCTTTGCTTGACGGTGACATACCTATAATTTCTCCACTCGGATCTCTCACCACCGCTTTGTCGTAGGCTCCAAGGCCACTGTAGTAAGGGGAGATAAGCAGTGAGAAAAATCGATTTTGTTCTTTGTTTTTTGCGTGTGACGTGCACACCAGGACACACACCCTTTGGGGCACTGCAGGTCCGGCCTGTTACCCAGGAAGTCAGGGAGGAAGCGGTTGAATTCTTCCACTTTGGGCCTGAGTACGCCGTCTGCAGGAATAGCCATACACTTTGTTAAACAAAGGAGGCCCGCTGCAAAGACACAGAAGCAGAGTGGGTGTTAATACAAGACGGGTAATTAAAGTCTTTAAAGAATGTGCATTATTGTAATGATTCTCACATTGGCTTGCAGGACAGAACTTCCCAGCATTTGGACCGAAGGTGTACAGACGACAACATCTGGATCCAGGGTTCAGCCAGTCAATGAAATCATCTACCCAGGAGTTAGCAGGAATCGCTATGTAGGATCTACAGAGAAACATTGTCAATGGGTTAATGAAGGCAGGAATACTAATGTCAGTATTTCAGAAAGTGTCAATCAACAGAACATAAGCAACAGTGTGTTTTTTCGTCCATCAATAGTGAGACTAGAGATAATAATAATAAATAATGTCTGTATTATACAACCACTAATACAGCTACAGTTGGCAGCTAGTTAGTTTAGTTTATCACCAATAATAGAACAAGAGGAAGACAACTAGTAACACCGACATGATGTTCTCTCGCCATAGAGACATAAACTCTTTTATCACCTTTTGACAGTGTCACATGGGTGAAATTAACACAATTATAGCTCATTAAAGCCAACCTGTGAGAACTAAACTGTAAATAAGCCTAAACATTTTTTATGTCCTTTTTTCATTTTCTTACATGTTTCAATAACATATGATTTCGGATTTGTGGTGAATTCCCACTTGATGAGAGGAGCTTCACTGGTTGCCAGTAACAGTATGTAACTTATACTTCCAATAACACATTATCTCCATAACCTTTGTTATCTCAAGGAAAAATACCCTCCACAGACAGATATTATGCTGACAACACATGCTACAGTAACCACCAGATAATATGCAGTGGGATGCATTCACACATTACAAGTTATATATTTTAAGATTTGTACTGCAGATTTATACAAACATGCATTTATTCCTCCCACTAATCCGTCTGCTCATAACTTCAACACAAGGGTTTGAGTAGTCGTTTTAGGGGATGTTTTGTGCGTTTGCTCTCTCGCACGAGAGGAACCCTTTATCTGCTGCGTGACGTTCATACAACCAAGTTCATCATTAACTAATCTGATTGGCTAGTATGTAAGAGGTTGCTCCTCTGATATCAGCAGGTTCAAGGATCTTTCAATGAAACTATCGTGAAGGACAAGAGAGAGAAACTCGTTGATCTGAGCAGAGGAGCTGGCTGATGTACTGTAGAGTTCAGCTACGCAGTCGCATGTTCGTTAGGACCGTAGTGCAATAAATGGTGCGGGTCAAAAAGATGATCATTTACATTGTCCATATTACAGAAATGAAAAAACTCACAATTCTGGGTGGTTGGCGGCGTACTGGATCTTTTGAGTAAGTGAGAACTGATCGCAGCCCACGCTCGAGCAGACCGCATTCATGCCGTCCACAGTGGTGAAGTTGAAGCCCTTTTTCGTCACAAAATAAACAGGGACTCCAACCTCAAAGTATTTGTACAGGTACTGGAAATAGTCCAGCATATACGAGCCCTGCAACAAAAACAGAATCACATTTAATAAAGTATTTATCGATCCATCTTTGCAAGGTTACACTGAACCAGCAGGTGTGTGTGTACAGGCGTTGGAAGCACTGTGTACTGACCTGGGGCATCGCCAGCTCCTGGTCCAAACCCACGGTTACATTAAACATGAGAAACAGGGATCCACAGAACATGAATATGAAAACCACCATCTACAGAGAACACAGGGCAGAACATCTTAAACAACTATGCAGTTAAAACGCCAATGCAAAAAAACGTGAAAATGAACTGTTTGTGTTATCGGCTCTGACCGCCAGCTCTGTGAGGACGACCCCCCCGTATGTACATATAAATAGCTTGTTGTATGGAGGCTTAGTGTATTACATGAGCATACACTAAACATATTCCATATCTGCCAATGGATCCCACTAAAGGAACATTACAGGTAACTAGTTGACATGGGCTGCTTCATGAAGGATAATCTAGTGTGATGTGATAGTTTGAGGGTTAGTAGCTTTACCACTATTATCCTGGTGTAACCGTGCAGCAGCACGGGGGCGTAGTATTTCCTCATCAGGGGCAGCAGGAAGCCCTCGTTTGCCGCGTGAGGACGCTTGGTTGACACCGAAACACAGCAGAGCAGTTCGCAGCGGTTGTCGTCTTGGCGCCGGGTGTCCAGCGACAGCAGCGCCACAAAGGCTGTCATCTGGAGTATGAAATCCATGAGCACGGCCAGAGCAGCGTAGAGAGCAAAGGTCTTCACTGCTGGCATGGTGGACAAGGCCCCTTGGGTAGCAGAGAAGACACAGTTAGGGATTAATGCATAAAATTGCATGGAATTGTGTCGTCCAGCTCGTGTAGTTTGTGCAAAGGTTCCTACCTAGAAAGAAGCAGACAGACTCTGAAAGACTGCACAGCAGCATGCTGGGAGCCACGTTTCCAAGGACGCGACCGATCTGCTCCTCTCTCTTCTCTTGGGGCCGACGCACATCTCTCTGCGCAAAAGTAGAGACGGGCAACGTCACATAAATGGACATACATCTTTGCGGGACATCCACTGTGCACACCAGTGTACGCACCTGGTACTCCAGAACAAAGATGAAGATGTTGTCAGCTCCAACAGCGAGCACCAGGAAAGGCACGACCTGCAGAATGACCAGCGAGGACGGGATGCCGATCCAGGAGTAGAAGCCCATAGAGGCCAGGACAGAACAGCCGACCACCAGTATCCCACCCAGACCCACCAGAAACTTGGAGTCCACCTGTAGTAGGCAGATAGAAGAATCCAGATGTTCAATCAACTCAATAAACATTCTCTGTACCATGCAGTCGTCGTCGTGTATCGTGTCTTCTGAATTGAACGGCCTCATGGCAGCCATAAAGATAAGTGCTATTCAGCTAACTCAGCCATACCACTGCAGTCTCTCCTTATTGTAAATGTGATAAGTGATTCTGGGCGGAGGGTTTGGCACGTAGTCCACGTCGTGGACCGACCTACGGGCTAAATTCACAAATGTGAATGAAATCTCACCAGTATGCGTTTCCATGAAGAGTACTCTCCTAGTGCCACGGAAATGTAAACAAAGATTACTGCGTAGCTGATCATGAAGATGGGGATATCTTCTGCCGTGGTCCGATTAATCTCATCCTCCAAAGATCTCTGAAGACCGATGGAGAAAACAGAAATATGAAAAAGGGTGAGGGGCTTAAAATAGTGAAGGGGTAGATGAAGAGGAAAGAACTCATTCCCCTTGAAAAAGCAAAAATATGTTCTACTGCACCTCTGCCATGTACGCAAAGGTGAAGTTAGCTGCAGGGTTTTTCTGGTAGGCCTGGACTATTTTTAGAAATTCTGTCTCCCACTGCATGGCCACTCTGTACTTGGGGTTGTCCCGAGCGTAGTTGTTGAGGGAGAAGGTCATGATTAAAGCCTCAGCATTGGTGTAGTCGTCATCTGGCAAAAGCAACAACAATAATGTCCAGGTTTTTCTGTGTTCATTGTACAGCTGTTTTATGCATTTTAAGACAAAGGTTACTCACCCTTATAGCCTCCCACAGCCAGAAAGGAGAAAACTGGAGCGCCGTAATCCGCCATGCAGCTCATACGTAAATCCGTAATGTCTTGGAAGGACAGGGGGGAGCTTGAGAAGCGATGGAAGAAGAAAAGGGAAAGTCCTGTTGAATCTCTTGAGCAATCACAGATCCATTAGTGTTTTTTTCCACGTTTGATCTGAAAAGGCAGTCTGATGAAATCCTTACTTGAGGCAGTAGATTAAGTGGTCTCTCCAGTCCACTTCTTTGGTAACTCCCAGCTCCGTCATGTTCACCTTGGCGTTGATGTTGTCCACGCTGTTTTGGAAGTACTGTGGCAAGCTGTTGACTGCACAGTCCGCCAGGTTGGGGTTGGATGGGTTCAGTGGTGCGAAACATACATCCTTCAGACTCGCCGTGCGGTTCAGATCCTCCGACCAGAACTCAATGTTCTAAGGACGGCATAGAAGACGCATCGACGTGTCAAAATAATACAGGGAACCTCTCAAGCGCCGTCAACTTTGAGTACAGATCCTCTTGGGAGCCTTCAGGTTTACCCTGTATGATGCATCTTGTGAGGGATTCGTTGCGTTGGTAAATATGGTCTCAGAAAAGTATCAATTCAGGTCTCCTTCAAATATATCCGATTGCACACACTATATGGTTCGTGCAAAATTACAATACTTTCATTTTTCGTGGCAATATAAACCTAAAACAACGCTTTTTACATACAAATAAACTCATGATTCTTGTCTCACCTGGATTTCTGTCTGCAGCTTCAGGAGCTCAATGATTAGATCTTTAGATAAAATCCCGCTGAAGTTCTGCACTCCAAACAGCAAAGAGTCGTAGATGTGACCTTCTCTGCCCGGCGCTGTCAAGATCAGCTGGTTGGTCCTGAAGAAGGGGTCAAAGTGAGCGTCGTGGAAATCTTTCTCCTGGCGGGCGCGGCTGTCCGCAGCAGACCACAGCTCGACCGGGTCAGTGGTGAGCTCAATGTTCTTGAGGCCAGCACTGAAAACGGCCACGACTACAGCCGACAGCAGGAGCACCTGGAATAGAAAGAAAATATTAACAAATGAATTACCATCTGGCCAATAGCCTCTTTTCTTTTTTTTTATCCTAAAGACTGTTCATTTTTAATGGGTTTATAAAATATCTTCCAATTTTGTTTGTAAAATATTCGCCAATGCTAAATTGGGGTTCTCTGCTGTGCTTTCAGTCCGTCCTTCTCAGTGTTCCCGAGACTGATTCGTTGGCTACAACGACAAATTTAGAAATGCTCTAATCATACACACAATTTGCTTTAAAGGAAGGTTACATAACTTTTATAAAAGCAAAAAAAAAAAACATGGGCAATGGAAGGCCACCTTGCTCAATTGCCTTACTTGGTCTGTAAGGACCAGTTGCAGATGTTTGCTAATCAAATCTGCCTCTAGATTCTTGTAGCTTCCATTGCTGCTTCAGTGGCTGATGTTCAGCAAAGGTGACACAATCTTTAACCTTTTAAGTAAGTCCACTCAGCAGATGTCTGTGACAATGCCTGGTATTATGTGTTTTGCTGGTTGGAGCATACGATGGGGAAACTAACCGTGAGAGGATAGGTGGCCATGAGCGTTCCCCAACGGCAAAACCCTTTGCTCAAGAAAGCTTGAGCAGCCATGCTGTTCCTTTCAGCACAAGTCACCTCCGACGGATCGATGGCTTGCTGAGTCACATCGTTACTGTTCTGGTCTTTGCCTTTGCCCTTTCCTCTCCCCGCATCCTTCTTTTTCCAAGATCTCACCAGGTAGGACACGGTCAGGTAGAAAAGGAAGGCAAACATGAGGAGACAGAACAGGATGATAGAAATCACGAGGAATCCGTCCATCCCGAACAGTTGGAAGGGGCCCGGCGGCAGCGCAGGAGGTGGCATCTTCGGGCACGACTCTTGGCAGTCCTGGCAGGAGCAGAGCTCGCCTCCAGACGGCGTGGTCTCGTTACACTTCAGGGCACGTCCGTTGTAGGGAATGACGCCCTTGGGAAGTCCCTCAGTCTGTCCCTCTTTTATTAGTTGGAAGTCGATGTCCAGCGGGGCCAGGCCGTTGCTGGAGTCTCCCTGGAAGTCATACCAGCGCTGCGGGTTGCACAACTTGGCGCCATAGCGGCCGCACATGGTGGCGATGGCGAAGCCTCCCGTGGCCGGGATCCTTACGTTCTTGCACGACTGGAAGGAGCCGTCTGCAAAGGTGGTGCTCAGGAAGGCCTGGTAACCTACCACCGCCTCCCTCGTCACATTGCTCTGGCTAGTGACGTTCATAACCTTTGTGACTTTTACTGTCTGGCTCTGGTCGGGGCTGCAGGTGTTGATGCAATGCAGGTGGGCGAAGTTCTCAGCGCACGAGGGGCAGCGGACCAGCACCGCTTTGGATAGGGTCAGACTCATTTCCAGGGACGACAGCTGCTTAATGGAGCAGCAGGCGTAAGTGTTGCTCTCTCCGCGGTCCAAGATGGGACACACCTGCAGCGAGAGTAGGTGCTGTTTAATAAACTGTCACACCCAAACACGAAGAACAAGCAAAAAAAACGTAAGAATGAACCCACTAAACCGCGCTTTACTCAATCCGCCTCTTCGCCACATCACTGAGAAGTATCTACAGACCTGTTGGAGTTTCTTGTAGTGTGCTCCTGAGAGGGCTCGGGCACGGCTGTAGTCCAAGCACGGGACGGTAGGAGGAAGCAGAGATCCTCCCACGGACGGGTTATGGCCGCACTCCTCGTAGAAAACGCAGTAGCCCGGCTGGTGTTGGGCCGCTGACGGCACCTGAACACAGAGGAAGCCACATTGGGTTGAAGGTAATCCAAGAAGAATGCACACTTGTGACACCTTTACATGCGACATAACAATATATACAATTGTGCAGAAATATATTACTGTATGTAAAATTCGCCTACACTACTTTGCAAGTATTACCATGTTTAACAACGTAACACTGTAGTTAACACACATTCATTAACTCTGTGTGCCACCACTGCATCTTCTTAATGCCATCTTGACAACTATAATTCCCTTTTAAACACCCCATCGTTTGTTTTTTCACTTCGTTATTTAACTTTTTCTTTTCTTCACTTGTTCACATTATCATTTCTTAATTCTTATGACATATTACATTATTTTACTTGACTTGTTGTCAACTTGAATTGTTCAAATTTATTTTTTTAATACAATATACAGATATATTAAGAGTAAATAACGTATGTATTAAAAATGTAATGGTTGTATTATGACAGTGCCTGAATAAATCCAAGTGTGACAGAAACAGAAACCCTGTAACTGTAAATTAATATACGTTTTTCTATTTTCTTTAAACTTTCGGGTGTATACCAAACAAATTATGAAATACAATACACATTGCAATAAGTGATTAATCTCACATATTACATATATACACATATTACAATGTGTATTGTTTTGGTTGTCATTTAATATCGTAAATGCTGTTGAACCCACAACTAGAAAACACTTTTTATGTGCAGAGACATTTATACAACGTTTAAGTTACTTGGTCTTTGTTGCCTGTGTAAACAGGTCTCTAACAAACCAAAGATGTTATCATACACTAGGATATTTATGGTGGTTTACTACTGAAACAAAGTCCTTTTATAAACACAAACATCTAGACGTTATTAAATACAAAAAGCAATGGCCCGAGATCTTACTCCAGTCAAGTCCTACAACATGTTAATGCTGGAGTCTGACAACAAAACTATGTAAGATTACAACTAAAATAAGTGTACTATGTTGAAACTACAGTTACACAACTCAGTCACAGGTTCAGAAGAAACATCAGCAGACCAACTTACCACACAAGTCAGAAAGGTGATCAGGGCTGCGGCGCGAAACATGATTCCAAATATTTTCAGAGTCGTTGTCCGCAAATATAGTATTCGATTGAGTGGATGTGAATCACAGCTGCCCTGTTGGACGGTACATCAGACAAAGTAAGACAGCGAGGGACAGTCTCCCCTGTCGTCTGTCCGTCTAACAGCGTTTTGGTTGGGGAAGGAAAAACATCACAACATGTACGGGGTCATCGGTCCTGTGATGTCACACCTTTCTTATCTGGTCTGATGTCGCGGCTGGCCAATCACAGCTATGGATGACTAAATCCCTGTCTGATAATTAACATGGGGGGGGGAGATATTCATTGTGGAGATCAAATCAAATCCAGCCGTGAGACATTACAGGAGAATCTGACCACGCCTAGTTCTTCACTTCACATGTATATCTACTTACTCTACATTCCGCAACGTCTGCTTTATTGAAGACACATCGGTTGACTTAAAAAACAACTATGTGGACCTTTAGACAGACCATCATCTAAGTGACAAGATATCTGATCTGTTATGTAGAGAGAGATATCTGCTAATTACCCATGAAGATGTTTTATGATCACTTTTTAGATAAACATCTTTGAAGGAGGCATCCATTTCCAGGTCAGCATGACTGATCACTACCTGGATCACATCTTACAATATCAGATCAGCTTTTGAATCGTGTTGTCAAGGACATGTCAAGGTCATGGCTCCAATAGGACTTTCAACCAAGACTCCATCATGTCGCAGGTGCACGGGGCGAAGGTGCGTGATTTCAATTTGTGATAAACAGAAATGGTTCAAAGGACAAGAAGAAATGGGACACATCATTTTTACCATTAAAAAAGATATTGTTTGTTAACCCATTTTTTTTATGCCCACACTTGATGTTCAACAACCCTGAAAAAGTACACAACCTACAAGCACCAATTATTCATGAGTGGCAATCTCAACATCATTTTTTTAAATTCAATAAACAGTCCCAACATTCGCAGGTAAGATTGCAACGTGTGCTGCTGCAAGTCTTACAGGGTGGACAAAGGTACAGGGTTTCAAAAACCTTCTCTTGACCACCTCTTTTCTGACAGCTTGCTAATGTCATGCACACATCATTCACTTTCTCCTCTTTATGATTGAGTCTTTATCAAAAAACATTTATGACCTCTCATAGACGGGATAATCTTGACTTTTTGGACTCTGGTACAGGCGAAGGTTTTTCCTTAGAAGTCTTTGCCATCAGCGGAAAACTGAGAAGATATAAAACCCTTGCGTGATGGAGATTAAGACAATGCGCTGTCATCCTCTATCTGTTAAAGTCAATTTGAATTTATTTGACTTATAAAGCTCTAAACCAACAATCCCCCAAAGATTTTGCTAAATTTTATGTTGAAGCCAGATCACAGAGGTCCTGAGGTTTAATTGTTCCATTTCTGCACTGGATGATTGAAAGGGAAGCACTCTGAAAAGGACCCATCTGGCATTTAATTATTGTTCATTTTGTTATTGAGTAATATTACAGTATATCGGTTTTTCTACATGAAGCACTGGGGCTGCATGTTTGTTTCAAAACAAAACACTAAAGTTCAGTTTAAATAACCTGGCACATGCACGCGGCAACTGTTTGGCTATTACGCAAGACGCGACAGTTTCAGTCAACTTACCGAGCATTTCTGTTTGAGTTTCATGAGGAAACTTGTCAGCAGATGCCAAGTTTCTTCATGAAACTCAAACACTAGAGCCTGAGATGCACAACAGACGTGGCATGCTTAATCCACAGCGCCTGTACATTTGATGGTGTTGCGAGCTACATCTTTTCCATTAATTAGCCTGAATTGTTGGGAGAATCAGACCCTCTTCCTACAATAGACGCTCCCCTTCCGTCTCAAGTGAGTGGGTTGTAACATTTTAGGACTCACATATATCGTCGTCACTGCCGCACGCGTCAGATTGTGTGCACGAAGGTTTGGACTATCGTTCGTTCAGGGGATCACCATCCCTCGATGAGTCACAACACACCTTATTTAGTAGATGAGGAGTTTCCTAGATAGCTGGCAATCACTATAAAAGTGATGAATAGATGCGACACGCCTTTCTATGAGCCTACGCTTTATGTTGCTATAGCAGACTTCAGGTCCCAGGAAGCTGTGATGGGCGACACACCTTGAGATCATTGACAAACCTTTAATGTCGAAACACTTCTTAGGGAATCATGAATTTATTCCAGAATAGTCAACATGTCCAGGACGAGAACATTTTCTATCCCTATGAAAAACACACTAAAGGTGAAAAGATAAAGTTAAAGACATGGCTCATTTTGAAGTTATGACATTTTAGTACTAAAGACACAACTCAAGGTACAAAAAAATTATATTCATGCAACAGTTTTCAAAGTTCAAAAAGTAAAACTCACTACCTGAACTTTAAAATACAGCGAGTGAAGGAGGGGGGAGGAAAAAAAGACAAAAAAAAAGACACGTGATTCAAAATCTGCGTTGCTTATTAGGTCCATAGTCTCCAGGTCCAGGGAGGCCTCTAGGGAAGCCAGCCTGGCCTCCTCCGGGCATGTTGTTGTTGTTACCTGGCCCTGGCATCATCGGCGCATTCTCGGCGGCCATGCCGGGAGCACCGGCAGGACCGGCATTGCCGCCCAGCGAGTTTCTGTTCATCCCGTGATTGGCCATATGCATCCTCATGTCTTGCTCCCTATTCTCAGCGAAGTTGCCTCTGAAGCCCTCCTGCTGCCTCTTCAGCATCTCCTCGTTGCGCATCCTCATCTCCTCCTCCCGCCTCCGGCGTTCCTCCTCCTGCCGGATCTCGGCCTGTTTCCTCTTCTGCACCTCCTGGCTGTGGAGCTCCTCCATCCTCCGCAGCTCCTCCTGCCGCCTCAGCAGGTCCTGTCTCATCAGCATCACTTGATGCTCGTGTCGAGCTGCCTCCATCTCAGCCTCCAGCTTCTCCTGCGCCTCCTTCATGTTGCGGTCCACCATGTCGTACTGCTGCTTCTCCATCTCCATCAGGGCCTTCCAACGCATGGCGTACTCAAACTCGAAGGAGCCCGCCTGGGCGAAACGCGGCGGCTGCTCGCGCTCCTTGTGATACTGCTGGTTTTTGTTTATGATTTTTTCTGAGAGTCCCTCCTCTTCGTCGAGCTGTTCCATAGGTTCCACCGTGATGGGTCGAGGAAAGGCCGTGAGGAGATAGGCACCATCGCTGCACTTATCCAAAGCCTTTCTTGCAGCCGGCTTCGAGGTGTACTCCACTATTCCCTTCCCCGTGGGCCTCCCTCGATCATCCACTATGACCACGGCTCTTTCTATCTGCCCGAAGACGCCGAAGGCCTCCTCCAGTAGCTCGTTGGACACAAAATCAGGTAAGTTCTTCACAGTTAAAGCAGCGCCGTGTGTCGCGAACCTCACCCGTATGGGCCTGCCTCTGAACGGAGCATCGTCCAGCTCGGCTCTGGCGATTTCTGCTATGATCCTGGTCTCCAGCCGAATGAAGCCGAAACCTCTTTCTTTGTTAATGAAGATTTCACTGGCCTTGCCATACTTGTTGAAGAGCTTCTCGAGATCTTCCTCGTTAACTCCGGTCGGCAAGTTTCCAACAAATAACCTGCTGCGTTGGGTGAAGGTCTTCTCCCCGGGCTTCCTGAAGCTCTGCAGATCCAGGGTTAAGGCCTCGTTGGGATTGTTCTGCTCGCTGGGCTGCGGCTGCTGGCCGTTGGCGTTTGTTCCTCCGGGTTTTTTCTGATCGCCCGGGCGGTTCGGCCCGTGGTTCTGCTGTGGGCCTCGGTTTCCTTGCATTTTGTGTAAGGGAATTAAAACCCGGCGATGAATCGCTCGACAAGAATACGTAAACTCTTAGCAGACAGTTGCGCACAAAGAGCTGAAAAATGGCGACGCTGCGTGCTGCCGCGACGTTATTGTGATGTCATTGTGATGCGACTCGTGTTTTTAAATATGTGACGTATTCCTTGTGCGACGGTAGGAGATTGAAAACAGACCGGTATTGGCGTTTGTCAAATGTTAGACTTTACAAGGTTCTACTCAGTGTACAACACTGCTTCGTCGGGTTGATGTAGATCACTTTGGGTTGGGCTTCTTATACATTACGTTTTGTATATGATTCACGCTGTACCTCTTTTTTTCTCGCGAGAGTATGCGCTCCCGTTGAGCGTGTGATTTCGCGGGAATTGGTATCTTTCGAAGACAAGGAAAACAACCAGTGATATCTGTCTTAAATACAAATTATTAGTTGATGCTAATCAGTGAACAGCTGACGCTTGACCTTCCACGAGCTAAGGTAAGGTCGTTAAATTGGTTACGGTAGCGATACTCTGCATGTTTTGTAAAGGGGTTTAGAAAAGCACTGACGTTACTAACTTAACAACTCTGTAGGTTAAGCTAAAACCCTTGACACGCGAGCCCTTCAAATCCACATTTTAAACACGGCCAACATCACATTAGCACACAGCAATGCATTTCAACTGACCCCTCCCGGGCTTCTGCTTCAGGACAGTCATGTTTTCCGACGTAATGGCCAAGAACGAGGCTTCCTCTCTGCTCTGCCGCCCGGCCTCCGAGGTCCAGGCGCCGGTGTTCGAGCGGACGTCGCTGGCCTACAGTCCGTGTTCCGAGCGCTTTACGGTCGGCGAGCGGACTTTCAGTCGCCAATACGCTCACATTTACGCAGCACGGCTCATGCAGATGAGGCCCTTGCTCTCTGAGAGAGCTCAGCAGAAGTGGGGTAAGCTCGGGACACCAAAAGCATCCGAAATGGGTTTTTTATCTGTGAACTTTCTGATGTGTTTGTGTCTTTTTTTGTTGTTGTTTCCGCCAGGATCAGATGTGCTCATCAGGAAACTGTGTGATCTCCAGACGGGGGAGCAGTGTTGCATTGTGGGAACGTTGTTCAAGCGTATGGAATTGCAGCCATCTATTCTGAAAGAGATCAGCGACGAGGTTGGCGGTCACGCTTACTTCATCACAGACACATTCTAATATTTTCGAGGGCAGGTGCCGTGTATATGTCTCTTGGTTTTCCGTATCTTTTAGCACAACTTGCTGCCTCAGCCTGCAAGAGCCAAATACATTAGTGAAACAGATGAGCTGATTCTAGAGGATGAGCTGCAAAGGATCAAACTGGAGGGGAAAATTGACAGAGACAAGTGTGTCACAGGTAAGGATTTGTCTTGAGGTCAAGACCGGTGGAGGACCATGTCACTAAACGGTCACAGTGTTGCATACTCTTCTGTTTCTCTTTCAGGTAGTGTCATTGCAATATATGGTGCCGAGAAGAATGATGGGAAGTTTACAGTTGAGGAATTTTGCATGGCAGACCTGCCACCGCAGACACCAAGATCAACACTCACATCTGACAGGTAAACATACTCTTTTTTTAATTATTTTTTTTGGACTAAATCAAAAGCTTTGATGACAATTTAGTCTAATCCTGTTGTTTGTCCTCATCCAGGTTTGTGCTGCTGGTCTCAGGACTTGGCCTGGGCAGTAGTCAAGCGGACAGCATGCTGGGGCTGCAGTTGCTGGTTGACATGGTAACTGGTCAGCTTGGGGACCAGGGGGAGCAGAGTGGGGCAGCGAAAATTTCCAGGGTCCTACTAGCTGGAAACCTCCTGAGCCAAAGCACCCAGGACAAGGATGCAGCAACCAAGGTAACCTTATTAACCGTGTCACACATTTACTGACAACACAGTATATTATTTTTCCGGTTTTCCTTTATTAAGATGAAAACATGAACTGGATCACTTTAAAACAGCTGTTTTACCCTCTATGTGCCAAGCCCAAGTACCTCACCAAGAAGACTCAGGCGGGCAGCGTGGAGGCCATTCGTCTTTTGGATGAGCTGTTGTGTCAACTGGCGGTAAGTCTGCTTCCACCTGTATGCGTGCACAGATATATTAATTGATAAATATATACATATATATATATATATATATATATATGAGAGAGCAATTTTGCTATGTTGATTACACTGGTGTCTTTCTTTTCAATACCCGTGGTTTTATTATTCCTATTCAGATTGTTCAATCCATAAACGGTGTTTTCATTGATAATGCAGAATATTTACAACCTTGTGATATATCAACATCACATTTCAGGCCTCAGTTCCAGTGGATGTGATGCCAGGCCACCACGACCCCACCAACTACACCCTCCCTCAGCAGCCGTTCCACCGCTGTATGTTCCCCTTGTCCTCCGTGTATCCCACACTACAGTTGGCCTCAAATCCACACCAAGCTAACATTGATGGAGTGAGGTAAGATTATCATACACTGTCACCGTATGATCTTCCAGCTTGCATTTAGCGTTGTCACTTTTTTAATGTGCAGATATTTCAGATGGTGTTGCTGTGTGTGTGTGTGTGTGTGTGTGTCCAAAAAGGTTCCTGGGTACATCAGGCCAGAATGTTTGCGACATTCAGAGGTACAGCAGCATGGACAGTCACCTGGAGATACTGGAGGACACGCTACGTCTTCGACATCTGGCCCCTACGGCACCTGATACTCTGGGTTAGTAGACAAGTTGATGCAGAGCAAAACACAAACATTCGGGCTGATATAGGAGTAGTAGCAGCAGTATTCACATTTTGTTTTCTGCACATTTTTGGCCAGGTTGTTACCCATTTTACCAAAAAGACCCTTTTATTTTGGAGGAGTGTCCCCATGTTTACTTCAGTGGCAACGCCCCAACCTTTGATTCCAAGCTCCTGAAAGGTCAGTGTGTGTTGTGTAAATACACACATAAAAAAACTTTGGACTCTGAATGGACAAAATATTGACATTATTTTAGGCGGTTCTTACTAAAATGCCACTATATTTCTTCTTCTTGCTGCCAGGTCCTGATGGCCAGGAAGTCCTTTTGGTCACAATTCCACACTTCAGCAGCACCCAAACTGCATGCCTTGTCAATTTACGGACGCTGGCGTGTGAGCCAATCAGCTTCTCGGCCTTCTCTGCTGATGACGAGGAAGAAAGTGAGATGAATGTCAGCCACTGAGGATCTATATCCACATGCAGTATAACATGCGGTCACTTCGGGACAATATTGATGAGTTATGACTAAGTTCAGAGGAGTCATAACTACATTGGGTCAAGAGATACAGCTCTTGTTGCACTGATACTGTCCAGTATCATAATGGTCAATAAAAAACTGTATTGATTTCCAAGGTTACTTCTAGTGTTTCCTCTACAGTGTGTTATTTTTTTAAGGTCCCAGTATTCTCCTCTTAGATCGGTGCTAGAAAAAGGAGACGAGCATGGTGTGTTAACAAGCCTTTATTTGAAAAATGATTGTACTCCGGCAGTGTGAGGCAACACGACCCCTCCTCTGATTGTGTTACCAAGTTTGAACAAATGTTTTTTTAAACCTTCAGTGACTGTTCATACTGTAAAAAATATGTCTACCATGGTGATGAATACAACTGTCAGAGCTTTTAATGTGCATTCACAATAAACTTCATGAAGCAAAGCGATTGAATAACAAGTCATAAAATTGCAGCTTGAACCGGAAATATCAGCATAATGAACAGGGACAATTTCAGCGAAGAGACACTTTGTTAGGTAATAGATACACTATCCTTACACAACTATGTCATTTATATGCTTTACATTGCCATTGCTTGCATGTCAGACAAACAGGGTTCCTCATTTGATCATTATCAGCCTGCTCCGAGGTCACCACGGCAATGAGAACTACCTCAAAGGAAACTACCCTTCACTGAATGGCCTGTATGTGTTTTTAAAATTAATAGTCGTCAATTTTGTACTCATAGTTATAATCCAGGATGGAGTCCGTGAAACCGCCAGGCGTCGAAGACTGTCCCTCCCCCGTGACCCACGAGTCGTACCATGATGTGGTGGTCTCTGGTGTTGTGGGAATTGTGGTTGTTGTCGGGGGTAACGTCGTCATTGATCTTAACTTCAGCAATCGCTGTTGCCGGAGGCGACGGATACGAGCTATTCTGAGCCTCCTCTGCCGTTCGGTGCTGACTTGTGAATTCGCTGAGTGCCCATTGACGCCATCAACCACGCGCTTGTTACCGCTCGCAATTGCAGGTTTCTGTTGTCTGTTGTTGGCATAGCTGAGTCGAATTGGCTTGTTACCATTGAGGGCCATGATCTGCAAAGACATGCGGGAAGACACTTGAAGTAGTTATTAAGTATTGGGTTACCAATTATTTAAGTGTTGTCATGTGGACGGAAGTGTCACACCTGTTTAATTCGGTCCCAGTTGGACTTTGCCAGGTTGAAGCTGCAGGCTGTGGCTCCTGACTGGTAACCCACCACACAGATTTTGGTCACAGGGGAGAAGCCTTCAGCTCGAACAGTCACGCGGTACTCTCCCGGGTTGAGCAGCCGCCAGTAGTCCCCTGTTGTTGCTACAATGGCAAACAAAGGACAGGCATTTTGTTGGGGGGGGGGGGGGGGGGCTCTGTTGTGTGTGAAATCAGCCAGGTAAACACATATTAGAAACTAAGGAGGTGGAAAAGGACATTTTTCAACAGACCTGTGGTGACGTCGTGGTTTATCCCATCTACAGACACAGTGGCATTTGCAATGGGGTTCCCCTGCTGATCCTTTACAATGCCTCTGATGCCACGATTCACCTAGATAGAGTGGGAGGGGTTCCAAAGAGGCTGAGGTCACTGGGTCTCATGTTGCCATGATTGGCTCTTGTATGAAAATCTGAAAGTCTGTCTTAAGTCTGTCTGAAAGTCTGCAGTAGAGCAGACGTATACTGTTCATCACTTGCTGTGTGAGTGACTGACCTGCTCCATGAAGATGATCATTGCTTCTCTGTTCTTCTCCCACTCAACCGCCAACTCACTCTGATGGGGAAACTTATCGCATCCAAGGAATATGGACAACTCAAAACAGTTGGTGTGCAGGTAGCTGAAGTCATTCATACCTGGAGACGGGGAGGAACACACACACACATATTAATCCTAGAGCCGCACTGCACATATTGTCCACCAGGCGGCACCTTTTAAACTATGCTAAACCTAATGGCCTCTACTCACTGCCTGTGATTGGCTTCCATTTGGCTCGGTTGACGATGCCGTGCGTCCCTCCAGCGGCGTCTCCGTGGCAGGAGCCGTACAAGCTGCGTGTCATGGTCAGGTGTGTGGAGGCGTAAGAGACAGCCAACCACCTGAAGAGGGACTCGTCTGCCACCACCCGAGGCTCATCGTCGGGCTCAGAGTACTGGTAGCCCGCGCTTCTTCCTCTATCATCCTCTTCCTCCTCCCTATGGCCATAGCCTTGGTTGTGGTCGTAGCCTTGGTTCTGGTCGTAGCCGTGGTTGTAGCCTTGGTTCTGGTCGTAGCCGTGGTCGTAACCTTGGTTCTGGTCGTAGCCGTGGTTGTAGCCTTGGTTCTGGTCGTAGCCGTGGTCGTAGCCGTGGTTCTGGTCGTAGCCGCGTCCGTAACCTTGGTTCTGGTCGTAGCCACGTTCTTGGCCCTGGTCCCTTCTATCTTCTTCCGGCTCTGCATATCCTCTTCCTCTCCAGTCTTCCTCTGGCTCTTCGTTGTAGCCCCTTCCCCACTCCGTCACATCATATCCTTCTTCTTCATACCTGTAAGAAATTCTTTTTGATCAGCTATTTAAATTTTTAAAGAATCATTGTAAGTGGTTCATAGACAGCATTGAAGGAGACAACATGATGTAAAATTAAATAAATAAAATAGTGATTTGTGTAAAACTGGGAAACAACAACAGAACAAAGTGGCAAGAGGAGAAGATGAATCCTACTGTCTCTTCTTGCGGCTGTGGGGTTTCTGGCTCTCGTCAGGCTTGTTGAGACGTAAGCTGTCATAAGGGTAGGCTACAATTGCCTCCCCGCCCTGGAAGTTTGCACCTAACACAAACGGATGGCTTTTCATCCAGGAGATTATGGCCTTAGTTTCCACAGCAATCTGGAAGAAAAACAGGAAGACAGATGCTAGCTCACCATAACCTCATTTTTGTTTACTGACCAGACCACCATTGTAAAAGTACCAAGGACTTTCAAATCCGTCGTATAGTATAAAAAAAGCACTTGTATGTGGGATGAAGGGTTTTCAAGAGAAAACAGTTGCCTCATAGAAACACTTAACTGGCGCTCTTCTCTCCCCACACTTTGAGCAGCTGGTCTTAAGACAAAGCTGTACCCTCCCCATCCCCCCTCCTCACCGAGCTGTTGGTCTCTAAGTTCGCCGGTAGGGGCATGTGGTGGTTTGGGGTGAGTTTTGGCACCATGCCCTTATCTTCAGCATCCCACAGGATATTATTCAGGTCAGGGAAGTTCTGGAAGATATCAAAGCCGTCCTCTGTGAAGTGTCCGGTGGTCCATCCACTCAGCTCTGAACCCTGCGGAGCAGAATTTTGACAAGCGTGACATGGAGACAGGTCACGTCAGACCACGACTCGTTTGCCAGTTCAATACAAACGTGTTCCTTCTAATGACAATATTCACTGACCGCCTCAAAAGCTTCCACCTGTCCGTCTGGGTTGAGCGATGGCACCAGGTGGATGCGTATTCCCTCCACCAGCCGCTGTACTCTGGGGTTTCTGTCCTTGTACTCTTTGCACAGGTACTGCATAAAAAGCAGGACCATCTCCCGACCCGTTGCCTCGTTTCCGTGGAGACCGGCCGTGAAGCGAAACTCTGGCTCCCCTGCAGAGATGAACGGACAAGACTTTAGCCTTTTGTCCATCGACTGTAATCTGCTGACTTGCACCTGGTGTTTATACGGATTTAGAGGAATCATCGGGGGAGCCATCGAGGCCAGACAGCCCTCACGTGTTTGATCGCAACACATCGGCTTTTAACTGTTGTAAAAACGTTTGATCTGCGTATTTCTTAATTGTATGAACACATTCTCACCTATTTCGTGCTCCATGGGGTTGCCAGAGATGACCATGGCCATGATGTCCAGTCCCTTGGAGCTGAGGCCCAGGCTGTAGATGTTGGTGATGTTGGGACACTCCGAATTCACTGACTTCATGAACTGAGACACGTGAGATTATAAAACGGTCAATGTGCAAAATATATCAATATAGCTACACATTATTTGTGAAACGGCTGAAGGACGCACATCTATCCCATCAGCTAAACCTCCCTGACGTTTATCAATAGTGCTCTTGATAGTTATGAAAATTGGGGGTGCTGTTTGGGGGGGATTGCGTTTGCAGGGAGAAGTCATGTTTCCCTCTGATGGCTGAAATAACACACTGAGAAAGAATGAGCTCTCTGCAAGGATTTAATACCAGTTTATATTAAAGTGGATCTCTGCAGACCTCCGGGTTTGTTCATGGGAAAGTATTTTGTTTTGGTCTCTGGGAAAAGGGGGGTTTCCTGTAGAGTTCATTCAGCCGAGGATACTCACAGAAACCATCTCTGAGTAGCTGTGATGTTTGAACTGCAGGTAATCAACTGGAGTGACTTCGTTTTGCCTGTAGTGAACATCCACTGGATCTGTGAAGCACAAAATAACAAAATGCATTATTCAATAGTGTGTGTGCGTACGCATGTATGCGCGTGCCAATGCATTCGAGGATCACCGGGTAGGGGGCAGCCGAGGACCTCCAGCCTCATGCACAGAGAGCCGTTCCAGCTCTGAGGGATGATCCGCATGTAGCGTGCCAGCACAGGCTGTGCCAGCTGGTTCATCACTGGAGTGTCCTTATCACTGTTTCCAAAGAACAACTAGGGGAGAGATAAGTGGGGGCAAGGTGAGTCTGGGGGGGAAAAAAGGAGGGAAACGTCATCCACAATGCCTGAGAAGGGACAGAGGTTTGCGGGAGCTCACCCAGTCACTGTACCCATCGTGGATGGTGGTCCATTCTCTGCTGTCGTTGCTGAAGGCCAGGAAATAGGACTCCACATAGTCACTCCTGGAGTAAGAAAATACATGAGCAACGTGTTCGGTGTAGAAATGGAAAATACAGTGCGCTCGTCTGCTTGCGTCTTACTCGTTGAAAGAGTTCCGTCCTTGTGTTATCACTCCCGTGAACTCCGTCTCCCTGCGAGCATCAATCTCAAACCAGTGGATTCTGTCCTCTGCGTTTGCACACCACGCTCCACCTCTCATGTTTTCTTCATCATCCGAGCCCTGGGAGCCACACAGACCACGAAACATGCCGATGGGTTCTGTCATTCTGTCGCATTTCAAGCTCACCCACATACTTAACATATGAACTTATCGTGTGCCGACATGCAAGTCGTTCGTATATGACAGATGACAAAATAAATCTGCAGTGGAGAGCAGGAACATGTGATGATTTACTGGCTTATTTAATTATTAAGCTGCCAAAATGATTAATAAACACCCAAAGCAGCTAATGAAAGCGACAGAGTTTTGTCCACAGATGGCTGGTGTTTATCTCAGTGATAGCTGTACTGTGTTTAAGCATTCAGACTGCAGCAGTCCTGCTCTGATTGGTGTGTACCTGCATGTTGAGGCGCGCCCTCTGAGGTGCAAAATAATACTGCGACGAGGAGGAGGCTGAGAACTGGTCCGGCTCAACCTTATGGGACTCAATCCCCAGGGGAGGACACTCTGCCAGAGAAAATCAAATGAGATGTTAATTATTGCAAAAGCAATGCTTTCCAGATCTGAACAGGCGTCGACTTACTCTTTGGCTCTTTGAAGACACGTGGTCTGTTCCTGGCGCGCTCCTCCGCCTCCTTCAGCCTCTGCGCTCTCTCTGGCAGAACAAAAAACTGTCTTAATGCCAAATATGATTTTCTTTAAATGTCAAACAGCACCCGCCGTGCTTTGAGAAAGGTTAAAGGTTAAATCCCATTTTCCTCCCAGTCAAAGGAGTTTACTTGGATTAAACTCCATCATTCAACTCTGAAGAATCACACACATCCTCATCATTAGTCCTATTCTAACACAGTGAACTGTGTGACATCTAATGTAATTTATTGCTGGAAGCGTGGCTGCTGTATAAGTCCTATTGACGGTGTGAATGTGAAACATGTTATCAGCTCACCGGCCACACTTGTACAATTGCACAAATACACACACACTGACTGACGCACACTGATGTGTTTAAGAGCAGACACACATCTGCCTCTGTGTCTGAGTGCTTCAAGCTGCAGTCGTTTCCTTACACACTTGTCGACTAAGAATGCTTTTCAGCTTGAACCCACGTAGCAGGAAGTGCCCTATTGACGCCGGTCCCGTCGGTGTCATATATCATCGTCTCTAGCCTTGACCACCAGCTGACCTCGCTGCACACACAGCAGACGCGTGACCAAAGAGAGACCGTGTGAAGGCTTTAGAGCCCTCATCCTACGCCTGCGATTTCTGCCGTATTGCCCCGTTGCTTCATCACTCACCAAAGCATTGTGAGATTCTTTGATTCATCTCCATTTAGTGGTAGAGGGACGGACCTTTGCCCATTTGATGCAAGTGAAAGGACCAAAAGCTGCATTCTCTTAATCCAGAAATGTGACCAAAGGGAGGGAACATCTTAGAGCTGTTATCTGTTAGAACTTTTGCACTTGGGTCACCGGTCGTGTTCTTTGCTTTGACAACTACATTATTGTATGTGTTCTTACGTGACTGTGCAGAGGGGTGTTGTGTAAGGGAAAGCAAAATTCATATCTGTGTTATCTTACCTTTAGCTTCCCTTGCTCTTTCCTTTTCTGCTCTCGCTCTCTCCTTTTCCATCCATTTATCGTCAGCCTCGTCTTCTTTCCTCCCTGTGAAAAATAAATGATGGGCTCTTTAGAAATACCTGTTCTTTTTCTCCAGCAGGAAACGTATCAACCTGGTTTCTGCTTATTGTTTATCCATTGGGAGGCCGTCACACTGCAGCTTAGCTAATGAAGCTAATATAATACATTCAGTACGGATATGTTTTAGTTGTTTGCGTGTGTCTGTGCACATACTCATTCCATATTCGTCGTAATCATCATACCAGGTTCCCTCATGCGGAGAAGTAGCAGTGGGTTCCTCTGCGTATAAAGAATTAAAAAATAAGCAAGTCAAGTCAGACCACTCGTTCAGTCAGTCAGAGGCAAGGCGACAGTACACGTGAGAAGGATTTAATAAAGTTTTACAGGTTAGCACAGTCCTGATTTATTCAACCACGGGAACTGTTTTCAGTTTGGATGCCACTGCGTCGCCCACTGTGGAATTAAGTTGTTAAATCTTTAAATTTACATTTACAAGAAGACAGAGTTGTGAACTGATGACAGGGTTCTTTTTTAACTCCACATCAAAACGGAGGAAAGTTTTGTTGACGCTGTGGAACCGAGCAGACCCACCCACTCTTTGAAAAGTAGGGCAGGTTAGCTAACAGACTCTCTATTATGTTATTCCCATGTGTTGAATTGCTCATGATTTCTCATCTGCTCCCGGCCAAAAGGCACAGATGGAACCAACATTTCATCTGCGTCACGGAGTCTACGGAGACGTCTTATTAGTTTTCTGTCTGACTGAGGGTTTTACATCTTAACTAGTACAAGTTAATTTAATTGAAGGGACATCGGTTACCTGGTAGAGTTTCTACTCTGATTTCGGGGCTGACCTCTTCCGGCTCCTTAACTGCAATATTGGAAAAAAAACAAAAAAGAAACAAAGGTTGAACAAAGCGTTTGATCCAGAGACTGAGAAACATGAGGAAGTGAGAGAAATGTGGGTGGATGAATGAATGAATGGGACTGTTGAGAGAGCAGAGGTCCGGTGCAGTAAGCTGGAAACACAGAACACGTCAGGCGAGTCCAGGTGAGTGTCACACAGACACAACACACGGTGGAAATAATTAGCGTTTCAATCACAAACTTTGTACATCAGATCAGATAATTGTTTTACTAAAGTTCGTAGCTTGAAAGTTTAGCGTGGGCAGAACAATGTGTTGCAATTATCAGGGCCACAGAAGATATTGTTTCAGACACTTTATGTTCGGTGAATATAACAGTTTATCTTCGGATGTTTTGTAAATAAATACCACTTGAACTAAACATTTCCACTGGTGGAAACTCCGAAAGCCGATTCAACAGTAAGTGAATGATGATAACTTCAAATCTTACCAACCTGATCATTTATCAAATGCATCCAATAAAGTTGTTCAGTTAACTTACTGCATACCGAGGATACATAGTATGAATTCTCCAGAAACCACCTCTTGTCCAACACGTAATATGTGTCTTTAAGTGTCTCAGATGAGTCACATTGACTAAACTGCTCCCCCCCCCACCCGCAACCATCTTTAAAACCAACTTACACGTGGCGTCCCAGTAATCGGTGTCCTCTGCCCCGGCCTTCCCATCAGCCTCGGGGGCGACGGCCGTCGGGTCCGACTCTTTCCAGTAGCTGTCATAGTTGTCAGTCACAGGAGCATTTGGTTCTTTGTCTTCAAGTGTCCAGTAGTCGTCGTAGGCGACGGGGCCCGGAGTGGCTTCAGGGGCCCAGTAGTCGTCGTAGGCGACGGGTGCCGGAGCAGACGGCTCTCCCTCCTCCGGTTTCCAGTAGTCACTGTAGGCGTCTGTCACCGGGGCAGCTGGTTGTTCCTCCTCCGGCTTCCTGTCGTCGTACGGAGGATCCGTGCTGGGGCCTCGGGCCGGGGCCCGGGTGTTGTGGGGTCTGCACCCCAGTAGTCGTCGTCGGGTTTCCAGTAATCATTGTCTGCCGGAGGAACAGATGGAAAGCTGTCTGGACTGAAATATTTTGCATGCTATCACGTTTTTATTTTTTCACACCGATTTCTCTTTTTCAACCGGATGTGACTGAAATGTGCAAAACTAGGAACAAAGGCTGAGGCGGTTGATGTTGGTCGGAGCACAGAAGGAATTGTGAGTTACGTCCTCGGCCGTGTGTTCAATTCGTAAGGAACATGACACGATTATACGGGAGGAGGGGAGGTGAGAAAAGAGGGTGGGTAGTGTTTATTCCCATTGTTGCTGAGGTAGTGTGACTTTTTCCATTCCACACCATCCTTTTCTTGACAAAACGTGACAGTTACGACAGCAATCATGCAGCTGCACTGAGCTAGTGGAGGCTAACAGTGTGTTTGGCCTCAAGCAGGAAGGAGTAGACAGCAGAGGTCTGGTAAACTCCCTTCTTTCTACAGACACGTCCCCAGATCCTATCGCATTTTCAACTTTGACATCACCCGGGGCAACACAGCTCCCTGTGGAGCCCCAAAAGGCTTAAAGACAACAGACTTGTGTTGCAATGAGTTGCTCTGTCGTTTGAGTTACAAGAAGGAGGGAGTTTCAGTTTCTTCTCTCAGTAAAGTAAAATGATAATAATAGTAAGTAATGGAGTGCGTGTCACTCACCAGCATCAGGATAGTTGTAGTCTGTGTCTGTGTCGGGCTCAGGTTCAGGTTCAGTTGGTGGTTCAGTGGGGATCACTGGAGGCAGCAGGCCGACACAAAGTCAGCAACATTAATTCAGTTATTCAAGTAGAAACTTGATTCCGTTCTCTGTTCTGTCCTCACCTGTCGTGGTTGGGGGTAGAGTTGTGGTGGTCCGCTTGTCCTTCTTCTTTCCCTTCTTGTCAGTTTTAGGCTTTTTGGTGGCTTTGGGGGCCTTTGGCTCTTTGTTCTTCTTCTTGTCTTTCTTCTTTTTGCCTTCCTCTGGGGCTCTCCTCACCCTGCCTGAAAATCCCAGAAAAGAAAGAAAACCAGAGAGGAAAGAGGCGGATGGGTGTCATGTTATTGGCTCACTTAAGCACACTTTATCTTCGGAAGAAAAGAGAAAAAGAAACGAAAAATACCACACATATATCTATATATATATATTATATATACATTGTGACTGGGAATGTGATCTAAAAGGGTGAAAGAAACATTTTTCATTCATCTCTTCTGTTGTTGAAAGTCTGTAAATACTTGCCACATTAGTTATCAATGAAAGCACATTCATGTTAAGTATTGAAGTGAAAAGTTATACAACCCTAAGTACCATTTCCGACCAATGTGAGAATCGGATTATGCAATTATGTCAGCCAGGAAAAATCCAGACAACCACATGCATTTCAGTGGCCGCTTCAGGTTCATCAGTATTTCCTTAAAAGGTTGAATTCATGGAAAGGATTTCTCTCTCTTTCCATTAGCCGTTCTCAATTAACCACACTTCTGTTTTAATGACAAAAAAAATCTTTCCGTGTATTGAATAAACATATCACTATGGCCTCTGAAACAGGCCGCTGTTACCGCTACGCCATAAATCCATCAGAGAGCCTCATCTAAGTGTATTACATCTGCAGCTGGGATTTAACGCAGTAGAAAAGAGCTTCATTGCAATTGTGCAACGGTCTGCGTCCATTGTCCCATCGTGAGTGCGCACCAGAATGCATTAATCATACAGCGTGTGGAGGCACTTTGCAGAGGCAGTGGAAAAGCTCTGTGTCATGAGATCTGTCTGCAAGATGCTGGCTGGGTGTCTTCCTGTCTTGTCCGTTGGGGGCCCTAACAAAAATTCTTGCCTGCTGTAGAGAAGATGAGGTGGACAGACAACCAGCTGGACGTTCCTCATACCTGCTGGAGCTGAATGGGCGTGTGTTTGAGTTTGCTCCCCCGTGTCCCGCTGCAGCTCAGACCATACCACAATGCATTTGATATTTCGTCGCTATAACATTCGGTGCTTGTATTTTACATTTTTGCCTCTGAATTAGAATGTTCTGCACTCACCAAGCGCTGGGACCTCCTCCGTGTCTCTCTTGTCCTGGATGCTGCTTCCCAGTGGGTGTGGGTCCCCTGTGAGTCCTTGCTCACTCTCTGGGTCATCCAGGGACCGCTGATCCTCTGCCTGCTTCTCCCCTCCACTCAGCTGCAGAGAAGCGATCCCCCCAGCACTGTGCCCTCCTCTTGGGATCTGCAGGCAGCACAGAGCCAGCAGAGCCACAGACACAACAACAGTCTGGCTCTTCATACCTGCTCTGCTCTGCTCGTCCAACTGCAGAATTCTTTGGTTTGTTCTTTTTTGCTTTTCTCTCCCAGTCGTCCCCACTGCTAAATCCAACTGCGCCAGAAGAAGTACTTTTTACACTTTCCTCCCCTGGGCCGCCCCCTACCCCTTTGCAATGCGATCCACACCTTCACTCCTGCGCGGAAATTTCTTCAGCTCCACACGTACTCGCAGCCACAGTGTCAGCCAGGCTCAGACTGGGCCAGACGTGGAGAGAGATGGACTGGGAGGGGGGTGGGGATATGCAGGGAGGTGGGTTTCAGAGAGAGAGACACACACACACGCAGATAGAGAGACGCAGAGCAAAAGCAGCAATCCAGACAGATGAATAGACCGGGTCCCTAATTGCCCTACAGCTACGGTCAGCTGACAAAACAGCGCCAGACCAGAGGTTCCCTCTTCACCTGGCTGACGAGTCACAACAGGTGCAAGGCTCAGACAGGAGACGGGGGGGGACGACGAGGGCGGGCAGACGGGGCCTGAGACCACAGGGCTCGCACCTCCCGAGTTTGTGAAAGAAGCTCCTTTTTCTCCCGTACAATTCCTCAGGCGGAGAGCTTTTGCTCTGCAGAGTTATGACAGCGCAAGGCAGCAGGAGAGAGGAGCTACTCCTAGGACATTCAATTCCACCACAGGAGGAGGAGGAGGAGGAAGAGACAACAAGGGGGAAGACAAGGATTGTGTGTGTGTTAACAAAACCAAAGACCACTAATCATCAGAGGGAGGAATTGAAAGTAAATGAAAACAGGCAGGACAGGCCATAAACTATTTTCATGGTGTTGTGTAATTCGCCTTCACTATCCGGAAGAAAAAGTATTGATCGCCGAGGGTGGAGGAGCACACACACATTACACGAGAATGGTCGAAGCATATGAGGGAATAATAACCTTAAAAGATCTTGGTGCATCCTCCGCACCCCATCCCCCCGAGAGAATGTGAGGCCCTTGAAATGCCTGCTGTGTTTATTTGACCACCAGTCTAGTTAAGGTACCTATTTCAGTCTTCTTAGGTAAACCAGAGTGATTCATTCTCAGCAAGGAGTAGAATAGATCCATTTAGGGCCTGAAATGTAGGTCCAGTTAAACGCATTAGACATAAATGATAAAAATTTGGATTTAAATGCTAAAATTCTGACCAGCCTTACTAAAACTCAAGCAATATAGAAGTGCAAAATATTTTCAAGGAAAATGGCATCATGTTACTGTAACTCAGTTCATACAGTCATTCCTAGAAAATACAATAAGGTCAGCTCAAGGTTTTAACTGAAAATTTAGCTCTATCTTCCCCCCTGAAAGGAGGTTAAACATTGAGAAATTCCTGATGTAAACAGTTCAATCAGAACGCTGCACAGCCCACGTCCGTGAAATAAATACGGCAGATCGTTCAGACTGCAGCGAGTTCACGCAGAGGCCTTTTCTACTGGCGAGGAAACAGACACATACTGGGGAGCTTCAGGGATATCTGCAAAACGATCCCTCTTTATAAAATACTCAAAATCAGAAATCACACATATTTCCATTGGATTTATGTTGCAGTACTTTTCATTTAATTATTGACTTTCTGCCACTTACATTGAACGACCAGGAACCTTTCTGTTTTCACAATATGAATACCGTTCCACCATTTTAGACAAGAATGACTCAACTTAAACTCAAAAATGTTTGAACCAGGACGTAAGACAAGAACCGGCGACCCTTCATGTCACTCACATGTTGATGAGTACTAGTCAGAGGGACCTTTTGCAGAGAAGCTTGATCAGATTGTGTCAGAAAAGACATCATTCGTGATCACAGAGAGCAGATGAGTAGCCCAGACCTTACATTAGCTTAGCTAACGGTTTACACTTTGGTATTAATGGAGCAGACGTGCCTTTTGCTTGCTTCTAATAATCCGTAACAGGCGACCTACTCAGAGAATACGTTTAGGGTCTGTGCACTCAGCCTTGAGCTGAGCAGCAGCAGCATCTACTGAGCAGGAAACAATGACATCAGAGAAGGAGAAAAAGGGAGGAAGAGAGTTGGGGGAGGGGGGACGGGAGACAGAGTAAGAAATGCTGTATTCCAGCAGGCTCACAAGGTACAAATGGAAACACATACCCCCTAAAGTCCATCTCACTCTTCTCCCTCCATTCTCACTGATCATGCGGAGCCCTAAAAAGCCTCCCTCTAGAATAACACATAACTGATGTCTGTGTATTGCATTATTTGCCCGTTAATGGGCCCCCCGAGTGAAACAATTCCAGTTGTGTCCTGCGTTTGTACTTGTGCTCGTCTGAAAACATGTGCACAGAATGCCGACACTGACGCAGAAAGCACGGTAAAGTATTAGCAGGAATAAAATACCACTAATGGAACAGAGAGTTGGACATAGATTAGGTTTGCTGAAACATTTTTTCCACCCCGTGTGTGTGTGTGCTGTGATTCAGCAGGTCCACCACAGCCCGGTCATCTGGCACCGTGGGAATGCAGCCACGAGTCTGATGAAGCGCAGATGTACAAGCGCACGGCAACAATTCCTTTGGAGGCATTCCAACTCTTTTTTTTTTTTTTTGAGCAAGGACCAAAAACTCCAACTTTTCTTGGATCACTGCATAGATTGCAAAACTGTACTGCGTGGCGGGAACACAAGGGAGGTGCACTTACATTCTAGTAAGTTCTGTTTAACTGAGCTTCAATGATTTGTTATTAATAATTTGTTTCCCAGAGGAAAGACGAATCACAGACTGAAGAGCCTTGGACGGTGGACTGCTAGACTTTTAAGACTGTCAACAAAGGCTGCCAATAGTGGCGCTCTGCCCTGATGATGAAGCACCAGAGGAACTTCAGAGGTTCACTTGAAAATAAACAACCAAGGGGAGAATAAATAAGGATTAGGTTTACATTTCACAGGACGTTGCTGCTCCTGCTTTGAAAGCTAAAGCACCGAAACCTATTTAGTGATGACGTTTATTTGTGCACGAGAGGATTTTGCTGTACTACGACACATGACTCTGAATTATATGGCACCTGTAGACGGTACGATGTTCTCATGTGGCTTTAGTCCTTTAAGTTGCAGATCTATTGCACCCTAGTGGCTGAATTACAGAAAAGCTATAGAAGAGCCACAAACCATATGGTCTCAATTCAAAACTGCATGATGACAATTTTTAGCTATTCAAAAAATGTATCATTCATTCAGCGTACATGCAGTGTGCAGTTTGAAGACGACAAATCTCGTCAGAAGAATTCTTTAGAAGGCCAACAGGGGCTCATTGATTCCACAGAGAAAATACATTCCTTTTTAAACAGCATTTATTTAGCTTTCTCCATACAATACATTTAATGTACAACAGCACATACTGTTTTCTGAAATAACTCTCAGTATAAAATAGGATTTCTACAATCAAGGTACAGTCATAAAATGCTCTGAGGGACATGGCGACGGCAACAAGAAAACACCTTCATATAAAGCGCAGGATATTGAGAGAAGTGATTGTATTTGAAGCAGAACTTCACATCACACCTCTCAGAGCATCCGACTTCCTGCAAGAACCCGTTTTCTTTTTTCTTCTTCTCTCGGCTCTAGTGTCACAACTGAGGCGATTCCAAATGATGATCAACGCATAGGAATGTGATCTATTACAACTGCTGTAAATATGACTTGGCTATACGGGAGGATAAATTAGGTCTTGTTTGGGTACTGAATAGATACCAAGGTCAAAGCATACGACGTATTATGACTGCTTATCAAGTCTATATCTTCACAATCACATACTTAACTGCATGTCTGTGACTGCAGCCGTAAAGAACGGATTGTTTCTTAGTGTTTCCGGACATCGAACACTTAAACACAGCCAAAGTATACTGTACTATCACTGAAGCCACAAGGAAACCAGCTTATTTCAAACATGGTTATCAGCCAATTATAGATCATTTTAAAAAGGACTTTGGAGCATGTGTGGGCTTATATATTGTCTATACGTGTGTCTTTAAATAGAATACACAGAACATTGACCAGCTTGTGTGTTAATTTGCCATTACGTAGTGCTTCAGGTGTTGAATATACATTATATAACATGTCCAATCGGTATGAGAGAAGGCCCAGGTACAAGGAAACAAAAAAAGAGGGTCTGACTGGGAGGCCAAACAAATATCAGGGGAGAGAAAGGAGAGATTTGTCTCAAGTCTTGAGGTAAGCAATGTGTTTCAGTATAATGCCCTACAGACAATCATACAGTTACAATCATTAATTCTCTATATACAAACTTCCTGATTTACATACACTGTACTGCTCCTCAGTTTAAAATAGAATAAAACTAAATGGGAGATCATATCCATGGTGCAATTTTTCTTAGGAGGGAGGAGGATCGGACTCCACCAAGCCGGTTTTTTTATGAGGTGGGCGGTAATGAACATTATGGCTATTGAAGATGGCCTGTTTCCTCTTGCACTCGTCACACACACACACACACACACACACACACACACACACACACACACACACACACATCTACGACAGTGCAGATTTTCCTGTTCAGTCAAAACACTCGCACACCATTGGCTAAACTACATCAGCGTTGTTTTCTTTTTGAAGTTATAAGGTTGAGAATGGAGATGACAAAGTACAACTGCCCGAGTAGATGTTGACATGGAAAATGTACATGCTTGTGTGTATGTCCATTAGGCCTGCCTGTTTTAGGGGATCACATGAACTATGTTCACTGCGTTACGATAATGTTTACTGTGGCACGGTGGATCAAATGAAAGAAAAAACAGGAAACAAGGATAAACCAGCGCTCTACCCCACATGGCTCCACTGGATGTAGGCACCACTGTTTAACAAGGTTGAGCTCAATAACACGTTGAGCCGATCCCACATCTCTCCACAACATGTGCTGCGCCAAATAAACGTGTGTCTACCGAAAGAGGCTTAATGCAAATACTAAATAAATGTGCTATAGTAGTAACAGTTTGCGCACCAATAGACACTACGGACTGTAACTGAGACATGACGTCAACAAGCTTTACGAAGAGGAGGAGGCTATAAGATGCTACAGTACTAGTGCTACCTGAACATGCTACAGATTGAGACTACGACGATGGGAGACGGTTTCACATTAGCACAAAGCAGGAACCAGCTTTGCCGAGGAACTCTATCCATCCGGGGCCACAGAGCCGCTGACTGCAGCCGTGTCCGGTACCAATTTTTGTTTTTTAAAAAGCAAACCAAAGAATGTGTTTTTTGTTTGGGATAAATCTTGCCCTCGGGACATGTTATGTACCATTTTTTTTAAAATGACAAAAGTACCGTCTTTGCAGCTTGATGGATCAAGTACTTAGTAAAGCTGGCTTATTGTGTGCAAGGAAAGCACCCCATCTGTAGTCAGTCCCTGTCATACAACACACACACGCACTTCCATACAAACACATTTGCTTGCAAAAGCGCACAAACCCTGAAGTAAGGAACGATTTCTATCGTCACACAGCACTAGCATTTTGATTATCATTGAGTGAGAGCTGGGATTGCATACTGTACCATACATCTCCTAGGAGAGGCACCCTTCATCAATGTCAGCTCATTCATTTTTCTGTCTCGCACACACACCAATTTTGAACTGGTCAAATAAAATACAATCACATGCTTTATAACGGAATGTAGAGAAAGCTCATACCAGACCTTCCACTTCAGCCGGGACCGAGCCGAGCAGACGAGACTCTGTTATGAAACGTCTGCTGGGTTTTAACCGTGAAAAGTTGAGAATTCAGAGGATTTTCTTACATTCTGGTGGATATTAACAGTTAAAAACCCTTCGTGCGCTCATTAAGCCATTAGTTTAATAACAACATTCTGCCCTGCTTTTATGCTAACTGTGAAGTTATGGCGGCTGTCCCTTCAGAAAGGTCTAAAATAGTTATTTTTAAAATTATTTAAAATATATTCCCCCATGTCAAGTGGGAGCTCTGGACTAAGTCTATCAGACCCCTGGCAAAATATGCCATGAGTGCACCAACTACTGGCTACGCCTCGACACATCTGGACCATTCTCGCACATCTTTCACATGACAAACATTTCATTCACGCTCTAATAGAAATGCAGTCATCACACCCTCCAAGCAAGCTGCATTCAAAGTCTACAGGGCGAGATATTTTAGGACAGCATCTACTGGCAATTTCTTTTTAGTTTATTCTCACCGTAAAAGTAGCGGAGCATTGAATAATGTGCATTAAGAGCTGTATGTCAGAGCGGGAGAAAACCCCCAACCCTGCAATGTCAAAATACCCCGATTGTGAGACCCTAAGGGAAGATGTGTCTGCGTTTTGGACTATAGGAACGTATAGTTGAACCGAGAATTTGGCAGCTTTCAATTTGGCTACTAAACCCAGAGAACATTACGGCAACCATTTGACCTGCATTGGCTCTTTATATTTGACTGTTCTATGTTCAAAGAAATTCATTAAATATTCATAAAACAAAGTTAAACGGAACTCTGAAAGACCCCAAAGCTTAATCTGATCAAAGTGCAGCACCCCAGCATCAATGGAAGGAGTGGAAGTGTTTGAAAAGGTTCAGATAGCAGGTCCTAGATCAGAGACTGGTGGGGTTTTAGCTCTCGCACATACCGTGTTGGATGTACTCACAAACAGGATGCTCACTCACTCACTCACAGAGTCTAGCTTAGATGAGTCTGGCCTCTCCCTCCATGTCTGGCGGAAGTTCACACACTCCCGTGAAGTGCATCTCCTTTCCCTTGCTTCCCTGCCCCCCCCCGGCTCTGGGCCCCAGGCTGGGAGACGGCTGTTGGGCCTGTGGGTCTGGCGACGTCCCACGGGGGATTCCACCTGCCCGTCTCTCTTTCAGGAAGACCTCTAGTCGGCGCAGCATCTGCTTGGGGTTCTTTTTGGCGAACAGCTCCACTTCTGATGGGTTGGAAAAACACACAAGGTATGGGACTCATGCTGGGGAGACAATCTGTGGTTAACTGCGCTTCTGCAGTCGAGTTTTCAGGTCAATGAAGAGACCTATGACTCTTGTTTCAAAGCAGGAGCTTGACATTTTGAGTATGCATGAGTTGCAGGAGAGGATCTATAACCACTCACATATCTGTCTTTTTTAACTATGCAGTATTTGGATCCGCATAGCTTCAGATCTAACTGACACATGATATAGTAATATATAGTATAGTTAAAACAGTAAGGAAAAATCTGAGCAAAAATTAGCATTCCTATAAAATTGGAGGACTTTTTTATTCCACACATTCGTATTTGTCACAACAATGCGACTACAGGTGTGGGTGGTTTATGGTAGTAGTTTAGTATCGATCCTCAAACAGAGATGGGGAGCATCCATAGAGGTCTAATAGAGCAAATTCTATCTAACGCCACAACCACAGATTTTATTTTATTTTCAAACTTCTTCTCAGTACAAATTAACAAACATCCTTTGAAACATGTCTGGTGACCGAAGAAAACTGCACACCAATTCCTCTACCTTTCAGAACAAAGCCAGAGTCAACGATGGTCTTCTGTTGGGTCTTCCACAGTTGATACAGGTGCAGATACGTGGCGACGTAGAACTCATTCAGCACACCAACCACTTGCTGACGACGATTGCACTCCCTGACACGGACAAAGAGGTTGTGAATAATGAGCTGCAAGCCAGATGCATATTCAAGAAGATTCATAAAAAAGGAAAGAAATGTGAGGATCAGTGACCTACTTGGACATGGCTTCTTCTCTGAGTACTTGCAGAGCGATGCGGGTCATGTTGATTGACATCACACTGAATGGAAAGTTCTAAACCAGCGAAAATACACAAGGAAATGTACGTCCTCATTAAAGTTAGAAAAGATTGCAATTCTCTACAAATTCTGTTTTTCCGCTCTAGTTCCCTTTGCAGCGAGGACTAAGTTCAGGGTCAGCTACAAAAGTAGCACAGCCGGAGTGGGAGGTGCTTCAGTGTCCCTGAGGAATTTGTGAAATCTGATTCATGAATACAACACATGCATGCATGCACAGATTGGCGGACTCTGCTGGTATGGACAATTGCGACCCGGTGATACCTGTGTAGGGTGTTGTGATAACTTGTAGATGTCTCTAGCCAGCGGTAGAGTCTCTGGGTCCATCACGAAGTACAGCGTATGCATCAGTCCTAGGAAACCACTGCCACGTAGGTCGGTGGCTGGGTCTGTACCTGCAGCACAGAAAACAAACCAACGACACATTGCGTGATGATGGTTCCTTGTTATTACTGTCAATTCACTTGGAACTATGACTGTCCACGAGGAGAGGACGTCTCTCTCACCTTGAAAGCCGATGTTTTCCCAGTGCGCCCCAAAGCGAGGACAGTCCAGCCTGCTGCCGGTCAGCCGCTTATAAATGGTCTGGAGTACACGCATGTGGACTGCTTGGCTATTGTCCACATGGCCTGTAGAGAACACACACACACGAATATGCAGGAGGGAAAATTTGCAGATTACTGGTCACCCTCAGCAATGTTACACATGCACGTGGGACGATAAGATAAACGAGCCCAGGAAAGACACACTCACACTTTGCGATGGCAAAGACCAGATTCCTCTCCTCCAGGAGTTCCCTGTGCAGCCGTGGGGGTCCGAAGAGGAAATGCGTGATCGCTGCCAGACCGGTCCTGTGTATCGTTGGCTGGATGTTCTTCTACAGATAAGGGTTGGAGATATAAATAACTATAGTTAGCACTATCAGTACAATTCTTGAGTCCAATAGTAATCCGCTTGCTTCTTGTGTAAATATTTGCAGCATTATGGCTCAAATATTTATATTTTTGGCTGGACGTACTGTATGCACGCCAATCGCTCACCTACTCACTGTAAATTTCCTTACTGACAAGTGACAGTGGTCTTTATGTGCTACAGGTCTTTATTTGATACTTACTGTCAAAATTAAATTGTTTTTGATTCGCTGCTGCTTGTTTCTGCTAAGTATTACCTTCCCATCCCTGGAATTTTTTTTGCAATATCAAACCTGAAGTCAACAAATAGCAAAACATCAGACATCTATATCTAACTTTAATCTATATTTTGTTGAATCTTTCTTTTTTTTTTATAGGAAACTGCTACTTTTATTTGGTATTACTTGAGAATTTGACTATTAGTGTTTCTTACAATCAAGTCCACGAGGTCTGTGGTCTGGAAGTACTGCAGGGCTTCATTGAAGGAGATGAGTGGAGTTGGGTTTGAGTCCTCAGTGATAGCTGGAGGATTTTATATAAAAAGTTAAACTTTTAAAAATGCAAAATAAAGACCACATTAATTAAATCAGCAAAGCCGTCAGTATCTTAATGCAAACAGGTGATACAGCAAGAGGCATCTGACCTGGTTGGACGTTCTCCAGAGCCTCCCACTCTTCTCTGGCCTTTTCCAACTCCACATTTTCCTCTGTGAGGAAAGTGAAAAAATAAATACGTCAAACTAAACCACTTGTCACACACACAAACTTGACAAGGAGCAAAGATGAGTGATGAGTCTCTTCTCAGCCAATTGGCTGTGGTGCAATGGCCATCACCGACCCAAGCCTTTCTCAGTCATAAATCCTTCCTTCCCGCAGAACTACGTCACTCAGTGTGCCACTGAGACCCTGGGCTTCCTCCAAGCAGGCAACCTGCACTCCTCCTGAGGGAGGCTTTACCTGCCGAAGCTCACTGGTATCCAGGATACACGGTCTCACATTCCGGTGGGAAGAGGACGTGAGACAAAGGGGAGGTTGTGTGCGACTGTGTGTATTACCTGCAGGCTTATCCTGCTCCCCTCCGGCTGCCAGAGTCTGCAGAAGACCATTCTGCTTCAGTGCTGAAATCTGGACAATTAACAAATAATGGATTACCTTACATTCAAGGAGGACCAAGTTGATTGCAGTAAGATGCTGAGAATGACATTTAACTACCGGCAGGGATCTGAGTGGTGCATTGCCGTTGGTTTGGTCGGTGACGTTGTGACTAATTATCATTCCGTTAATGACCTGAGAAGACAGAAGTTTGAATTGTTAATGAATAAAACAAAAAAAAAGAGCAAATAGCAATGGATAAACAAAAAGGGTTATTTTGCTCACAGGCTTATGGTTGGACTGTCCATTGACGATATCCTCTAATGGTTTGCATTCACGTGGAAAACCATTCAGGCCCTAACAGGAGGCCAGCAACACGGAGCAGATGCTTCAGATATGTGTACAATGTAAAAGTAGCACATTGTTCACTGCTTTTAAATGTTAGAGCTATCTCTGAGGTGGGAGACACTCAGAAAAACACCACTCGTTCCATCGTATGTGGAGGCTTCTTGTGTTGTTTAGCTAGGTAGATCCAGTAATTTGAGGGTACAGTCCCTTGGAGAAAAACTGTCCTTGCTTTTTTACGTTGCCACTAGCCAGGCAGAGGACATACTTATCCAACTGTTTACAAAAAATCAGTACACAAGGATAGAGGCACGGGAGCAATAAGTAATGTTACGTCTGGAAAACCAAGCAGTGGATAAGGGAAATACCCCGTCAGCTGCTGCCATGGCAACACACCAAGCAAGTCAGACCAGAGATTTTACCTAAAGTAGAGGGACAACTTTTGACCTTTGGCCTTAATTCAATGAAGTGACAGAATGGTTTGAACAAGTTTGCTCTTAATTGTTTATTAAACAGTGTGGTACAGGAAAGGAAAATGTATTCCTGAGGGTGACTAATTCAATATGGTAAGATGGCCCCTACTTCTATTCTGTTCACCAACACAACAGGTGTTTGAATGGTTTTAACCTGCTGCAAACAAAAACACCTAATTAGACTAAACAGTTTACAAATGTTTAGACCGAAAGTGAAATAATTTTACCTCAGTGTGGGATGTGACATCAAGATCTTCTTCCATTGCATATGAGTTGTATGTGTTGGCTGGCGAGCGTGTTCCTGATCCTGGCCTTTAAAGGCTTCTCTGGTCATGGACTGAGATGGACTGAGGAGGTGATGCCAGGACCACCATGGCTTCTGTAGTGCACATTAGTAGTGACTCCAACTAGCTATGCTTTTCTCCTCAGAACTCAATGTCAACATTCACAACCAGGATTTACTATAACTATCACTTGCAGAAAAAATCCATTATGTGCACATCATATTCTCCTTTTCTGCGTTGTGGTGATGATTGTGTGGTTGAGATGGCAGCCTGGTATGATGAACTACAATGAAAAGGTCCAACCTTGTGTGTTGTACACTTACAGGAATGTGTAGTTATTGGCCTACAAGAGCAGACACAAGGAAACGGCCATCCATCAATGCACAAGTTTCCTGGAAACTTGCCTTCTTCCTCTTCCCCTCAGATCTGCTTGGACAGTGGGTCCTTTCCTCAGCACCATCAGACGTACAAAGACGCTGGACAATGACATTGCATTTCAGGGCTGGGCTCTCCCTGTCCGAGACACTTCATTTCCTTGGCACCAAAGACAGATCTGGTACGGACCTCGAGGTTAAGAGTTCAGTTTTAATTCATTTGAAACAAAGCTGTGTTATGTCTTCAGCCTCACATGAAACAGAGGCACACGTCCAGAATGAGAAGTGAAGGTGTCCAGTGAGACGTGGGTCATGGAGAGAGTTCTTGTGTCGTCAGACTTCTGAGGAGGGGCGGTCATATGTACACACTATCTGGAAACTAGAGCAAAAAAGAATGATTGAACTACACCTACAATTCTCATTTGAGGTATCCCTACTTTACGTTTACATTTATTTGACAAATTAAGATTTAACATATATAAAATAAACAGCTAATTTATTTAATAATACGGATTGAAATACCTAATAGTTTAAACAAAATTAATCACAAAATAAATCACTGCACATGAGGGCTTCAGCTTTCTGCATTGACTCCTTTCATTTCATTGCATGGCTTTCACTGGTAATGAGAGTATGTTTACACAGAATGGGATTACCACTTTTACTTATCTGGAGGCTGTGAATACTTGAGATGTCAGTTTGCTGGTGCGTTTCTCCGCTTTGACAGCTAACGTTACAGTAGCAACCTGACGTCAGCTAGCTTCCATCAACCGTAGCAACCAAGACGCTAGCAATATGTCAGCTAGCAACCCGCAGGCACAAAAACGCAGCTACAGCTTCTTCTCCAAACTGAAAATGCCACAATTGCACAGGTTGTAGCAAAGAGTTTACAATTTTATTTCATGAGTATTTAGTGCAACGAGGCATTTGATACCTAAGCTATCAGCAGGGGGAAAAAGCCAGCTGTCAGGCTAACTAACGGGCTAGCTCTGGCTCCATTGAACTGTAACGGGGATGGAGTCTGTACACAAACGCGACCGCACCGAACGGATAAAGCTGCCATTTTTCTACAAGGTATACAAGAAAACCCCCGAAACATTGCGTGCTGTGGCCTGTCCGACCAAATTATGCAAAATACAGCATTTCAAAAGTACCTCAGTTTCTCACTGTTTCTCCCTCCAATCTCAGCTTCCCTTCCCCCGTCCAGCGGCCGCTGTCATTTCAAGTGCATCATGGGAATTGTGGTTCCCTGTTGGACTGTAGCTTCATTACGTCATCTCTCTCTCTCTCTCTCTCTCTCTCTCTCTCTCTCTCTCTCTCTCTCTCTCTCTCTCTCTCTCTCTCTCTCTCTCTTTATGTCTCACCGATATCATAGGCTGAGAGAACATGGAGCGTGTGACCTCCTTTTCTATCTAAACCTCTCCACAGCACAGATACAGTTTTTTGCTTAAAATGAAGGGTTTCATTTCCCACACTGAATTGATCCTGAATCATGTGCGTGTAAATTATTAAAGGCCTGTGAACCAAAGATGACGTTTGGTTGAATTGTATTTAAAGACAAATGGATAAAAACTGGTTGAAACAATAAATATATATTTTATAGTCTGTAATGGGTAACAGGGATTCAATATGACTGCAGAATGCAGAATGTCTCTGCTCCTTGTTTTATGCAAATGATGAAACAAGATCTCCAAGTGACAACAACTCTTTTCAACAACCCCATGTGCTTGTGTTCAAATTTGGAAGGATTTCAAGCAGATGTAAATTATTACCCTCTGGTATGGGAGATGTTGTTTTGCATTTCACACAGCAGCACTTGGAACTATGCTGCTGACATTTGTTTTATTTAGGGGAGAATGGAGTCAGGATTAAACAAACTCTACATCTGTCTGGGGCCCAAATTCTAAAGAAGGTTGTTAAACTCTCTTAAACTTTGTCCTGGCTCCACCCAATAAAGGGAGTTGTTACATCTTTGTTCAAGACAAAAATGAGGAAAAACTGGTATGAATGGACAACAGATTTCCTGTTTGGGACGAAGTTCACCGTTACTCAACCTTGTAGAATGCACTGCTGGCTCATGCTGAACGGCACGCAGCGTGGCTCTCCACACATCCACACTGCCAAACACCTGCTCGTTCTGGCAGACTGAAAACCCATTTTTATGAACTACATTTCTTGTAAATCCATCCATCTCCTCTCTTTTAAAGTGGAATGATAGTGCAATAGCTCTGTAAATTCCAAGATTAGTTCTTCAGTTTTTCTTTTTGTTTTTCCAACATCTAGTAAAATATCTGCAATTCAAACTCTGTGTGACCAAGTTTGTGAGTGGACAATGTTTTTCTTCTCAAGCATGATCACTGAATTTTTTTAATGGGCTTTTATTCAGGAAAGGGCAGAGTAATCATTCTCCATGACGCTTTCCCAGCAGCAAGCATAAAAACATAAATAGCAAAGACATGGCACTCGTTTGTTCACTTTGTGGTCATTGAAATGTAATGCATCTTGGCAGCATCAATAAATAAAACATTGAAATAAAAGTGCAACTTCATGGCAGAAGGAGGAACAATAACTGGTGTGTTACCAGAAGGAATGTAGCTGCTAATGTAGAGTGGAGAGATATGAATCAATGTGTCAGAAATCAGAATCTCATGACAGAATCACAGTCTACTAAGAAGGGCAAGGAAAACATACATCGATCTACGCTCTCAGACAAGCATCATCTTCAGCTGATCTCCTTCATACACTCTGGATTTTCGTATCGTCTCAGCAGTTATGAGCTGACGAGCTGACTTCTTTTTTAACGGGTGTCAGCAGGCGTGCGCCACCTCCTCAGAAACATTAGCAGCCATCCTTTGCCTGAGGTGGTTGGCAAAGTCCACTTGCGTCTGAGAGAGCACTTTGTTTATGATCGTTTTTGGGATCCAGCCCTGCAGATGACAAAGTCAGCGTTAGATTGTGTGACATGATGTTTGGAAAGCTGACAGTTTTTAGCGCTTGAAGAGGTCACATACCTTGAGATCTATACTAAGTAACCAGGTGAACTTGGTTTTATTTGGGTCTTCGGGGCATGGCTTCATGACTATGCAGGTAGGGCCATTCTCCGCCCTGAACAAGGAAAAGATCAACGTACCACATCAGTTTAAAACGCACAAGATATTCTTATCATTTTCATTTATTGCACATCTGTTTACTCCTAAACGGTTGCATGTATCACAGCAAGTCGTTTTTATTTTCCGTCTCAGGCTCACCTCACCACGCCCCTCTGCTCGGGCATGTTGGTGTGCTGAGTTGACATTCCTGCCAGGAAGCAGGTGGAGCCCCGGCGCTTGGCGCAGCGGACACTGACAAAGTCCCTCGGTCCCACCACATTGCCAGGTGTCTCCGCAGCGACCTCATGCGTAACCATCGTGTCCTTGCCGATCTTTTGAAGGATCTGTGGCGTTCCATTGTGAGAATACATCAGTGTTCTTAGATAGATGTTATATATCTCTATGCACTCAATTCAAATATAAAGGTGTCCCTGTTCACATGCCGTCCTCTCTTACCTTAACCTGTTTGACGTTAGGATTCCAGTCTCCCATCTGCTCCATATTTCCCACCAACTCCTTGTAAAGATTGTCAGGGTGTTGCTCCAACATCACCTCCAGCTTGAACACCTTCCCAACGTCAGGCAGCACTTTACTCAGGACTTTGTCTCCGTTTGCCTGAGGAGGGGCGTAAAGAAAAATGAAAGGGCTCACACGTTTTCTTTTACATTTTAATCGTAATGTACTTTAACACAGTGAAAGATTCTTCTGATCCGTCTCAGTACTCACGGCCATGGTTTCAATGGTCCAACCGTCTTGTTCGCTGAGGATGCTGATGGCCTTCTGCAGGGCATCCTCACCTTGCTTCAGGTAAGATATCTCCTCCTCGTTGTACCCTTCCTCTTCTTCGATCCGAGAACCTTGGAAGTAAGATTTGTGAGTCAACTTTCACTATTAGGTTTCTGTATATAAGTCTGACATTATCTCTTTCTGTCTCGACGTGTAACTACTCACTGAGGAGGGAGCTTCGTCGGCGGACCTGGCGGATCCAGCTACTGGGACCCGGACCTGCCAGTCTGTTAAGTTCGTGGTGAATGGCCACAACGGCATTCTTCCTTAAACCTGCCAGACAGAGGTGGAAAATAGGCAAATTACTACAGATCTAAATCCATTGATTGTGCAAGCCGCATATTGTTAGGGAGATCAATAACAATCTAAGTTTTAGATTTTTTCTTCATTCGTTTACTTCTTTTAGTCACAAAATTAGTAAATTTGTGATTTTGAGCAGGAAGAAGAAGAAAAAATGGCCATGGGAAGACTGCTCAATGTCACTGTAAATAGGACTGTCTCACTCACCTGTCATGTTCCTTGTGTGCCGATACGAGATGCCAGCACACAGCTTGAAGGTTGCAGGCAGCATGTTTTTGTTTTAGGAGTTTGTTGCAGCTTCAGGAAAACTAGAAAAGTGTACAAGAAGGTGGATCCCAAAGGCTCAAAATGCGGCTGAGCAGTAAAGATTTTTCAAAGAAGTGAACAGACTGCGGCGATTGCGGCAGAGAGGATGACGATTTTTTAACTGTGCAGGTTTGAAAGTGGCTGTATATATAAGAGCGACACCCACAAGGCCGCGGGGCTATCGCCCCGTAGATAAACACACACACATCCCCTCGCTGTTCCAATGGCCATGTCGCCAAGGTTGCGCGGTGGACACGACGCGCATGTCTCAGACTCTCACAAACACTGTGTCAGATACAGATAACGTCCAGTGCCAGAGCTCGATTGCTCTCACGCACACACACACACACACACACGCACGCACGCACACACACACACACACACACACACACACACACACACACACACACACACACACACACACACACACATATACACACAGACACACACACACACACACACACACACACACACACACAAAAAGCCTTTCCAGAGCTGTGAGTAATAGGAGAGACAGCCTCTCTGGAGTGATAGACATACCTAAAAGAGAGGTCAGTGGCAGAGACCCTGAATGACTCATCCATCCTTTAACAGTCCATTACGCCCTGAACCCCTCGGAATTTTTAAGACAAAAAAACTAAAACATTCAGTTTGACCTGTTTCTCCTCATTATTTTTGACCGAGTGGAAAAGACCAGCCATTATCCTACTTTTCTGTTTGTGGTCATTGAGACTTCGGGCTCCCTTTAACAGCTCAAAAACAATGTTTTATTACCTGCGTACTTTTATGAGAATAAACATGATCTCAAACTGATGACATGGTCAAGAGCCGGCTTCACAAATCACACTCACAGCAATTATTTCTCTTGCTGGAGTTTTCATTGCAGTTTCTTTATACAAAGCAGAAATGTAATGCATACAATCAAACGCTTTTTAAAGACAATGTTTTAGATATCATATTGGTGTCAGATACAGACACAGTACCGTACAGAGCAGTTCTGCCAGTTTTTCCATCCATGTTGGTCAGACTTGTTAAACACATCAAATTTAAAAATGCCGACATCCAAACCTCAATATTCTGCTTTTGCCCTGTTAGGAGGAATAAATCACTCTTTCAATGTTTTTCCAACAGGGTTGCTTAATTGTCCAACAGTGCAAACACGATCTGTCAATTACGTATTTTATCAAGCTGCTTGTGTATTTTGACAACCTTGCTTACTCCGTCCAAGCACAATCCAAACTATCTAACATCAATATTGCCTCAGCGTTTTGCGCGTCAAACATGCATTCAGAGTCAACAGTAAATGACCACAGGAATGGAAACCTGTCAAGAGAGTTGCAAGGCTGATTAGTTGACAGAGAAAACAGATGAATAAATAAAAAGGGAAACTGAACCTTAACCTGCAACCTCACGTTCCTCTGGCAAGTTGGCAGAATTATCCATCAGTCGCTACGGCCTTCTGCAGGGTTTAATATGGTAACCAACAGGCCAAGTACGCTAAGAACTAGGAGCTAAAGTGGGTCAAATAGTTTTTTCTAATGGCTCCGTATTTGACAACATCAGCATTATGCTTTGATGAGACTCAGTGCTGCATTTTTGTAATCTGGATCGTTGGCCTTGGACTTGGTGGAAGAATAAGACGTTGGTAAAAGTGTCTCTGGGATGTAAGTGTCTTTCTTTAAGCAGTTAAGCTCTTTTGATGAGCCTTCTTGGATAGATAAATTAAGTCTGTCTCAAAACAACACGTGTCCGTACGTATGATTTATTTACATGGGACACGTCCACTTTGTGCTTTCACACTGACTTTTTTAATGAATTTGGTAATAATACACAATATAATCCTCTTCATCTGTAAAACTCAAACTGCATAGCTTGCAATGGTTTTGGTTGAATTATGGAATATATCTTTTACTAGAATCTCTGAAAACAATTGCCCATCCTTCAGATAAAGTGAGATATGAGGTAAGCAGGTATCCAAAGTAATCGTGTTTTGAAACACTCACCTCATGATTCACCTGATCAATAACTTTAATACTATATGTCTACAAATTGTATAAAGTATAGCAAATAATATTGCAGTATTGTGCTACAATGAGAGCTTTGCTGTCTAATGTTACACGTGTGGAGAACTCTAAGATGGTAAGTAGGAAAATACCATCTCTAATCATTTTACTGTAGTTAAATAGGAATAAGGAAATGTTCCCTGGCCACGTGGAAAAAAAGAGACTGTGGAGTACGGAGACTGTAGCACAGAGTTTATTGGGACTTGAAGGACACAGTGGGTTTGGCGTTGACATGCACTCAGCATCACAATAATAAGATTTTCCTCATCGACCCTCCTCTCCATCCTCCCAAGACTGTGTGAGTCAGTATGTATTTGTGTTGACACATTTCCCAGAAAAACAAACAGAGCCCGAAAGTCAGAGAATAAACAAAGTCTTGATGTCTGCGTGGGAACTGCCTGGGCGATCGCGCTAACAAGGAGGCACTTCAGTCCGATTCTCTTTATTTCGTTTCAGGTATGCAGAGAATAGAAGAAGAAAAAACAGGCTGCTTGCTTAAGATCGGCATGGGCAATTAGTTCCTGCACTGAACGACTTTCTTTACCTCACAAAATGAAAATACCACATTCCTAAAACAAGTAGAAGAGAATAAGCTCTTTCAATTGGTTGTGCTGCTGCGAGAAGGCCACTTCTTTGTGTGGTGTCTGCGGGATCCCCTGGCGTCTTCCTCTCCTCCTCGGCTCTGACATGGATGAACTGGGCTGACTAAAATAAAATATGGATGAGATAAACCTTGCACGTAGTTGTTTATACCCTGATTGTTAAGATTATGGTTTGGCAAAAACAAGGGAAAGGCCCTTCCGAATTGTGAGGCGTTTTAAAGAGCGCGTTAAGTCAAAAGGGGGCAGAATATAAAAACCTGTACATGTGACAGCAATGGAGATGCAGCAAATATCTCCTAAATGGAAAAAGGCATAAGGAGAGCAAGTACACTTTAGATTCAGTAAACAAGCGGGGTGTTACAATATAACTACAATAATGTGCCCTAATGATCAGAGGTAAAAACAAGTTCCTTTGGAGATTAAAAAAAAAGAGAAAAAAGAGCAACAGTTTTACGTGTGCAACTTGAAAGTCATGCTGAGTGCATAAGTTCCTCTTCACCCCATCGGGGACTGTGCCGAAAAATTGTGCAAAAAAAAAGAATTTATGTTTCTGTACAGCATATTAATTTGTTTCCACATAATGTCCCATATAAAGTGACACTGTAAACGTGTTGTATTCGGTGTAGGGGGGTAACTTCGGTGCAATGAGGTATGCAGAAGCGAAAAGGGTGCAGCTGTCCATACTTACATACTTTGTCCATGCAATTGAAACAAAACACGATTTTCACAATTCTGTCTTTGTATGTCTATCTGATTGTGTATGTTTGTACTGTATGCATTAAGCGATATGATATGTTTGAAGACTCATATTTAGAGAGTGTATAAAACGGATCGCACGTTGTGGTTCTAAACTGTGGCCGAAGCCTTGAACAAACAATAAATCAACATGACAACAGTATCACATAACTAAGCTGTAGTCTTTGGCCCGAGCTTACGCAAGGCAACGTGCTTCATGTGTTGAGGTTGTTGAGGTGATGCGTTCTGAATGTTTAGGAGTGAGATCTGAGGTACAATATGGGAGGTGGAAATGCAGAGAAAAAAGTTGTTTAGACGTGAAGCTCAAAGGTTGTGTCGATAAATGGCGAGATATAAGTTACAGGCCATGAAGAAAAGTACTGGAAAAGAGTGAAAAAGAAATTCCATTTCAGGAAAAAACAAAAACAATTCACCAAGACCCCGTCTTCTATCCTCTGTGGTGGTCTTTATTATACAGTGGATCCCCTGAATGTTAGCTCGTTTTCTTTTTCGGTTTTCATCAACGTCGGTGGCTCTGTTCTATAGTCCAACAATCCATGAGGGTAAGTAATGTTCTTCTGGATATTTCCAAATGTCTTTGCGACATTGACCTTCCCGACACAAATGCCTGGGGTCTCAGGGCCTGGCCACCCCCCCCACCCCCCTCCACCCCTCACTCACTAAACCCCCCCCCATGGCATGACCATTCAGGCCTTTAGACAGGCTGTCTCCAGCCGCTGCTCATGCCCCGGCTGTGGACCAATCAGCAGCGGGGAAGCCCCTCAGAGCTCCTTCCCTTTGAGTGTGCAGGGCTCCCACACTGTCCCTGTGCCACTAGGGGGCAGAGTTGGACATGGAGTCCACAGAGTTTACGCTGGAAGACTGCACGCGGCTGTGGGAGATGGACACCTCCGGGTGCTGCAGAGAAGGAGGGAGATAGATTTGTCTCAGCTAGTTTTTAAGCCTTCATCAATGTTTGTGTGCGTGTGCGCCTTCACTCACATGCCTCCTGAAGATCCTGTCCAGCAGGCTGCGCCTGGGCGGCTCAGGCGGCTGATCCCAGTCCAGATCCGGAGGTCTCGTCCCTTGAGGCCCGAACACATTCAAATCTCTGAAACACTCAGTTTCAATCATCTTAATGAGAGGGGAGAAAAGCACAGCATGGATCAATTCTATTCCGCTTTTTTAAGTGTCTTGCAGCCGTTAGAAAGTCCACCCAGTGTTGAAGGAAGTCATATTAAGTGCACACACTTACCTCATTCTGCCATGGGATGGAAACACTGCCTATAGTAAATTTGGAGTAGAAGTCATTGTCAGTTTGGTCCAAATTTACTCCCTTGACTGTGGAGAACTGCTCTATGTCCAAAACATCCTTACAGTACACTGCCCGAGGCTGGGAAAGGACAACGACCGCGAAAAAGATCGGGGTTAAGAGGAAAAACAGAAGACAAGTTTATCCAAAAAGATAATTTATAATCCTGGATTTTACTTTCGTCGCCATTTTAGGCAATTTACGATCCTAACAAGAAACATGACTTACATCGGGCACAAAAGGGGGCTCCACGATTCCTGCCTCCAGTCTCCTGAAATTGATGTTTTTAAAGAACGGGTGGGCCTTGACGCCTGCCGCTCCGTCCTCCAGACACCCCAGCCTCTGCTTGGGGTCTTTGGTCATCAGCTGGGTCGAGCAGAAGCGAAGACAAATAATTACATGAACCGTCGTCCACCCGTTTCTCCCCGCAAACACTTTCCGCTCCAAAGCGTACCATTCTACAGATGGCCTTTGTGTCCGCTGTAAACTTGTCGCTGTACTCCTCCTCCTCCTCCTGCACCCTCCGCTCCACTTCCTCCCGTTTCACTCGTTCTTTGCGGGCGCGGAAGGGCGATCGCCCGGCGGTCATCTCGTAAACTAGACAGCCCAGCCCCCACCAATCAGGACTCATGCCGTACTTTTCATTGTTTATCACCTCCGGAGCTGCAGAGGAAGGAAAACAAACGTCGTTATGGTTTTAAAGTTGGTAATGGGTCAGGTGGATGCGCTCAACGTGTTAATCGTTGATCACAGTGTTTCTTACCCATGTAGCCCACAGTCCCCACTCTGCCTCTGATGAGTTCTCCGTCAGGCACTTTGATGGCCAGCCCCAGGTCAGAAATACGAATGTGTCCTGCAGCGTAACAGTGGTGAGCATTATGCATTTCGTTTATTCAAAGTTGACTGGCATTTAAAAGCCCTTCGTGGGGTTTGAAATTGTCTGATAGAAATCAGAATCAGTACCCGAAACTGAAACTCACCATTGTCATCTAATAGGATATTCTCTGGTTTCAAATCCCTGCAAATGACCCAACACGTGTAAAAAGGACAAAAGTATCAGTTAACAGGTTATCGTCGATAGTGAAGCAAAATACAACATTTAGGGGAAATACATTTCAGAATGCATTTAAGACCGGGTACCACATGGAGTGCTACCTATAGACAATGGATTCCCTGTGCAAATGCTCCAGTCCACAGCAGATTTGTGCAGCATAAAACTGGACCCTGTCCTTCTCGAAGCCGGGCGTGCCCATGTTGTAGGTGTGAAACTTCAAGTCTCCACCGTTCATGATGGTCAGCACCAGACAGAGCGCGTCTTTGGTTTCATAGGCATACGCCAAACTCACCTAGACGAAAAGGAGAGCAGCGTTAAATGGCGCGAAAGTGCTTAGACAAAGCAACGGTTATGCATATCGCCGTCGTCCTCTTCTTTTCTGTTTTCTACTCACAACAAATCTACTGTTGACTTTCTCTAAAATCAACTTCTCGTTGAGAGCCATGGATTCCCCTTTCCTCTTCTTTATCCTCTTCTTTTCCAGCTTCTTACAGGCATACATCTTTCCTGTCGCTCTAACCTGGCAGGCACACACCTGGGGAGAAAAAATACAACCTAAATGGTATCTCTTGCATTGCGATCATTCAAATCACAATGCTTCACGAGGCGTCATCCATTTTTTTTTTTTATTACAGTCCTCGTCATCTCTTACCTCTCCGAATCCCCCTTTCCCCAGCACTCTGTACTGTCTGAATGTGTCTTTAGTGATTGGTTGCCTGACAGAACACAGACACAGCAAAATCCATTAATATATGCTCATATAGTATTGATTAGGAGGGAGATGTTATCAACGGAACTCAATATCACCCTGTCTGTTTCCTGTGCAGAGGGGGGGCCCCTTGTGCACAATTTCACTTTCCAGACACGGATACAATCAAGGCTGCTCTAAGAGCCCGAGCTTTACTTCTAACTGCCGTGGATATGCACTCTGCACCACTTATTATTTATTAAGTTTCTTCACCTGCCATTTGTCCTGTTCTTCAAACTGAAATAAAGTTTTGGGAAATCCCATCTGAAAGAGTTATTTAATGTCTCTAAATCAGAGGTACAATGCAACAAAGCGAACCTATTGCATATATAAAAGAATGTTTACTTGGAATTAGCTTGAGTGATTTATACGAGTGATTTCTACTTCACAAGACATAGGATCATGCATAACATGGATGATGCCCTATAGATGTGTGGTCAATGTATAAAGTAGGTGTAAATGTTTAACAACAACAGTACAATGGTGCTTCCATCACAAGGGTCAGTCTGATGATAATATTTATGCATTTTGATTAAAGAGACACTTCATGGCCTATTTGCCCATTGTTGTACCGCTACTTTTACTTAGTAAAGATTCTGAATATCTGCTCCTTTATTGATTAAAATGTTACTGAAAAAAAGTGTAACAGTTTGCAAGATTTACACATACACCAACAAGAACATTATCCTTTTTGTGAAACTCGAATGCTTGGCATATTGTTGTATTGAACTGCATCAGATGGTATGGGTGTACCAAATGAAGTGCCCACTGATTTTAACTACAGAAAAAAATGAATGTGCTCACCTCTCCAGCATCTTCCACTGCAGGAATCGGTCAAAGTACATGCTGTTCTGGTAGTCCAAGAACGGACCTTCACTCAGGTAGTCATGGACGGTCCTGGTCCCACACAAAACAGATACAACTGAGAATACGACGCAAGCTATAAATCAGGCAGTGTTGCTGCATGCACTCTTTTAAGAGCTAAAATAAAAAAAGGCAGGTGAGTCCGACAAAGGTGAGAAGGGAACAAAGACAAAGTGGCGACTCACTTGTGGCAGTTGCTGAAGATCTCCTTACATGGACTGAGCTCGAGGTTCTCCCTGCACTGTTCTGCAAAAACCTCTGCTATGTCTACACGCTGAGGTGACTACATCAACACATGCAAACAAACAGTGACATACGTGCACACATACATACATAACTTTTTATTACACACACTACATCAGACTAAGGAGAAACACACATAAGATTTCATGGTGTCAGCACATTCTGAACATGCACGCTGTGCAAACGTTGTATGTGTTGTGTTTTTTTGTACGTTCGATGTGTAAGTGGACTCCCGCACCCTTTGTAAAAGTCAGTGGTATGTTTTAAATAGCCCTGTTTAGAATACAATGCAAGCAACAAAATGTGAAAAGCATCTAACAAAGAAACTTACTTGTTTTGAGAGAAAGGTTTTGATGATCTGGTCCCCTCTGCATTTTCTTTTCTCATCAGGTGTCACCTCGTAGTCTTCCTGAATAAAAAAAGAAATCATATTGTAGTCATCAATATTCGCCGTTGTTTTGCTTAAAAACAGCGTTATAAATATAGATAGATGACATGAGAGTGCTGTCCATCTTGTGATGGCCAGGATGCACATGATTACAGAAGACAATGTATTTGTGTATCCAAAATGGAATTATAAACAATTACATAACATTTCATACATCAAAGCTGTTTCTAATTAGAAACTAATTTAACCGATTTAGACTGAAAAATGTGTAAACTGATAAAAATTCATCCCAATTTCCTTCCATTTGTAATGACGAGAAACATTAGCAAAAGTTTTTTTTTTAAACGGTTTAAAACTGACCTATCAAAGATACACAAGTCTGCAGAGACGAGGGACACGTTCCAAACTAATGTGCCCCTCTTCCTGTTTTCCAACTATGAAAAAGGAAAGATGCTAAACATCCGTCAAATTCCATCTCTGCCTTTAATGAGAAAAATGAGTGCTTAGTAGTTTGTGTAGTTTGTGTGACAGAGTACTGTTTAGTCGTGACGAGGACACACACCTCTCCCTCTGTATCTCTCTGTGTCGCTGTCACTCTCACATAAACATGCGCTGCTCTTGGCTTCGTATTCAACATATGAAGCTGTTGACACAAACAGTTCTGGATGTTCCACGCCGGACATATTGGATCCTCACGCAGAGGCGCTCTGACGCATTTCCCAACCAACACTTTTAACTTTAACAAAAAAAGGGGGGGAAGCAACACTGGCCCGACTCTTTCTATCTGGGGCTGTTTCCAACATGGTCCTGTGTTGCTTGGCAACCACACAGTAAACACGATGGGATTCCTTGAGGTCCTGGAGTGTCATAGTGTGTCGCACCAGCATCACCGGCTTTCCACTACAACGTACACGCACACGCACACACACACACACACACACACACACACACACACACACACACACACACACACACACACACACACATACCCATGCCCAAGCGCGCACACACACACACACACACACACTAAATTAGCTGTCAGACTACCATCAACCAGTGGGTGGTCAGCCAAATGGAAAAGAAGACGCCCTTTTAGCCTTTTGGAAGCAGAGGGGATCCAACATACTAAACATATCATCATATGCACATGGACCTTCTCATGATGCAAGAGAAATCACTGGAACCCCTAAGTGCATTCCTTCCTCTGTTACACACACCAAAGAAAACGCGCTTTCATGCTCTCGAATGGCTTATACACTCCTGCAAAAATATCTCAGGTAATAATAATAACCACAGTCATAATGAAATACAAAAAGATTCACTTTCTTGCACTCATCATTCCAAACAAAACAGCCATTTTCATTATTTTTGGGAAAGGATGAGAAGCTTGGAGCTCCAGAGATGGCCAAATATCTGTCAGGTTTACAGCATGACCACCCAGAATGAGTTAAATGAGTTGATTGTAAACAGGTGAAACATCAGTGAAAACCCTCTTGAGTAATAGAAAGATCTTAAACTTTATAACACTATGTTTGACATTTACCAAACAGTAACTTTTACTCTTTGAAGCATTCGTCCAAGACCTTTTCCTCTAGTCCTGTATGCTGCTTGACCGCCTGCTGGAGCCCTGATGTGTTCGGCGGGCCGTGTTGTGTAGGATCTGACTGAAAAGGGAGACTGCCTCACGAGTAGCTGGATCAGATTTATTTCCTTCTTCCAGGGTCTTTGTCTCAGTCAAGAATAATAAATTAGACATATGCTTCCTGACCGAGTCTGGACTTTGTGAATATCTGTAAAACTTGCAGAGACTTTGTATACAGCTTGTAGAGAAATGTTCCCCTACAGCCGACTGATGAAAAACTAACATACTTTTTAATAGTTTCTCTAGATACACTATGTCAGGATCAAAGGGTTTCTAGTGAACCTCTTAGCTGAAGAGGAATCACATGAACCACCTGCCTGGTTGTTAGCACCCTCAGGCCTGGTTTATGGCTACTCCGTGGATTGGTGGGTATAATACTCCACACCGACTGTGGCCCCACCGATTGCAGAATTAACGACAGCGTTTGGGATGATTGCACGTTAGTGGGTTAGTGGCTTGCAGAGGGTGATATTTAGTGTGGTTGAATGGGGGGGGGGGGGCAGGGAAGGGTTGGTGTGGCGGGGCTAGAGGGGGTGGTGTGGGAAACAATGCTGTCCTTTCTGTCCTGTCACATGCCGGCAGAGCTATTCTGGGAATAGAAAAGGGTTAAATGTGTCATGTGGGAACTATTTGTCTAGACGCAAAAAAAGAAACCGGTTCGGGGACAACAAGATGGGGGGGGGGGTTAAATCATCACTACTCAGATGAATTATCTCCTCTGGCTGCACGTTTATGCTAAGCTGTAATACAAGTGAGTGCACAGAATAGCTGGATGGGGCTGTTTTCTAGACCTACACTAATCCAGGAGAGAGTGCTGCTTTTCCTCTGTTCTAGATATAAAGTCCCACCTGAGCATCGGATAAATTTGTCAAGCTCCTTCCCTGTTTATCCAGTCCTTACAGTTTTGCTCTTGTTTTTGGTTTAGGAATCTCTTATTAGAGCCCCACGTGTGGATTAACTGGAGAAATCCAGGGGTTGGGAGGCCGCTGTTCCTAGTTGAACTTGAGTCAGTGAGCGGTCGATTAGTGGCGAGATGCTTGGGTGGTAATTATTAGAAGGAAAAAGAGTTGATTATTCACCATATTTTCCTGGGGAAAGTCACCCACTCAAAGTAAATGAGTGTGTGTGTGTGTGTGTGTGTGTGTGCGTGTGCGTGTGTGTGTGTGTGTGTGCTTGCGTACCAGTGCGTCCAGCAGGTGGATGCATCGTTGCAGTTCAGGTCTGGTGTCACAGTAAAGACGGAACAGCAGCCGTCCGATGGGCTGTTTCTCACAGATGCTGACATAGTCCCTTTCTGCAGAAAGAAATATGTACACGCTCACTTTGATACTGCTTTCCCAAAAACACCAATAGACACACGAGCCGTTCCGATGAAGGTGAGCACATAAACCCGTACCAATGCTGTTTCCCTGCTCAGTGCACTGGCTTATATGGGGGAAGCGGAGGATCTCCTTCCATTTTTTGCTCCTCCCTTTCCGCTTTCCTCCTCCACCTGAGAAAAACAAGAGACAAAAAATATAACAGAGAACCAAAATGTGTATTTTTTTCATTTTCATAAGCGAGGAGGAAATAAATACCTAATGATTAAAGGGAGATGACTGTTAGGGGCCTCTCAACGGGAAACCATAGTCTTTATGTGTATATATAATTCATAGATTGTGTCTCACTTCCTCCTTAAATTGCTTCTTACTTTCTGCTGACTTTCTTCCTCACTCAGTTGTTCTGTGAAACGGTATACGTGTGTGTTGGTGTGTGTGTGTGTGTGCGTGTGTGTGTGCGCACAGACAAAAAGTATGTTCTGACCAGCTCAGTTTCCATCAGAACCCACGAATTTGCGATCAGCTTTCTGTGGACATGTGTACAAAAAATCCCTTGCACCCACATCCTAAAAGGGAACGTTCTGTGCAGTCATCCATCAATCCAGTTTATAGTGCCTTTCACTTTTGACCCCTTCAACATTTCCCATCTCGGATCATGTTTGAACACAACTGTGAGAACTTCACTGTTTTCCATCCATTCCAGCTCGCTGTGCCTTACGTCATGTTTGTCTCACTTTTATTTATTTTTCTCAACGTGCAAAACGCTGCTTCAGTTGACAGCGACTTCCTTTAATTAACCCTTCTCCGCAGTGGAAGTTGGCTTTGAGCAACTGGCCTGATGTGAGAGGCAACATCGAGAGTTTGAGAGCCGGGGAAGCAGTGACAAGTCGACATCTTTAGCTAATAAGCCAGGAATGCGAGAGGCGCTGTGTCGCGCTGGAGCCTCTGAGAGAAAGCTTTAGTTTTCCATATCAATTATTATGCTTCACTTCCCTATTCTTTCCCTGCTCTGTTGTTTGAAATGTATACAGAATATTAGCAAATAAACCGTGTTGCTTTTCCAAGATAGTATCATACACTCACTTGGGCAAAGTATTCCAGCTATTTAAATATTTAAATGACACTACAATGGGCAGCCGGTGGATTGTAAACATTTTAAACAGAATGTGTATGACACAATATTATAAACCGAAATGTACTAACACTGATGCAAAAGCAAACGTTTAAACACATTTAAAGCTTGTAGGAACCCTTATAATAACTTCAGGTTGTTAGATAAGGTAACCTGCTCCACCATTGACACACACAGTGCAGCCAAATCACCACAGACAAGCGGGAATTTATTAATAGCTCAAGTCAAAATATCCCCCAAGAGAATCATTAACTCCCAGCACCTGCTCCTCATCACCATTACTGTAGACCAAACAAGTTATGAACAGGCACGCTTCCTTATTTAAGCACCAGTTGCTCTCTGAAAACAGTTAGTATGTAAAGTAATGCGCCGAATAATAAAAACAACAAAAACCGGACGGCTGCCAAAAAGCATCGGGAGAGCGAGCCGAGAAGGTCATTCGACATGGGGTCCACCGTGCTAAAAATAAATCACGCTGTAAGGCATTTGTAGATAAAAGCGTCAACAAAATGGCAAAGATTTCCTCTGAAGGGTCAGCCCCATGTCAAATAATTGTACCAAACATCTGCGCTCCACCCAGGCATTCAACTTCTACACAATGCTGAGACCACCCCAAATAATGTGGTTCCTCTTTATTATTCCAGTGTCCCAATTTCTTTCTTTTACAATTCTTTCTGTGTTTATTTCAATCCCTTCCCCTTCTTCATCCCCCCTGCCATCAGCTTCAGTGCTTTCTCCATCTTACATAATCCATCTTTTTTTTTCATACTCTTTCATACTCTCTTTACTGTTTTCTGTAACAATAACCTCCACCGGGGCCATCAATCGCCTTTTTTAGGCTTTGGTGAGGTTGAGTTTCCAGTTTTTTGGGAATATGAACATCGAATTGCTGTAGGTCCGTGGTTTCCTTTCCTCATTGGCCTTTTGAACACTGAAATAAATGTATTTACAGAGGGTCACTGGTTACACATATAGGGTTGATGACATTTTCGAGAGGTTCACAAAATTAGATTAGAGAAAACTAATAGTTAAAAGCATTAACATCAGTGACATTAATGAGTAAAAAAATGTTGCTGCAACGTATTTGTTTTGCAGTCTTTATTACATTTAATTAAGGGGCCTCATATCGCTGAATATAGCATATTAATATAACCATATAAAACCTTAAAAATGTATTCTTCTCTTGGGGAAATAGCTATGTCTTACCAGCTACCGGTCATTATGTAAAACAACAAACTTTTTTTTTTTTCCTTCTGGAAGGAACACGAGTACCTTGTTAGAGGCTTGTTAGACGCAAGGACCGAAAAGTCTGTACGCAAACACAACCAACCACTCCCAGAAACATGCAAATATCATCCGACAGAGACTCATCCGCCTGCACGTGCCTTTGTACTCGCTCCCCGCTCTCTCTGATAGACAGCCCTCGCTCTTTCATGGTCAGCCACTCACGAGTGGAAACATGCACTGTGCCGTGGGTACCCTGCACACAGGAACTGATACGTTCCATCAGAGCAGTGCAGTCGCCGCCTTTTATTATTGTGTCTCTGCTCAGCAGTTCTGTCATGTAAAGTGAAGCAAATAGTCAGAGAGGGAACGAGCTCCTTCAGGCGCAACATCAGGGGTTTAGCAGCGTCTGCTTGTGTGGGCTCACATTGTTTCTATAGTGACCTCTTTCTAGTAATGTCGTCATGCTAAATTTAACCAGTACAGGCAGTTACGCAGGCCCTCATCCATCCACGCATTTAAAAACCTCCCTACTTAACTAGGATGTTATACTCGTAATGTGTTGAAACACAAAATAAACCTAAACCACAAAATTATCAACCAGTGTGCAGCTCTCACACAAACACACACACACACACACACACACACACACACACACACACACACACACACACACACACACACACACACACACACACACACACACACACACACCGTCTAGTGGAGGTTAAAAACACCTCTACACACACTGTCACACCAAACATGCTGTCAGATCAGCACGGACAACCAGCCGAAACCACAAGCTCGCGCTGTGCAAGTGGCGTATATGCGGCAACAACATCTGCAATAGTGTGCTCGGAATATGTGCTATTCTCTACACAAACACCCTGCAGAAAGTGAGATTAACCCTTCCATCACTTGCAAAAAAGACAGTTGGAGTTACTTGGAAATGTAACACATCCTCCCAGATTGTGCTTTTTGTGGGTTGTGTGTCAAGTCCTGTGTTTGCAGGTTACTATATACACACACACTTTAAGCAGGGGTGTCGAGATGAATAAAGATTGAAGGTAATCAACTAAACTCTAACATATTTGATATTTTACCAGTTTATCAGATCAATCTTTTTCAAGCTAAAGCATTCCAGCCAACATCATATTTTACAAGTTCAGGTTTCTCATTGATTCAACCATATAGTGGATCCTGAGGCATTATTTAGTATTTGATTCCTACCTGTGGTTAAACAGGAACTTTTAGGGTTAGCTCTCAGGTTAAGTTTAATAGTTTAAAGCGTGTGTGTGTGTGTGGTCTGTGTGCCAGAGGAAGCTGTTGAAAACACGGCCCGAACCTGAACAAGATGGAGGTCTTTGTTGCCCTGTTCACCATGATCTCATGTCGGTCCCTCTATGTCTGGCCGCTTTATTATCACCCTCAACGAGCCACTCTGTCCAATGTATTCCTCATTATCGCAATCATAGCAGCAGAATACTGGCTGTAACATCTGCTAGCAGTCCCAAAACAAACATGTGTGACGTACGCCTTTTACCGGGCAACACTCAACTCAACTATTCCTTTGGCTGCTGCAGGGGTCACATGTTTAACCACTTAATGAAGGATCATAAAACTCAAAATTAGTCATAGACAATAAAGAGAGACCTTATCAGCACTATCTACTAGTGCAGCTGTATAACAATGGGCCATGCCTACTGTGTCAGAGATAACATTTCAATGTTACTTGCCCGTACCAATGAAGCTGTAAACAAGCTGATGTTTAAGGTTTATACAGAAATAAATTCAGTATATGATACGTGCTGTTCAGAGCTATATCCACACAAGGTTTTAAGAAAAATACATAACTGTGAATAAACTGTCTGTCTTTATGCCTTTGTAAATATTGCGGCTATAAATAGCAAGCAGACCAAGGACAGAAGCAAGGTGGTAAAACCGGTCCATGACCTCACAGACTGTGAGCTGAGACAGTTGTCTCTTGAGTAACTATGTCAGTGATTGTAGGCGTGATCATATGTAAACACGTGTGAGAACGTGCATGACAGAAATCTCACAAAACGGTACATTTCCTGGAACACGGTCATGTGCCACAAGTTTCCTGTTGTGTAAATATATTAAATATGGGAATGTGAAGGAAGGGGGAAACCATTCAATAAACTGAAATGATATAAAGCACCGGGCCATCCGATCAAAGCGCACACACAGCCCAGGGCACTCTGGGTAATACATCCTGTTTGCTCATCCATAAAGATCCAGGACAGAGCATAGTCCACAGCAGGCTGGCCTTAATGGGGTGCTGCTACGCTCGGACACAATGTTTGTTCCCCTCTATAAATGTTTTCATAGGGCAGAACATTATAGCAAAGTTATCCTCAACCTCAATGAGGGACGATTTTTCTTCCACTCGCTTGCAGAAAAAACATCGAGGAAAGAGCTTCCAGGGAAATCAACGGTGCAACTCATCAAAGTAATGGAACACATGGCGCACCGAGCTTTATGTGGATAGAAAGCAGTAAACATGTGTTTGTCTTCTAACAAAACAAACACGCCTAAAATAGGGTTTAAGTGATTACATTGCTCCTCTAAAGCTTTTCTGTCCTTTAAAACACGTACAAACAAACACACACACACACACACACACACACACACACACACACTCTCTCTCTCTTTATGAAGATGTTTGTTCCGTGTCTTGCTCCGGTGTTGACATTCCATGTTCTTTTGTCCCTGTTATGGCAACATCCGTCAAAGTAAAAGTCATATTTTTTCGCATCCACTTTCCCTCAGTGAACCATGTCTAATTCTACTTAATAACTATGTGCTATATTTCCCAGAATTACAGGCGACAACCCCAGAAAAACCGGCGTGAACTTCAAGTAACTTGCAAAGTTATGTATACTGTCTATGTGGGTAGAGGCAGCGATAACAATAGAGATAGTAAGAGCCAGGGAGCAGAATTTTTCCACCCGAGAAAAAATGAGTCACACTCCTACTCAAATCACGGCAAGTGAGTGTGGTGTGTCGTCGATGGAGAAATGGGTTCATCTGCTACTTATTTTGTTTATTTCTCCATGTCACCACTGGTGGAAAACAGCAAGCCAAGGAAAAAACTCTCGTGCCTTAATACTAAAGAACTGATGCACAAAGGTTTCACTCAATTTCAACTTAAAAATGACTTTATAGTGTAAGAAGCAAGAATAATTATGCTAAAACTAGCAATGAAATAATATGGAAGCCTGTGTTTATGAATATCATGACGTGCGGAAGGAGGTGCAGCAAATATATTGTTTGTAGTACGGAAAAACACTTAAACAAGACTGAGAGATATGCTACAGCAGCTTTGTGAGACTGTATGAAAGTGCATTGAATAAATGTAAATGTGCATGCTAACATGTTGCAGGTCTGCAGATATGATGTTCAGCGTTTTAGTTTTCCCTGTGAACATGCTAACAATCGATTATCAGCCTAAAGTAGAGCTGAGGTTGATGGGAATGGCCTTAGTTTTGGACAAATTCAGCTGGAAACACCACTGTTATGTCACGTCATCCTTAATTATTGGGTCATGTCACAATTAGTGGGTCATGCACAGCCCTCCAGCTAATTATAACTGCATTTCTACAAATATTCCAGTCAGAAGAAGTGAAGAAACAACCAGTCAGTTTCCCCCTCGTGAATCCCCCCCACACCCACCCTCACCTGGCCCCCATTAAGGCACAAAAATAAAAGTTGACAGCATTATGACATGGTCCCGTGCTTTCGGGGAGCATGCACTCCAGGCAGGTGTTTTCGTTTGTGTGGAAGGGGGAGTATGTGTCCAACTACTAAGCTGATAATGTTTCACTGTGTTTTTCTTTTTAAGGGGTGTCAGAGTATGCATGTTATTTTCCATATAGACGTAGATTAATTCACTTTTCCAACTAATTGAGTACATTTTGCAGCTCTTAACTCTATTGTAATGGTCATCAACAGCATACATACATAAACTGTAAAGCAAGGTGCTTGATACATTAAAGAAGTACCTTTATAGGCCCAAAACTAAATAAATATATCCCTGTAAGGTCCAGTCCTAACAAACTCTTTAAAAACCAACTCGTCCGGTTCTTAATCTCATTGCATCGTCTAAATCCGCGTGACAAAAAAATCTAACAAGCGGAGAGAATTGCTGACGTACTCCGATCACGATCATTATCATCATCGTGATGACGTTGTTGTTGTTGTTTCACCTTAGCTACCTATAAATAAACCAACCCCGATTTTACCGACAGCATTTCCCTGAAGTGAATTGTATACCCAATGTGACGGAAGACATTTTTCCTTTCACAGCCACAACCTCCAAAAACACGACGGCAAAAGACAGCAGGCACCCGGGTGGAATTCAGTCCAAGCTTAATAACCCGGCTCTGCCTCAGCAATTCAAAAAAGGGATCTGCGTGCAGAAATGCCCCCTCCTCCCCCCGCACACCCTTTTTCCCCCCTTATTCTCACTTGACTTTGAAAGCCTATGAGGTTTTTTCCGCCTGGCTTGGAATCTGCGACTGCTGCAAGCAAGAGTTGTGAAGGGACACACAAATAAACATCAGGGTCTACTGCAGTGATGTTGCTCTTTAAAGTGCTGCTGGATTCACAAGCCCCCCCCCCAAACCTCACCTGTGACATACACATAGTGTAGATCTACAGTATGCTCACTATATGTCAGCTATCATTGAAATGGCAGATTCCAACAGATCTCATTGAAACATCTATAACTTCACAGAACTTTTTCCTCTCCTGTGACCCGCAGTTTCCTCCGCTGACAAAAATCATGCCGTTTTTAAGATTTGTTCAAAGAATTTCCACCGTCAGATGATACTTGGACGACCGTGCAGGATGTCGGGTTGTTTCATTTCACTGCACGCTCACTCATCATCTGTAAAGTGTCTTCCGCAGTGACCGGAGAGCAGCTCCACAGGAAGATGGGGCTTGGATGGCAGTAGCCCACTCAGTTTGTTATGTAACGATCAATTTGGTTCAATAGCTTATGGGCAGCATTTATCTGATGGTGTAGAACACCGTTTGTCTTTCTGTAAGAGAGCCGTCCCTTAACGGGATGGTTCGCTATGACGAGAGCTGCCTCCTATTTCATCCATACGACATATATTTTCCACTGTGATTAACTTAAAATAGCCCAGTGGTGGCAGATGCTCTTTGATCTTAACGTTTTAAAACCAGTGCCACCTGGGTTTTAATCTCCCATTTCTAGGTTCTCTGACCAATGAGAAGTGTTCTCAATGTAAAATCTTGATCTGCACCGTCGGATCTGTCCGACACAGAAAGGCCCAAAGAGCGATGGAAGTTGGCGCAGAGCCTGTTTCGCATCTCCGGTCCCGGGGACATCAAATCACTTTTTTATAGACTTACACAGTTTTACTGGCTTGGAAGGCGCGAGCGAAGACGCCGGCATAAAACACGGCAAAGGTCGCAGTGGAAAATAGGCCTTGCTGGTGTGGGGAGAGGATGCACGCCTCTCGCTTTGGCCAAAGATCACATCTCCTCACTGTTGCTAGTATGTGGACCCAAAGGGAGCCTCTGTGCCCCACGTATCAGCGAGAAGCAGCGGCGTTAGCAGCAGAACATTGGGCTCTCTTTGGCACTGGGGCCTGTCAGGTAAAACCTCGAATGACTCACACGGTTAATAGGACATTCACAACAAACCTGTTACGGATGCGCATGCCTGCTGTGCAACATGGTTGAAGTCAACTGTTGCTCTGTGCTTGTAGAGCCATTGGTCAAGCTGCCGAGAATGTCTTGCTTGAGCTTTAACTCAATGAACCTTCTCATCCCATAATGAGGAATTGCAAAAGGCCCTTTCTCTCCCACACACAGTGAAGGCGGGGACGGAATGAGCATCAATAGAGCAGCTGGGACAAGGAAGATCTATCATGGGTCATTACCTTCTCTCATTAATTCATGAGGCTTAATTCACAAGCAGAGTTGTGCTCTGACCCCCAAGAAACAAAATGTCCGGATTGACCTGCAGGTTAACGCATCCTTCGTTAAGGCTTTTTGACAGCATGTCAGCTTCCTGTTTCACTTCAGCACTTGGTTCTCTTCCAATGACTCTCTCTCTCTCGCTCTCTCTCTGCAAACCAGCCCCCCTTTTCTCCAAAGTATGTCATCGTGTGAGATAAATAAGGAGCTGCCAGAAGTTCAAGTCTTCTCCTGCGTCACCCCGTAACAGCTCAGCGACTGTTGCCACATGGAACCACGTGCTGCCTGAAGCCACACTGTGTGTGTGCCAAAGCTGAGTTTGGCCTATTTAGAAGAATTATTTCTAGTACAATAATTTTAGAATATATTCTAAAAAAGACATTAAGCATGACACACATCCTTATACTTGCATAGAAAAGTACAATGCTGTTGGATAAAAAAAAAAAAGAATTCTACCACTCAATTGTTCCCAAAACACGTTTAGGGACCTCGACATTAAGGGAAACAATCATGGCGTCAGACTGCGTGATGTTTACCTGCAAGCCTGTCTCTTGCCCTGAGCAATACCGACATGTATACCTCCATATTCCAGACGACACTGAGAACATCTGGCCTGGTCAGACATTGGACCGTTTATGTTAACCGGTCTCTCTGTGCTCAGGCCCCACAGATCGATTTAAACACATCATCGGTTCATCGCTCAAACGCAGGCCAGTGGACACTCATTTGTTCTCCCTGTGCTAAGCGTTATTCCCTGCTGCTCGCCGTGCCTCAGCATGTGTATGAATGCGAAAGAGCGCATTCATTTGCAGACAGAGAAACGGATGTGGGAGGGACACCCCCCCCTCCCTTTGCATATGTTGGAAAACGCATATAATCCATCAAAAAACAGTGAGGATAACTAACGATGCAGGATATTCAATTACGGTTATAATCGATCACCAGACAGATTATTTCCAATCGCGATGTGTCTCATTGCGCAGGAAGCGGATTGTGTGGCATCTGTAGGGTTTACCTGCTGCTGAATGAGAGAGCCCGCAGACACCATCATTATTGTCACCTTTTTCCCTTTTCTGCACATTGAGCGCAGACTGTAACTCAGCCGGGCCTAATACCTACTAATTGCATCTATTGTAAGTGCAAACTTACCCTCTCTCGCTTTTAGCAGTACAGTGTTGGCTACTATGTTCTCCAGCTCCATTAAAAAAAAAAAAAAAAAAAGAATCCTAAATGCAGAGTTTTTTTTTTTCTCCTCCGGTGGACAAGTTCCTGCAGCGAAAAACAACGTCCTTCAGCCCGTGTTGATCTCCTTCAGTCCTCGGCGGGATCCGAGCCAATATCACTCCTCTCGTCGTAATGAATAAAACAGGATGTCATAGATTTTGCTCGCGAGGTAAGCTGGGCTCTTGTTGCGGGCTGGAAGCGAGCCGCTGCATTTCTACTCCAAAAGCCCCCCAAACCCATTCCATGCGTAACGGGGCGGCGGAATGTCCCCGACGCAGAGGCCACTTCAGGAGGAGGCAGCGATGTACGCGAACCGAGCCCTTAACGGCGGCACCACAGGACACACTGGCTTTCCATTACAACAGCAGAGGGTTGGTGGAGCGCTTCAGAGAGGAGATCAAGCGTGCCCCCCCTCCTCCTCCTCCTCCTCCTCTTAGTGCGTAATCGAAATGGGTTGGGCTTCTCCGCAACAGCTGCGTCAACCGGAGAGCGAAACGAGGTAAAGCAAAAGTGCCAGCGGCAAAATAAGAGCATAGGTTTCCTTGTTGCAACATAGCCGGGTGGAAAAGCTGAAGGCTACACAAAGAAACAAAGCACTTGGAATGGAGGTCCAACAAAGTGCGGCTGTTCTTAGTGACACATTATTTAACTGGACATAGCGGCATGTCTGGGAAATTGACAAGCCATATAATCGCCGCTTCTCTTCTTGATCTTGGTTTTTAACTGCACGTTTTCCTGATTCTAATCACATTACTGGTCAAATTCGAAAATGACTGGTTATGATATGCTAAGTGTGAATAGGGTCGCCCTCTGGTGGGAAGATTTCCACATAATTTACTTTAATTTATAATAAAATGATTGAATTGAACTTCGAGCCGTAGTGACTCACAATGCTTTAATGTAACATCATTTGGGCAGTTTGACTTTATAATGGTTGTGCGTTGCACACATGCGTGAAGTCACGCAAAATACAAAAATGTATTGGTCTCATGTTTAACACAGAAACTGCATGTATTGGATGTCACGTTGCAGCATGAAATACTGGATCAATGGGGCGCTGGATGAAATTGTACCAAAATACTGTACTTCATCCTTTAATGCCTAATGCAGTCAATTTAAAAAAATGATGGTCAGACGGTACGATAACACAAAATTACCAAGTTTGTCATCCATAATGAAAAACTAAACTCTTTATTGGAGCATAGCATGTAGTTTTGTCAACAGCCGGCCCACATATCTCCAAATAAAAAGGCTTGACATTTCACTGACAAAATAGAAAGTGCTGCCGGAAAATAATTGCTAAATTGCAGACAGAGTGATCTTACATAAACACAACATTCTTAGCATTTTACTGTAAGGATCTGCACAAATGAGAGCAGCATCACTATTCTTTTTTTCTCCAAATAATTCAAATCAAATCCATACAGTACACTACAGTATACAGGCCCAGCATGACGCAGCCATGTAAAAGAAAAGGCAAACTCAACGTAAAACTTATCAGTCTGATACAAACTGAGAGAGACGCTCGTGGGATCAAGGTTAGTATTCATCCAAGTTGTCAGCTTTGGGGATGGAAAGGCCTCGGTCCTTCAGGGCCTGCATTTTCACTTTGTCCGTCTCCTGTTTGGCTTGTTGCTGCAACCGTTGCTCCTCCAGAATCTCTTCAATGGAAACCTGCTGCAGGACCGTGTCACAGGGCTTATCCATATCCTAAAGGAGAGAGGGAGGGCATTTCATCGGTCAACACTTGTTAATAGTTAACTACACATTGAGTTTCTTATCTCCTGTTAAAATGTATTTTTCAAGCTTAGCACAGAAACTTTAAGCATCCTTTGTGTAAATATCTTCTTGCAGCTTTGGAGTTGCCACCATTAGCCATATGTAATCATCCCATATCTCAACAGACAGGTCTACATCTGAAAAGACACCTTATTTAAAAAAAAAGAAAGAAAGAAAAAAAAAAAAGACACTCAGTCCTCAGATATGCATCAGTAGTCAACCACAAACTCACAACCGATTGTGATAATCTGGCCGCCGCAAACGTCTCCTACCACTAAAGATATGGAGCACTGAGCCCGACAATAGTGTATTCATGCCTCGTCTTCTGTGAATGAAAATGGCATTACATAATGCACTGTGATGCCCACAACTTCTTTGCATTTATTTGTTGATTACATCAACTGCTACGCTTGCTTCATGCTGTACATCCTCTGCAGCTGTAAAGGTGGTGCTGCAGTCAACGTGCGGATGCATGACTGAATGTATGACACGTACAGAACCAGTCAAATGTCCAGACTGGCGCACAGTCACACACACGCACGATGAGTTGAGTGCAGGCCGAGAGGGTCCTATAAACACACTGAAATCTGCCTGAACTTGTCACTGCACAAATTAACACATTACAGCTGCATCTATAATGTTCTGAAGAAGACCTTTAAGTGGCTGAGCAGGAGTTGCATTTTATTGTAGGTTTCTGATATCTCAGGGTGCTTTTGGGTTTTGTTCAATTAAGAGTAAATCAACATGGGAGGTGGATGAATGTTTTCTATGTTTTAACTGACTATGCAAGAGGCTGCATTAAAATCACATCCAACCATCAGATTTCCCAAAACAGCTCATTCTGCGTTTACGAAACAGTGTTTCAGTGTTGAAATTAATGAGGCTCAGACTAAAAATCATTTGTTAAAGCCTCCAAGCTGTTGTATTTACTTAGTTGGTAACCTAGTGACTAACCACACAGAAAGATTAATAAACAAAACAATTCATAAACGTTGTGTTGACTTGTTGTTTCCAAACACACATGTTTGTCTCCTTAGCCACATGGTTATGGGAAGCTTCACTCCAACACCCATTTCGAATAGTATGCATGAATATCATGATTTAGTTCTTGTGGTAGCATCTCAGCTACACACAAAAACACCACAAAAAAACCAACAAACCGAATACTCCCACTTACTATCTCTCCAAGCAGCACCACGTTCTCTCCTCTCACAATGAAGATTCCTCTGGGGATGTCACCGAATTTCTTCCCCACATGGATGCGCTCAACTGTTTGATGGAAGACTAGATTGGCTGAAGGTGAGAGAAACACGTTAAGAACATTAAATCGCATTGATATATAAAAAAGGAGAACATCTCCACGTTTGAATAGGCTCCGTGGGAACTTGCACTGAGCCTCTGCGCAATTAGCTGGAAGGCTTCGGCGTGTGTTTTTCACCGTAGAAGTGAGAATTAATAGCGAAAAAGAATCAAATGGAATATACCAAACTGATCAATGCTTCTGAGGTAACCGATCAGTGTTCTGCCATCTCGGAGCAACACCAGGTGCTTCTCTGCAAGACACAAACAACACGCGCGTGCTAATTACAACATTACACACGTAATAAATTAAACCCAGTTGGCGTCAGACACGATGCCGCATCTTTAAACGACGTTCCAGCTAACGCGTCCTGCCTGCGACTTACTGTCGATGTCGTCAATGAGACTGGCTGTCCCCGGTACGTAGTTCATCTTGGGCTGTCTTTGATTTGCTTCGTGTATATTTACGTGAGGTCAAGCCATGAATGTTTCAAAATATGTTTCTTTCAAGCGGAGTACAGGAAGTGTCTTTATACACGCCCGGGACACACTTCCTGTATCGGCTTAACCCTTTCTGCGCTGCAACAACATTTTAATCCCAATTCACAAAACATTTAGCACCGATGCTTAAGGAAAACCCTATTTTATAAATGAACAACAAATACAGGACGTAAAATATTAAAATAAAAGTTTGTATAAAAAATAGGATATTTAATGACGTGTTGGTTTTTCGCGTCATCTGACGCATTGGTGACAACGAAGATCGTATATAATAGACAGTGACATTTTTGGAACCATTGAATGCTTTAGTTTGTGTGGCTAGATAACTAACGTTGTAGTCGATGTATACGCGGATTAAATGATATCTTTATTCCATTTACGAGTAGACTTAGATAAGTAACATACATGTGACCTTCCGAGCAACCCCATTTCTTTATGTAGCTTGAGTAAATGTGAGAGTTGCGGTGCCATTAAAAAGCAGCAGAGTAAGAGCTCCTCCGTTTTACCCTCCGTGAAAGCCACAGGACGGGATCGCCTACGCTTTGTGGTGCCATTGCTTCATTTACTGATCCCATTCAGACCACCTCTACTTCTGTGGAAACGGTAGCATTGTTGTTTACAGCGTGGACCAACTTGACGGCCCGCATCAGAAACGGTAGTTTTGTTTGAGGTTTGTCTTTTTGACGATGGCAATCAACAGGACGGCTACCGCGGATCGCGTTTAGCTGGTGCATCATCCTCATCAAATGCAAAAATCCGACTGGCCCTCGACTGGTAACTCCGCAAATACTAACGGAAACTGGAATAACACCATGGTAAGGAGGGGTAAGAGGGGGACACAGCTTTGACAAATCCCGTGCCTCTCCCCGCGTGTGCTTTATCACTATAAAATGACCTGACGTCTGTACAAAAAGCATTGTTCCCCCGGTGTGGCAGCGCGCTATCCGCGCTAGCTGGACGGCTAACGGAGCTAGCTGGCATTATGTAACATTTAGCGCCGTACTGCTTGTTCAGCTGTCGCCCGGCTTCGTCCCGTTCGTCTGGACGGGTCCTCCCCGCTAATACCAACGTTGTGTGTTAATGCAGTTGCGTCGCTTTGTACATGTCTGAGAAATGTCTGTCCTCAAATGATCAACGCGGCCTGATCGCGGCTAGCTGTCCACTGTGGACCTGCGAGCGATGCGTTAACTATTGACGCTGTTTACTCAGTTGCTGCATTTCCAGTTGGTTATGTTGAAAGCATGTTGGTTTAAACACTCCTGCCAGCTTCTACCAAGGACAACTCGGACCTTTTAAAATGGTGCTCCTGCACTTCAAGGACGGAAATTAATTCCCTTAAAGTATTAACTCTCGCATGTGATTTTTTTGTCTTGACAGGATGCTCCTCAGTATCCAGGCTACCCGTCGCACTACTGGTACCCCCAGTCTCATTCCACGGGACACTATGCGAATCCCTACCCCTCGGGATCAGACGGCCAGCCTCAGTACAATCAACAGGTACAGCTCGCGATGCAAGAGGACCTGCTCCCTTTTAAATCCACTCGCTATCCTTAAGTCTCTTAAGAGCTTTCACCTTTCCCTCACATTGTCCCAACCGCCTAACACCTCTACGAGGCATTTACACACACACACGTACTCCGAATGGTATGCCGGATAATTCAAACCCTCTTGTGCTTTCCTTGTAGGTAATGCCTGGAGGTTATCCAAACGGCCACGGTGTCTACAGCCCGGCACAGAGTCAGTATTCAACCAGTGGTTTCCACCCGTCCAACCCTTTCTACTGTGCTGACGCTCAAAGGCCGGCTCCGGGCTCTTATCCCAACCAGGGCTGTCCTGCGGAGCAGAGCGGCGGGCCGTCCGGGCAGCCACACTCTCAGCACCAACATCATCACTACCCTGGTCCACACTGTCAAGGGGTGAGCAAAATTACTTTTACGCCTAAAACAAACACAGCACATTAGAAAGTACAAATTATCTGTCTTGCCTCTACTCCCAGGGTCCTGGATATCCCCCTGGGGCGTACCCTCACTACAGTGAAGGCGGTCATGCCATGCCATCGAACCCCCCGTACCCCGCCGGCCAGCCTCTCCACCCGAACCCTCAGGCCGATGCGTGGGCGCACTCTGGTGCGTATGCCCCCACACAGCAGCAATGGCAGGCAGGTCAGCAGCCTCCACAAAACCACTACGGAAATCCCGTCCGTCCACCACATCCTCCGGCTTGGCCGGGGACTGGAAGCGGAGCTCCTCCACCGTACCAGCCCAAGGTATGAGTCTGCACCAGCTGTATTCCAATGTGGGTTCTTTATGAAGGTTTAATAATGCAAGCGCTCAAATTACACAAAGGTCAATTCACTTTAACACTAAAGGTTTTAAGCCGCTTAAAAGCTATCACCTTACAGGTATTGGGATGCATTTCAAAACCACTTTAGGAGTAGGGATCTAAAAAAAGGCCAATTTCACCAGAGTTTAGCCATAGATTGTTCAATTAAGTCAATACAATTTCAATTCGCTCGACGATTACGAAGTATCATAACTATCTTTTCTTTTGTGTTGCTGTAGGAGCAACTGCACCAACGTGTTCCTCAAGTGGGACCTAAACCCAGGCCGACCCCATCCCTGAATCCCCCCAATGGAAAGCCCGCTGAAATAAGTGCACCTCCCCAAATATACCACAAAACCGGGAGAGGGGAACCTAATCCTTCGCAAGGTGAGCCCCCTCCCTCGGCCCCACCCCGAGCACCAGCTCCCTCCCATGCTGGACCTCATCCCCTCAGCGACAACCGCGGCCTAGCTAAGGTCCAGCAGGTCATGGCCAGAATGCTACTGCTCCAGGAGGATGTTGACGAGTTTGTTGGTAAAAAGTCTGACAAGAGTTACCGGTGTCTGGAGGAACTGCTGACCAAAGAGCTGCTGGAGCTGGACTCCGTGGAGACTAAGGGACAGGATAATGTCCGGCAAGCCCGAAAGGAGGCTGTACAGAGGATCCAGGCCATTCTGGACCAGCTGGAGAAGAAGGCCTTCTGAATTGGACTTATTTACTAGTTTGTGGGTCACAACGTCACTCTGTTTTCTTCTTCCAGATCTTCCATGGACACAATAAGGGGTTGACTTCTCTTCCATCTCTCTCTCTCTGAGCGGTTTTATCTTAAGGTTTTTTCCATCACCATAATATACAATGCCATAAATAAGTGGCATGGGACCCGAGACCAAGGCAGAGCAATTATTGCTACCTGGAATCAACCTTTTAAGGCCCAATTATGCTGGTAAAAGTGATATGATGGTGTCAGAAGTTTATGCTCATGGTTGGGCACATTAGGGACTTGCGGCATCAGTCAGTCCCTCTGACGGCTACACGACCCGACGCTCTTGCTCGGCTTGTATTTATTGTAGTGCTTTTTCCAGCATAATGCAGGGCAGAGATGCAGGGTGATGGATTCAGTGCCACATTGCAACTGTCGGTGGTTTGTAAACTGTGATTCAGATTCATGCTGTCCCTCTGGATAGTGGGTTGGTTTCACTCTGATCCTACATCTTTTTTTTCAATCTGTTTGCACGATTTTGTCCTCACATCCAATAGAGGCCATACACTTAGTATCCCATTGTCACTAACTTCCCCATTTCTCTGCAGGAAAAGGTGCAAAGCTTTGCTTCCTTCAATTGTGCTCCCATCCGTGCATGCACTGCAATGTTAGACGAGCACTCATGTTTTACAGTAATTGGGCCTAAAACGTAGCAGATTAGTTAAAAGATTAAAAAAATAAAGATTTTTTTCCCCTGTTATTCCATTTTTTGGATGAAATTTCTTCCTGAGTGTGGATCTAGAATCAGACCTACATATGAATGCCATGTATTTTACTCTAGGAACTACTGTTATAACAGATACATAGGAAGTTTGAGAATTACTTGAAAAAAATGTTAAATGATGTTCTTTTCATTCCGTCTTAAACACTTGGAGTATATATGTGTGTGTGTGTGTGTGTATGTTTATACATACATAGATACATGACAAGAAAGTGAATTGTATTTTCAGAATAAAATATTCCATCAGTTGCTGTATGTACTTTAACATTTTCAGTAATGTTTTGTGCTTAATGACAATGTTGTTCACAGCACTTGGATCAAGTGTTTAATTTGGACCTTGTTTCTGTCTCCTTTTTTTTTTTTTTCAACCATTAAAAAAAAGTGCCATATTTCAGGGGTTGGTTTTATAGTCAGAAATGAAAAAAAAATATAATCAAAAGCTTTGCATGGAATAAAAATAAAAACACCTGCCGATGTGTTAATTTTCCTGTACAGTTAAATGTGTAATGCATGATTTCAACACAAGATGGGAGTCTTTGCCTGAAGTATTTAAGTGGGAACATAGAGAAATAATTAAATGTCTATATATTTTTTGACCTATGATCAAATGGATTTGATTTTTTTTTCTTTTAAATTGTATATGCCAATTTATCCAATATTTTGTTCAGCTCTAAATGGGTAATAGGAACAGATAAATGAGCATATTTCCTTTTTAAAAAGAAAATCCTGTTAATTAAAGAATAGGAAATTGCTTGGTTTTTTTTGGTCGAGTAGCTAATTGCTGCATGGGTCTGCTCTCCTTACATCTACAAGGCTGCATACAGGTCTTTAAATAGACCGCTATTTTGATGCAAAAGCGTGACGCAGGCCCCCGAGGGCTTGAGGCTCATAGGCTGGATGTAATGTGAGGGTCAGATGGCCTCACAAACCTTAGGACACCCTTTGGTGAGTACATCTGAGGCAAAGAAGCCTGAGACAAGAATCAGCCAAGCTGTTAAATTCAGCCTAGTTGGGTACTTCTGTTCCCTATAGCTTTTTTTTTTTTTTACTATATTCTGGAGGTCATTTTAGTAAATTAGTTGCCTGTTACAAACTGTCTACTTCTGATGGAATTACAGTAGAAGTTGCATTCTAGGAAACTATTGTCACTCAAGAGGAAAAGCTATGTCTTATACATCCAAGCTTCCTGCGTCTTGGAATGATAAACCTCCTTCTCGCAAAGTGGAAATTGACCTGAGTTCCCCTGGATTGGCAGTGTTTGAGTTGGAAAGACTGTTGTTTACTGGCAAAGCCATCATCAGCCATGCAGATGAAGTCTGGCCGAGGCTTTACATTGGTGACCAGTAAGTAAATCACATATTTTTTCAGCTTTTTAAAAAAAAAATACAAATGGGACAGCACTTTGCTGCAACATGTCGTTACCATGACAACGTCAAAACTATTATGTACAAATTGTGCATATATATTTTATACTTTTTTCTCCTAGATTTGAAAGTCTTTCAAGCTCTTTCCTAACAAGAGAAGAGGTCATTTCAAAAAAGCTGTTGTCAAAAAGGCTACAAGAATAAAAAATCTAAATCTTTGATGAATACGTTGGTGCAATATAATCTGCTTCCATCTCGGTTTGAGTTTTTATGTTCCATCTTCAATCCTTAATATGTCTCAGTAAATGAAATTCCTCGAGCTGAACACACATGTGCCGTATCCTTTGTTTATTTATCTTTTTAACGTCTCATTCTCTCACTGATTAACTCCATCATTAATGGCACATTGGTATGAATTGTGCATAATTCCCTCGGACAAAGTCTTCAGGAATGCCTATTTACAAAAAGTGTTAACACAGGATTTGAATTGTTTGTAAAGAGAGCCTTCAAACACTCAATGATTTGACAGGGGCTCGGCCCCAAACACTCACAGGCTCTGAGGGAGGGCTCGAGTCCCTGGTGTTGAGATTACTGTAGGATCAGGCCTCAGACTTGCTGAATGCAGCATGGTCTTGTTACCGCGTAACACTATTGCTTTCAAAATATTATTGTGTTGCGACAGAGAGAGTGGAGTTTTACAAATGTTGCACATGTCTAGACTTTGGTCCATTTGTAATTGTTCATTAGTCAGATTCAATTGCATAATGAGAAACTTGAGATCCTACAAATGGCATTCCACATTGGGGTTGTGCAGAAACTAGAGCTGCGCTGTGAGAGAGTTTCCACGGATGCATGCGCTGTGAAAGCACAGCTCAGATCTTTTGACAAATTCACCTCAAATGTGTAAAAGCAACTTCAAAATGTAAATCAATCACCAACAACACATGCAAATGGTTCATCAAGAAAGAAAGACATTTGACCTTATATTCTACCTATTGTCAGACACAGTGCAGAGAACCGGGCAGATCTATCCAAGCATCGAGTCACTCATATCCTCAATGCAGCTCACTGCAAACGCGGCGTACAGCCAGACATCTACGAGGGCATGGAGATCACCTACATGGGAATAGGGGCTCACGATTCCTGCAGCTTTGACATGAGTGTCAACTTCCAGGCAGCTGCAGACTTTATCCACATGGCTCTCAGCAGGGGAGGTGAGAGGAGGGTTAGAGGAGAGATTTGTAGACATTTTTGTTTTCAAATTAATATTGCAATGCTTCTCTGATTCCCAGGCAAAGTGTTGGTGCACTGTCGGGTAGGAGTGAGCCGCTCGGCCACCCTGGTCCTGGCTTACCTGATGCTGAAGCAGGACCTAACCCTGGTGGAGGCTATTTGTGCTGTGAAAGATAACCGGGGTGTCATCCCCAATCGAGGTTTCCTGCGACAGCTGATCAAACTGGATGGCCGACTCTTTCGCGCACGCTGAACTAGGGCTACTAGTCGGAGTCCAGAACTTAAAAATAAATATATAAAAAAATATATGACGAGATCAATAATATGGCGTATTGTTAAAAATATAATAAGATGCATACATTTTCATTCTACTTGTACTGATATTGTTTTTGAAAAGAAATTTACGCCATCAGAGTACTTTGTGGATTGTGCTTTTCTTGCAAAATATATTTTTAGATGCTGTCAATTTGTACATGTTTAATGGATTTAAGTTTCACATTAAAAAAAGGGAATTTAATACAACTTTCTGTTGGATGTGCGCCATTCGATTCAATCAGTGCTACTTACATACTCCAGCACTGATTTGCTTTATTTTGAATGACATAGTATGATATAGTATAGTATGGTCTGCAGACAATAATTATCATTAACACCTTTTGTGCATAAAAAAAACAGTCTCAATTTGATGCTATAGTTCGACAGTAATCATTACACAGAATGAATGCAGAGGCAACGCATATAGGAGGTTGGAATAAAGAATAAACAAAGCAAAAGTTCAGTTGCTCTGATCAGTCTTATAAAAATGGATGGTTCACTCTGTCCAACCTGTGTTTTGCTGTTGGTGCTTCCACCAGGAGAAGGTATGTGGTTAAAAGAATGGAGGGAGATAAAATGCATTGTTTAAGCAATAAGATTCAACTATGCACGCTGGAATAAAAAATAAAAGAAAGACTTCTGTCGAGAGTTGTACATGGAAATTCTTTAGAAATGACTAGATTTACCTTTCTTTGCAGGTTCAAATTATAAAATATTGTAATTTCATGAATTTTCATATAATTTATTTGATTTTACTCAATGCCTCTGCGAATTTGTGTCACGGTATGTTTATGGCGAAGCCAATCATTCATAGCAAGAGAGTTGACAAAATTGTTTTTCAAGGCCTTTGAACCATCATGTATATTGTTGCTTCTAGATCAATTAGTGGATTAGCTCACATTGTGTGAGCCAAATGAACAATGCTGGCCTCTTAAACATTTCTCCTAGTTTACAATGATGCGTATCTGGATCTTATCAGCAGTGGTCTGCATGGGAAGAAGCCATCTCCATGAACATGGTCACCATGGTGATCGTTATGTAGCCAGTGAGAAAATGTCCCTCCTGAGCTCCTGTAGGTTCAGCCCCCCCCCCTACTTCCTTCCTAGGCTGGATATGAAGGCTGCACATAATGACACTGCAGGCAGCATGCTGTGCCTTTCTGTGTCAAAATGATTTGGGCATTGGTGACGCTTCTGCTCTGTGCCCCAGATCCAGTTTCTCAGGAGAAGGCCAAACCAGGTGTGAGCTGGCCCAGGTGGAGAGAAACGCAAAGGCCAGGCTGGGATTAGAAGCACTGCTGTTTTGTTTTGTTATATTTTGTCCCTGTTTTGTGTTTCTTTATTTTGTGCCACTAATAGAACCCAATTTCTTTGTTAAAACCCATAGTTGTTTTACTACATTCCCAGAGCTGACGGGAATCTCTTCAATAAATTGTTTCCTATCATTGATATTTTAAGACAAATGTTCAAATAAATGTTGTACTCTGGGGGAATACTTTGCCTTGGTCTGTTTGCTTTGGTCATCTGTGGGTCCGTAGTTGTGTAATAACTAGTCCTACAGAACAGTAACCACACCCCGTGGTAGCGGTGATCACAATTAGAAGAGAATTTAATTAATGAAAATAATAAATAATCGTGGGTCGCAAAAGTAGTTGACTACACCATATAAATTTTCATTCATCCATGTACACAGCGATACCCGTTAATGGGAGAACGGTTTGATGCAATATAGGTTCATCTAAGTTTTTCTGTGTATTGTGCATTTAGAGCAGAGACAGTCTAATAAGGAGACGCAGAGTAAACGTGTTCACATCTCTACCATTAGGTGGGAGAATACGTGTATTTAAACCATATATTTATTCATATGTAACCGTTTATATGATTTATCTAGGTTATTGCAGATGTGTTTAATGCAGTTTATTTAATGTGATGGGTTTATTTGCAACCATTGTTGTAATGATCTTGTTCATATTTACAAGAGAAAACGATTGTTAAACATTCAATTCTTATTTTAAGAAGGAGTGTCCCAGTTACTCGGTATGCATCAGTAGCTGCAGCGTGGTAACAGAGGTGGGCTCACTAACACAAGTGTCACACTTTGGCACCCACAAAGCGCTCCGGACCAGGAAGCTGCAGAGATGGAATTTGTGTTACAATATTTTACATTTTTCTGACTAGACAAGAACAATAAAGAGATGAATTTGTTCTCTTTTCTTCGTTGCTACCATGTTACCTTTTGTGTGACGCCTCAGAGTGATCTCTGGAGCTGTGGACGGATGCACATCTTCAGGCTGGAATTGGGTTGTGAACCGTTGCAACAGACTACCTGCTCTTCAGCACGTTGGATACACCACTATGACACTGTTACACAACATGTATTTCCCGATTTACGATCTCTATTGTCATTGTGTGACAAAGTGGGTGACAACTCACCTTTGTCCCCATGTTGGTAAGTTTGTTGGATGCTTGCCAATGCTCGGCAGGTGTGCTGGAGGCTAGAGGGGAGGGCAGGCAGTGAGGCCTAGTGTTGTGCAGGGGATGGTGTCAGCAATGACATCATCGGGTTGGACCAGGTATTCAGAAGGGAGAGTGTCATAATGTGCACATGGTGCAACCTGGGGCGGGTTGATTGACGGCGCTATAAAGGTGGAGGACATTGACTGTTGGGGGGGAAATGGTGGAATCTCTGTGTATCTGAAGGCACGTGTTAGATGAGGTTATGTGGAGTTGATTCAGTTAATGAATTAGATTTTGTTTGGTTGTTTATCTGTTTAATGAGACGTGTATCGGGAACCTTCCTTTTTTTTTTACAAATAAAGAAAACTTCTTTTATACCTTGACCAAGTCTCGCTTGCCTGCCTCCTAATTCCAGGATTCCCTCGGTTGTGACATCCTCACACATTGGTTCAGAAAACAGATTACATATGTTCCTTTTGATGTCACTTCTGTGCCATGTGCTTTTTTCATCCATTTGGTTTAACTTTTTTTTATATAAAATTATATTAATTATCTAATAAATTAGATAAATTATCTATATAGTCACTGCTTTTATTCTGTTTGTTATATAAAGACCAAATTCTAATATCTTTTAATAACATTTTATTTACTTAACTTATGTTACCCTCTAGTGTAAAGAACAAACACTCACTCATAAAAAAGGAGAACAAAGAATGAGGATTTTCAAGGAAAATTATATTTGAACACAATATGCCTGTTCTGGCATCAGATCAGATATTTGGGTTAATAATCCTGCCCATCATGAGTATTTGTTTTGTGTTGCGTTCAATGATGATAACCACAAATGGCTCATTTATCTTCACATAAAAGGTTTTTGGTGCTGGAAATGCAGCGGTAGCTCCGGCCTCATCGACATGCAGGGGAGCTTGGTGGACAACCTACGGCGTGAAGGAAGATGAGTGAGATGAGAGATGCAAACCATATAGATACGGAGAAAATATGTGTCAATTCAAAGTGTCTTTCTCCTTACATCCGAGACTCTTCTTGAAAGGCAGGTGCAGCACTGATGTGTTAATATTCCAGTCGTTACAGGTTTCGACACGCTCGTTCATAAACATCTGGACTGGAACCTGCAAAAAATGGTGGCGTAAACGTGACTTCCCTCAATTGGAAAAGATGTATGATGATACTTTATTACTGTGACTCTGAACCATTCTGGAAAAAGTGGTGCAACTTTCAACCTGGGTTTTCTTATCCACATAAAACGTCCTCTGTGAGTTTGGGATCAAATGAAGTCGCCCAATTTCCTGTTTGATGAGCAGTAATAAAACATACAACTTAAATGTGGACCTCAACATAAGTCAACAAAGCAACATCTCATCTCAGTTGACGTTTTACCTTTGTAGTAGATGTAGCTGGTGAGATACATGACTGTGCTTGGATCCAGATCCTCAACCAGCTTGTCTATCTTCCCATTGGTCTTATCCTCCACGTACTTCTTGATGGTATTGGCACTATCTGTGGTCTGGGTGAAGTTAACGTTGAACCCATCTGCAAGGTAGGTGTAACGCACCACAAGAGACCAGAGTGAACTCAAGCGCAGAGCGCAGTTTTATTAGCGGGGTACAGACAAGGATCAGGCGTGGTAGGGTCCGGTGAACAGGCAGGGGTCGAAAGCCGGGAGCGCGGAGGTAGGCAGAGGTACCGTCGAGGGTCAGGCAGGCGTGAACGAGGTCTGGGACAAAGGAGAGGTCAATAACAGGTAGGCAGAAACAGGATATCAAGAGAACACTCAGAATGTGATGGCAACATGCACAAAACTTCGCACCGGCTTCTGAGGCTTCGGCAGCTTAAATGCCCAACCTCTCCTGATGAGAGACGAGCCACAGGTGCGTTGGTGGGAGTGGCCGTGCCCGCTCAGTGGGCTGATCCTGAGTGGCACAAACCATTGTCACGTGCCACAGAGGGGTGACTGAGATCCCGAGCTTCGGACCTTAGTATTCCGGAGACGGGGAACGTCTGTTTGTGACAGTAGGACTGCATCAACGTATCCAGGAAGTCGGGCTTCACCTTGAACTTGTTGTCCACAAATACAGCGGTTCCTTCACTGATGCGACGGAGACACTACTCGGGGAGAAGAGGATGTTCTTGCCTTTAGAGTCGGCATGAGCTGCCAATTTCCTGTACAGACTGTAGGCAAATCCCCCAACGCCGTCGGGTTCAGGGTCTTGATATGCCTGGTCATCGACAACCTCGTAGTACCAATCTTCGTTATCAGCGTCACCATCATCAGGGAGATGGCCTCCCCCCACGCAGATCACTGCTGATAAGATCCAGATACCGACGGCTGCACGCATCATGGTGAACTGAGGGAAACATTGAAAAGGGGAGCATTGTTCATTTGGGTTACACAATGTTTATTATTGGACGTACTAATACACTCATTTATCTAGAAGGAACTACAAACATGATTTAAAGTCCTTCAAAGAACAACGTTAAATTATAAATAAATAAAAAAATATAAATTATATGAAAATTCATGAAATCCTCTGAATAAATTGTCACATTGTATGAGTTGAACCTGCAAAGAAAGGTTCAGAAGACTAAATCTAGTGATTTCTAAAGAATGTACAAATAATCTTAACTCTCAACAGACGTTCAAGTCTTTTTTTAAATTCCAGCGTACATAGTTGAATGTCAAAGTCAACACATCAAACACATACCGCTTAATCAATGCATTTTATCTCCCTCTATTCTTTTAACCACTTACCTTCTCCTGGTGGAAGCACCAACAGCAAAACACAGGTTGGACAGAGTGAAACTATCTATCAATTTATATAAGACTGATCAAAGCAACTGAACTTTGGCTTTGTTTATTCCTTATCCCAACCTCTTATTTGCTTTTTCTTTGCATTTGTTCTATGTATAATGATTATTGTCGTACTATTGCATCAAACAGCCTCTAGCGGCTTTCTATACACAAACCAAGCTGCCATGATGTTTTTTTTGATGTACAAAAACGTTAGTAATAATTATTTCTGTGCTTTTATTTCATTTCATAGACAAAAAACTCAAAGGGATTCAGGACAATAAAAATCAATAGTTTTTTTCCTAATTACCACAATTGTGTATCATTCGTTCTTTTGTTTTAAACAGAAAACAGAAATAGGCTGTTTTTCCATTTTCATTGTCCAAATTCACAAAGCAGAAATCGATTTTTATTTTGATGAGTTTTACGATTTATACTATAAAAGAACACAGTGCAGCCGCTAAACCTCAGTTCATACACTTTTACTGTAAAAGTCACGCAAAAGTTTTATATGCAAGAAATTCACCTTTGATGCAAGGCATTACCAGGGTAACACTAGAAGACAAGGTAATTGATGCACAGTGTAGATGTATTTAATGCTGTTCATTTTGTGTGATGTTTAGGGTTAATTTACAACCAATGCAAACATCATGTTATGTGTATGTAGTTTATGAACCCCAAATACCTCCAAGGAAGAGGGAGTATTTGTTGATCACAATGTAGTAATGACTATTAAAAATAGAGACGTTTGGTTCATTTCTATTTGTCACACATTTGACCACATCATAGTTTATTTTCATCTTCACTGCAGGTTATCTAACTCTCCTGTCATTTCAAATCCTCCCACATAATCAGCTCAATACCCTCACCTGGTTCTCCTTGCCCTCCTCACCTGCTCATTCCTTTGAGAAATTATTCAAATACTGCAAGCAGTAAGCCAGGTTAATGTTCTGTGTTTAATGACAATGTTGTTCACAGGACTTAGTTCAAGTGTTTTACTTTGACCTTATTTTTTCTTTTTTTTTCAATCATTAAAAAAAACTGACACATTTTAGGGGGTGCATTGTTTTATATAGTCAGAAATAAAAAAGACAAACCTGGCCATAACCAAAGCAGAAATAACCACCAAGTTTCCATCTTATGAATCATAAACGCCGATTTCCTTTGACGTTTTAAACAAAATTATGAAATGAATCCATTTTTTTAAGCAAGATACACGTCATTGTATGCGCATCACACGCAATGTAGGGCTGATGGTGATTTTATTTCAGGGGATTCACAAGATTGCAAGTTTTTTTTTTTGTGTGTTACATTGAGTGATTTATTCACCAGTAACATATAAACTGAGTTTGACACATCAGAACACTCACAGAGGTTCCCCATTATCCTGTCCAGATAGACAGACGGCGTTATTACACTTTTTATTATGCTATGCCATTTTTGGAGCAGAGGCCAAAAAAGCCGGCTATGATGGTGAGGCAACAACAGGTCAATGGAGGGCACGAGTCCCTGATGTTGAGATTAAGATTAGGCCTTAGACTGGCTGACAGTAATGCAGCATGGCCTTGTGACTGCGTTCCTTGTATGTTGCTTTGCAAATATTATTGCGTTGTGCCAAAGAGAGTGGACTAAGACTTTTACAAATATTGCACAAGTCTAAACTTTGGTCAAGAGGAATTGATCATTAATCACATTAGATTTCATAATGAGAAACTTCAGATCTCACAAAAGGAATTCCATATTGGGGGTGTGCGTTAACTACACCTGTGCTGTATACCTCGCCATAAATGCACAGCTCAGATCTTTGAGAATGTGCGTAAGTTACAACTGCGCTGTGAGAGTTTTCACAATTTACACATTGGGGATACTTACATACTAAATCATTGATTTTATTTAGTAGCAATGGCACAGTATGATATAGAGTATGGTCTGCAGACAACAGTTATCACTAACACGTTTTTTTACACGTTGCTGAAAAATAACATTGGCAGCTTGGTTTGTGCATAGAAACCTGCTAGAGGCTTGTTTGATGCAATAGTTGGACAGTAATCATTACACAGAGAACAAATGCAGAGGCAAAGCAAATAAGAGGTTGAAATAAAGAATAAACAAAGCCAAAGTTCAGTTGCTCTGATCAGACTTTTCACTCTGTCCAACCTGTGTTTTGCTGTTGGTGCTTCCACCAGGAGGAGGTATGTGGTTAAAAGAATGGAGATAAAACGCATTATTTGAGCAGTATGTGTTTGATGTGTTGACTTTGAGATTCAACTATGCACGCTGGAATACAAAAAAAGACTTAAACAGCTGTTGGGAGTTACAACAATAATTGTACATTTTTTAGAAAAGACTAGATTTCGTCTTCTGAACCCGTCTTTGCAGGTTGAAATTATAAAATGTTTTAATTTCATCAATTTGTATGTGCAGAAGTATCGAGTTTAACACTCAATACCTCTGCGGATTTGTTTCATGACGACTGTGAATGTGTGGGTTGTTGTGAGCGTGTATGTGGGGGTTAAATCAGATTTCACTGACAGTAACCAAACAGCCTTTATTCAGCAGAATCTGATTCAAAGCACAGAAGAAAAAACAAACATATTAAACAACCAAAACTGCAATAACGTTGGCAAGAAATGGTATGTTTATGGAGAAGCCCATCATTCACAGCAAGAGAGCTGATGTTTTTTAAAGGCTTTTAAACCTCATGACTATTGTTGCTCCTAAAGAAATTAGTGCATTGTTACTTACATAACAAACATTGTGTAATCGAAATGAACAATGCTGCCCTTTTAAACTTTTCTTTTAGTTCACAATGATGCGTGCAGCCGTCGGTATCTGGATCTTATCAGCAGTGATCTGCGTGGGGAGAGCCCATCACTCTGATCATGGTGACCATGGTCGAGCAGATCAAGACACTGCACCAGACGGCCGTGCCAACAGCTTCCTTCAGGTGACTTCAGCAAACAAAGAGTTTGCCTACCGTCTGTACAGGAAATTGGCAGCTCATGCCGACTCTGAAGGCAAGAATATCTTCTTCTCCCCGAGTAGTGTCTCCGTCGCCTTGGCTGCCTTGTCCGTAGGAGCACGGGGGGACACCCACCATCAGATTTTTAGGGGTCTGGGTTTCAACAACTCCTTACTGACGCAGACAGATGTCGATCAGTCCTTCCAGAAGCTCCTTAAAAAGACCAACGACACATCTCAGGACATCAGTGAAGGGACCGCTGTATTTGTGGACAACAAGTTCAAGGCGAAGCCCGACTTCCTGGAGACGTTGATGCAGTCCTACCTTGCAGATGGGTTCACCGTTGACTTCACCCAGACCACAGATAGTGCCAATACCATCAATAAGTACGTGGAGGATAAGACCAATGGGAAGATAGACAAGCTGGTTGAGGATCTGGATCCAAGCACAGTCATGTATCTCATCAGCTACATCTACTACAAAGGTAAAACGTCAACTGAGATGAGATGTTGCTTTGTTGACTTATGTTGAGGTCCACATTTAAGTTTTATGTTTTATTTCTGCTCATCCTCAAACAGGAAAGTGGGCGACTCCATTCGATCCCAAACGCACCAAGGAAGACGTGTTCATGTTGGATGAGAACACCAAGGTTCACTTATTCACAATGGTTCAGAGTAATAAAGTATCATCATATGTCTTTTCCAATTAAGGGAAGTTGCGTTTGAACTGCTATTTTTTCAGGTTCCAGTTCAGATGATGAATGAGGAGACGCTGTTTGATACCTATAACGACAGGGCAATTAACACATCAGTCCTCCACCTGCCCTTCAACAGCTCTTACTCCATGCTGCTGTTGTTACCTGATGACATGTCAACTCTGGAGAATGCCATTAGCCCGGCACACGTCACCAAATGGTTCAAGTGGATGACGTCCAGGTTGGGAGATTTAACTTCCTTACATTTTTGATTTCTAAAGGTCTGACACTCTATTAACTACTCAGCTCAACTCATCTTCAACCGCTTATTCGGGGTCGGGTCACGGGGGTAACAGCTCCAGCAGGGGATCCCAGACTTTACATTTTTTACTTCTAAAATAGAAGGTTTTGAAACTGTATTACAACTCAGCTTTGTCCAGTTACAGTCGGAATCATCGGTAAATATTTGTCCATTTCCTTTTTTTTTTAGCAAACATAATGTATATATTCCAAAGTTCTCCATCAAGACTTCCTACAAACTGAATGATGTGTTGATGGAAATGGGAATGACGGACATGTTTGGCGATCTTTCGAATTTGAGTGGCATTTCAGATGGGGATAAACTCTGCATCAGCGAAGTAAGGACAGAAAGCTGCCTCTATTTGATACATATTTTCTCTGTATCTATATGACTCGCATCTCTCATCTTACTCATCCTCCTTTATGCCGTAGGTTGTTCACCAAGCTACCCTGGATGTCGATGAGGCCGGAGCCACCGCTGCAGCCGCCACAGGCGTTGGCATCGTACCAAAGTCCGTTGAACGAATCCCTGTCTTGAAGTTCAATCGTCCATTTATGGTTATCATCGCTCAACGCAACACAAAACAAATGCTTTTCCTCGGCAAGATTGTTAACCCAAACATCTGATAGAGCAGGCATACCGCGTTTGCTTAAGCGTAGAGTCTGTTGAGTCAGAAATAAAATACTGAGAAAATGCTCTTTCTTTGTTCTCCTTCTTTATGATTAGATGTTGGTAAAATATAGAAGACGGGTAATGAATGAATGAACGAAATATTGTTCAAATACTTTAGAGTTTGTTATTTGTTTAACAAACATAAAAGTAATAAAAGCCGTGGCTGTGTAGATCATGAGACTAATCTATAATTTAAAAAGTTAAACAAAATGGGACTGCTGCTGGACCAATCACAAGGCCTAGAAATGGCATCAAATGGGACTTATGTAATAATTTGTTAATTGTTATTATTTATTATACGGGTAGATGAAATCCAGTGTTCTGATTGATTGAGAGTGAGTCAAGGGCGGTGCATTATTGAGCGATAATTTACAGTCACATTCACATTGATTGGTTTTGGGCAATGCAGGCTTTTGCAACCGGACAGTCAAGGTGGACGTCATGAGCGATGTGAATGAATGAGATGGCGTGAGATCTTGCAAGGAGACTCAATGCTGTTTACATGCACGTACAGGGACCATTTTTTACACTACTGAAATGAGATACATAACTTTGGTGGCTATAACTATTTTATGCTAGATTAGATTTTTGTATCTGCATGCTGTTACTTCCATTTTTATTATTCGTCTTTATTGTTTGCATGTTTTGAATTTGTGTGTGGTGGTTAATGTATTATTGCAGATGCGGTTTTATTTGTTTCATCAAGTGAGTGCCTAATGGTGCATCTCATTAGGGTCAAAAGGTGCGTCCCGGAATTCACGCCAGGTCAATTTGAAGAGCCTGAGGTGATGTGGGGGAAGGCGGGTTGGAGCAGCACGGGGTGGAGGTGGACAGGCAGACTTTGACATCAAGAATTATGACCAGTGGTGATGAGAGTGTATGGATGCATGTAACTGGCATGGAGTCATGTGTGTCTGATAACACCACTACCATATAAGGGCAATGTTTCCCCCGTCCCCTCTCTCTTTACCTGACTCTCCCAGAGAGCAGTATGTCGCACTGTTCGATAATAAACAATGACACATGTTTGCTGGCTGAAGAGACAAACGCCTGGATGTCTGTTCATCCTCTAGAATTATTATTTCACTGTGCAGGTAGGCAAAAGGAGTAGGCCTATCTGTTAAGTGTTTTTTAAAGAGCTTTCAGAAATCCATCCGCCACTTGGTGTCATACATGTTGGTGAAGTTTGTGTTTGTGTCCCGTCTTACGTCTGATTTTGATACTTCCTGATTTATTGTGGCGTCTAAACCCCCTCTCGTTTCAGGTGCCTTGCCCTTCCTCAGGTGTCTCCTGTTGATTGTCTCCCCTGATTCCTAATTGTCTCCACCTGTTCCCTCACCTCCCTCATGGATACTTATTGTCTGCGTCTCCCTTTGTCCTCTGCCAGTGTGTCTTGTCGTTGTGCATGTCCACACCCGCGTTAGTGTTAGTTTGTGAAAGGATCGTTGTATTTTGGTATTATTAGATATATGAATTATTGGAATAAATCTCCTGCAGTCAAACCTCTCTGTGTCCTTGTCCTCCTCCCCGGCTCCGGCCTGACTGACACTTTTAATACATTGGTAGGCCTAAGTGTAGCCGGCGCGGTCTGTGCCTCGCCGACTACTGCGTTGTGTTCAGGTGCACTGATAACAGGACGCTGACATTCCCTTAGGCACTTTATTCTGCAGAAATCAAATAAAAACATGGACACCTTCTCCATACACAACCAGTATCCTCCCCTCAGTCAACGGTGAGCAGACTGACAATTGAATTACATTCATTCAAAAGCATAAAACAAAATACAACAAATAAAAATAACTATGGAGAATAAATGTCCGCATCAAACGGTTTTCTCTCTGATCACATTGCATGTTCTCCTTAGGAAATATATCTTCTATTCACACATAGACTACAACATAAATACCTACAGGATTACACCACATTTGTCGGACTTCCTAACGGAATACATATAAATGAACATCACATTTGCTGAACATGGTAATAAAATAAAATAGAATACAATCAATGACAATGAATACATGTGTTAGTAGTTTGTAGTTTATTAAATTTAAGAAAACAGTGAAGAAAAGTATGACAACACAACACCACAATTGCAGATTAAGAACTATCTACATACGGAGTCTCCTTTTTACAGTAGTGCCCAGAGGGCCTTCTTGTCCTCCACGTCAGGTCCTGCCTTGCACAGAGGAGCCATGAACCCCAGAACACGCATTCAGTTAAGCAGTCTGTCAATTACACGGACAACAAGTTAAAGGAACAATCATGTACTACCTATGTCATAAATAGCCTATACAGCATGTTTTTTTTCAAATTGAGAACTGACTTGTTTTCTTGTTTTCTAATCTACGCGTCACCAGGCGTTTTTCTTGTCCTTTTACCATGCACCCCCCCGGCGGACCTTCTCGACCGGTCCGCGAAATATTGTCTGAAATATTGTCTGACATGAAACCAGTCCGTGAGGTAAAAAAGGTTGGGGACCACTGGGCTGATCCACAACGTGTATGTGTTTACACACCTCCTGGATCCTGATTGGTGTCGCTGCTGCAGCTGCAGAACGCGTGTTCTGGGGTTCATGGCTCCTCTGTGCTTCTCTCTCTATTCGACCTGGTGTTTCTCCTCTCCCTGTGCTCTCTGCATCATTGCCTGTCCTATCACTGCCTGAAAAAATATGTTGAATTTAAGAGTTAACCAGTTAAGCAGCCTGTCAATTACACTGACAACATAAGTTAAAGGAACACTCATGTACTACCTATGTGTACATGAAACCGATCCGTGAGGTAAAAAAGGGTTGGGGACCACTGGGCTGATCCACAACGTGTATGTGTTTACACACCTCCTGGATCCTGATTGGTGTCGCTGCTGCAGCTGCAAGGCACTGATTGGATGGTCAGACCGTAATACAGCGCAGATGAACATGATTCAGACTGCAGCGTTTATATGTTCAACAATAGGAAACGTAGTCTTAGCTGTTTTAAATATACACCAAGTTTATTTCGAATTATTCCAACGGAAGAATACAAGGCGCAGGGAACTTTGAGGTGCGTAAACGCCACTTAAAGGTGCGTAAACGCTATTTCTAAAATTCTAGAGGTGCGTAAACGGCGTTTACGCGCGTTTACCTTCCACTACAGCCCTGCATATGCCCTTACAATATTACACGTAAAGAAATGATCAAGTGTACCTAAACAGACAGTGAAATACATTAATTCGGTCTTAATGCTTACGTTGCGTACGGTACGTACCTTCCCTCAGTCACCGGTGAGCAGACTGACGAGGGCACGCAAAGCCAGTCAAACAATACACTCTACCCACAAGAGGGCGCTGTTACACAAAATAATATAACTCCTAATACCAAAGCTAATTATATACAGGACAGAAAAAGGATTTTGGAGAAATAATACACAGTAACTTGAACCAAACACAATTGAAAACAAAAAAAGATTTACATATTTACGTAGACCTGTTACATAAGCAACTGTCTTCAGGGCGTAATTACCCACGTGAGCTTTGTCCGCCGGCCGAATCCGGTGCCCTTTTTAATTTGTCAAATCTTTTACTGGGTTTTTAAGGTGTTGCAAAATCTCTGAGACTAGTTTTAGATTCAGTAATTTTAGACATTGTTTTTATATTGAGTTGGAATGTTTTTAACTGTAGTTTGTGATTCAGAGTGGAATAAATTGTATTTTAAATTAATTTCAATTGTCAAAAACAGTGGGACATACACAGATAAAAATAAAATATAACTATAAACTATTTAAAAAGTTCACGGAACGTCCCTCTTCAATGGTTTCGTCCGTGACTGAGGCGACCTACCAGCCGGCCATTCAAAACTCGTCAAAGGTTCTTCTTTATGGAAACGGTTGGTTGCGCGAGGCGGGCTGCCGCCCCCTACAGTCAGATTAGCACACTGCAGCAGTCAAGTCCCATTATTCACTTTTCAAATAGTAATGATCTAATAAATAGATACATTATCTAAAGTTTTTATTAAGTTTTTTTTATACAAATACCTAATTCTGATATCTTTCAATAACATTTCACTCATTCATTATTTTACCCGTCTAGTATAAAAAACAAAGACACATAAAAAAGGAAAACAACGAAAAAGGGATTTTCTCAGTATTTTATATGTGATTCAACAGCTACCCCCAAGCAAACATTAAATGCCTGTTCCATCAGAGGTTTGGGTTAATAATCTTTCCCATGAAGAGCACTTTATCTGTGTTGCGTTCAGTGATCATAACCATAAATGGACGATTGAACTTCAACACAGGGGTGAAGAAGGAGGACGTAAGCATTATGCCAACGCCAGTGGCAGCTGCAGCGGTGGCTCCGGCCTCATCGACATCCAGGGTAGCTTGGTGAACAACCTACGGCGTGAAGAAGAATGAGTAAGATGAGAGATGCAAGTCATATAGATACAGAGAAAATATGTGTCAAATAAAAGCATCTTTCTGTCCTTACCTCTGAGACGGAGAGTTGGTTTGCATCTGAAATGCCACTCAAATCCGCACGTTCACCAAACATGTCCGTCATTCCCATTTCCACCAACACATCATTCAGTTTGTAGGAAGTCTTGATGGAGAACTTTGGAATATATACCCTGTGTTCACTAAAAAAACAAAGAAGTAGACAAATATCTAACAATGAATTTGACAGTAATAACTGACCAGGACAAAGCTGAGTTGGTAATATGGTGTCAGACCTTCTATTTTAGAAATAAAATATTCAAGGAAGTTCTCCCAACCTGGACGTCATCGACTTGAACCATTTGGTGACGTGTGCCGGACTAATGGCATTCTCCAGAGTTGACATGTCATCAGGTAACAACAGCAGCATGGAGTAAGAGCTGTTGAAGGGCAGGTGCAGGACTGATGTGTTAATTGCCCTGTCGATATAGATATCGGAACGCCTGTTCTTATACATCATCTGGACTGGAACCTGAAAAGACAGTAGTTTTAAACATGGCTTCCCTTAGTTGGAAAACACGTATGATGATACTTTATTTCACTGAACCATTCTGAATAAGTGATGCAACTTTGAACCTTTGTTTTCCCATCCACCATGAACATGTCTTCCCCGGTGAGTTTGGGATCGAATGGAGTTGCCCACTTTCCTGTTTGATAAAGTAAAATAAAACATAAAAATTAAATGTGTGACCTCAACATAAGTCAACAAAGCAACATCTCATCTCAGTTGACGTTTTACCTTTGTAGTAGATGTAGCTGATGAGATACATGACTGTGCTTGGATCCAGAACCTCAACCAGCTTGTCTATCTTCCCATTGGTCTTATCCTCCACGTACTTATTGATGGTATTGGCACTATCTGTGGTCTGGGTGAAGTCAACGGTGAACCCATCTGCAAGGTAGGACTGCATCAACGTCTCCAGGAAGTCGGGCTTCGCCTTGAACTTGTTGTCCACAAATACAGCGGTCCCTTCACTGATGTCCTGAGATGTGTCATTGGTCTTTTTAAGGAGCTTTTGGAAGGACTGATCGACATCTGTCTGCGTCAGTAAGGAGTTGTTGAAACCCAGACCCCTAAAAAGCTGATGGTGGGTGTCCCCCCGTGCTCCTACGGACAAGGCAGCCAAGGCAACGGAGACACTACTCGGGGAGAAGAAGGTATTCTTTCCTTCAGAGTCGGCATGAGCTGCCAATTTCCTGTACAGACTGTAGGCAAACTCTTTGTTTGCTGAAGTCACCTGAAGGAAGCTTTCTTGATCCGCTCGACCATGGCCATGACCCTGTTTATGGTCACCATGGTGACCATGATCGTGGTGATGGCCTCTTCCTAAGCAGATCACTGCTGATAAGATCCAGATCCCGACGGCTGCACGCATCATGGTGAACTAAGAGAAACATTTAAAAGGGCAGCATTGTTCATTTGGCTTATATAATGTGTTTTATTGGAAGTACTAATTTATTTTTAAGCAACAATAATGATGATGGTCTGAAAGCCTCTAAAAACATTTTGTCTGCTCTCTTGCTGACTTGCTGTTCTGCATAAGTGCTGTTTTGGTTGTTTAACATGTTTGTTTTTCTCTTCTGTCGTTTCAATCAGATTCTGCTGAATAAAAGCTGTTTAGTCAAATCTGAGTGACATAGACGCTCAAACGCACACACTTATTTGACACACACTGTCATGAAACAAAGTAACGCATTACTGTAATTCCACTACTTTTAGCGGTAACGAGCATGTAACGAAGTATTTTTTTAAATAAATTAACGCAGTTACAATTACTGAAATTTAAATGAGTTCGTTACGCGTGTTACTCTCTTTTGTGAAAAATGAACACTTGCATACAAGAAGACAAGATAGGCCTACTTTAGCTGCTTCTGATCTGACATCGCGGGACCTTGGTGGCGCAATGATACACCAATCGAATCAATCAATGAGCATTAAACCACATCATGGCCGAGAGTGCGGATAGAATGAGCTTTCTCTCCTGGAAGTATGGACATTACTTTTCGCTCGTCGAAAGTAAAGACAAAAATGTAGTGGTGAGTTGTAAATTATGTGCAGGTTCAAAGACCCTATCAACATCTAAGAGTAGCAATTCCAATCTTATGAAGCACCTGTTGAAACAACATGCTTCGACAAAGCTAGTAGCGAAAGACCCCAGCCCTACGGATGCTGAAGGCACCACTCCATGCAAACAACTAAGGCTAGACTTTACACGGACTGCAGTGCAGCCGATAAGCCAGGCAGAGCTGAATAAATTGATTGTTAAAAGGGACTTTTGTACTACTGCTTGATTTGAAAGCTTGTTGCCCTGTTGATTGTAATAAATAGGTCTAGAAAATATGTTTATTGTGTTTGACTGTTCAGTACTGTTCATTACATTAAAAAAGCAGACATAAAAGTAACTTAAAAGTTACTTCCCCTAGTAACTAATTACTTTTGATATACAGTAACTGGTAAAGTAATTAAATTGCCTTTAAAAGAAGTAACTAGTAACTGTAACTAATTACTCATTTTCAGTAACTCGCCCAACACTGCTCTCAACAGATTTTTTTTTTAAATTCTAGCTTACATAATTGAATCTCAAAGTCAACACATCAAACACATACTGCTTAATCAATGTATTTTATCTCCCTCCATTATTTTAACCACATACCTTCTTCTGGTGGATGCACCAACAGCAAAACACAGGTTGGACAACGTCCCTTTTTATAAGTCTGATCAGAGCAACTGAACTTTGGCTTTGTTTATTCTTTATTCCCACCTCTTATTTGCGTTTTCTCTGCATTTGTTCTGTGTGTAATGATTACTGTGCAACTATTGCATCAAACTGAGCCTCTAACCGGTTTCTATGCACAAACCAAGCTGCCAATGTTATTTTTCATGTACGAAAACGTGTTAGTGATATTTTTTTCTGTGCTTGTTCATTTTGTAGATGGAAACGGAAATGGGCAGCCGGTTTAGATGTATTTAATGCTGTTCATTTTGTGTGATGTTTAGGGTTAATTTCAACCATTGCAAACATCATGGTGTATGTATTTAATTTAAGATTAATAAATAGAGACATGGTTTATGTCTATTAAACATTAAGAGTAATTAACCTACAGCACTTTTTGTCACACTAATACTACTATGAAAGGTTAAACTAAAGAGGTCCAAAAAAGAGAAGATGGTCAATTGTGGTGTTCCAAAGAAAATTATGTAAGATTTAAAATATTGTATATAAAAGTGACACATTTTAGGTGGTAAATGGTTTTATATAGTCCATCCATCCATCCATCCATCCATTTTAACCGCTTATCCAGGGTCGGGCTGCGGGGGCAACAGCTCCAGCAGGGGACCCCAAACTTCCCTTTCCCGGGCTACATCTACCAGCTCTGACTGGGGGATCCCAAGGCGTTCCCAGGCCAGTGCAGAGATATAATCTCTCCACCTAGTCCTGGGTCTTCTCCGGGGCCTCTTCCCAGCTGGCTGTGCCTGGAACACCTCCCTAGGGAGGCGCCCAGGGGGCATCCTCACCAGATGACCAAACCACCAGCGGCTCTACTCTGAGCTCCTCGCGAATGGCTGAGCTTCTCACCCTATCCCTAAGGGAGAAGCCAGCCACTCTCCTGAGGAAACTCATTTCGGCCGCTTGTACCCATGACTTAGTTCTTTCGGTCATGACCCATCCTTCATGACCATAGGTGAGGGTAGGAACGAAGATTGACCGGTAGATCGAGAGCTTTGCCTTCCGGCTCAGCTCTCTTTTTGTCACAACGGTGCGGTAAAGCGAGTGCAATACCGCCCCCGCTGCTCCGATTCTCCGGCCAAACTCACACTCCATCTTCCCCTCACTCGTGAACAAGATCCCGAGGTACTTGAACTCCTTCACTTGGGGTAAGGACACATTCCCTACCTGGAGTAGGCAATCCATCGGTTTCCTGCTCAGAACCATGGTCTCAGATTTAGAGGTGCTAATCCTCATCCCGACCGCTTCACACTCGACTGAGAAACGCTCCAGTGAGAGTAGGAGGTCAGAGACGGAAGATGCCATCAGGACCACATCATCTGCAAAAAGCAGCGATGAGATCCGCAGCCCCCCGAACTGTAGACCCTCCCCCCCCGACTACGCCTCGATATCCTGTCCATGAAAACCACAAACAAGATTGGTGACAAGGCGCAGCCCTGGCGAAGGCCAACCCACACCGGAAACGCCTTCGACTTACTGCCGAGGACCCGAACACAGCTCTCGCTTTGGGAGATACATACAAGGATTGGATGGCCCCAAGCAAGGACCCCCTCACCCCGTACTCCCGCAGCACCTCCCACAGTTTCTCTCGGGGGACCCGGTCATATGCCTTCTCCAAGTCCACAAAACACATGTAGACTGGATGAGCATACTCCCAAGCCCCCTCTATGATCCTGGAAAGAGTGAAGAGCTGGTTTGTTGTTCCACGACCAGGACGAAAACCGCATTGTTCCTCTTCAATCCTTGGTTCGACTATCGGCCCAACCCTCCTTTCCAGCGCCTTAGAGTAGACTTTACCCGGGAGGCTGAGTAGTGTGATACCCCTGTAATTGGCACACATTCTCTGGTCCCCCTTTTTGACGAGGGGTACCTCCACCCCGGGCTGCCACTCTTTTGACACTGTCCCAGACTTCCACGCAATGTTGAAGAGGCGTGTCATCCAAGACAACCCCCCAACACCCATTGCTTTGAGCATTTCATCCATCCCCGGGGCTTTGCCACTGCAGAGTTGTTTGACTACCTCAGTGACCTCCACCAGGCCAATTGACGATGATCCCTCCTCCGCCTCCAGGTCTGCCTCTACCAAAGAGGGCGTAGTAGTTGGATTCAGGAGATCCTCAAAGTGTTCCTTCCACCGCCCGATAACCTCCTCAGTCGCGGTCAACAGGGTCCCATCCTTACTGTACACAGCTTGGATGGTTCCCCGTTTCCCCCTCCTGAGGTGCCGGATGGTCTTCCAGAAGCACTTTGGTGCCGACCGAAAGTCCTTCTTCATAGTTACCCTGAACTCCTCCCATACTCGCTGCTTTGCCTCCATCACGGCAGAGGCTGCTGCCCTTCGAGCCTGCCGGTTTTAGATAGTCAGAAATAAAAAGACAAACTTTGCCATTTGTTTCCAGCATATTAATCATAAATGCCCATTTAAACAAAATTATGAAATTCATCAATTTTTTGAGCGAGATACACAGGGCCATTGTATGCACACCACACGCAATGTAGGGCTGATGGTGATTGTTACATTGAGTGATTTATTCACCAGTAACATATAAACTGAGTTTTACACATCCGAACACTGTAATGGGAAAATAATATGTGACCCTTTTAAATGCTTCATTTGTATAACCAGTTTATTAGTTGCAAGTGCTTAGATGACAAAGGCCCTGACATAAGAACTGATGTCTCCCACTTGGATTAGATGGTTCCAGCGTCATAGCTGTAGAGATTGAACAAAGTGTTTGTTAAGGATAAGATGTTCCCAGTACCCTGGCTGTAGATACTCAACAAGATGGTCAAAGGTTTCTGTTGACGCCACCAATATCTAAACTTAGGTATAAGAACTGCCTCGATGTGTTGGGGGAAAAAGGAGGTTCTTGACAGTCTACTGACCACGTAGCTGTTGTGACCCGTTTTCCCTTACAAGGAAATAAACAGAGAAAAGACATACTTGACTCAGAGCCTTTGTTTCTTACTTAACGATTGTCTGTGCAAAATCTTCCACCACAACACTCACAGAGGTTCCCCTTTATCCTGTCCAGATAGACAGACAGTGATGTTACACTTTTTATTATGCTATGCCATTTTTGGAGCAGAGGCCAAAAAAGACGGCTATGATGGTGAGGCAACAACAGGTCAATGGAGGGCACGAGTCCCTGATGTTGAGATTAAGATTAGGCCTTAGACTGGCTGACAATAATGCAGCATGGCCTTGTCACTGCGTTCCTTGTATGTTGCTTTCCAAATATCATTGTGTTGTGACAGAGATGGTGGACTAAGACTTTTACAAATATTGCACAAGTCTAGACTTTGGCCAATTTCCGTAAGAGGAATTGATCATTAATCATATTCGATTTTAACGATTTTAACGAGAAACTTCAGATCCCACAAATTGCCTTCCACATTGGGGGTGTGCGTAAACACCCTGGTTTAAACCCGCTAGAGGCTCAGTTTGATGCAATAGTTAGACAGTAATCATTACACAGAACAAATTCAAAGGCAAAGCAAATAAGAGGTTGAAATAAAGAATAAACAAAGCCAAAGTTCAGTTGCTCTGATCAGACTTATAAAAATGACTTTTTCACTCTGTCCAACCTGCACGCTGGAATTAAAAAAAAAGACTGGAACATCAGTTGAGGGTTACGACTGTAATTGTACATTCTTTAGAAATGAGGAGTGTGCTTTGTGCGTGAGCACGGATTGATTATATTTGGCTGACAGTCTATAATCAGCGAAATCTGATTCGAAGCACAGAATATATGAGCATATTTAATTCATAGCTGACAAAATCATTTTTCAAGGCCTTTAGAGCAGGGATTCCCAAAGTGTGGTGCCCCCAGGGGTGCGCGAGCTGCGACCAGGGGGTGCGCGAGAGGAAAAATATAATGGCGGTCAGTTTTTTTGAGTGGGATTTTTCCATTGACATATATAAAAGGATTTTCCACACAATAAAAAAGCATGAAAGTAAGTAAACATTTCCTTTGTGATCTCTGTGTACTGCTGCACACAGAGGTGCGTTGGCTGTCCCACGGCAAAGTGCTGACAAGGCTCTTTGAACTCTTGCACGAATTGCAGCAGTTTTTTGAGGAGAATCCGTTTGATTTGGCCTCCAGTATGCATGACAAAGATTTTCTGAAAAGGCTCGCCTATGTAGCGGACATCTTCTCAGCTCTGAATGAACTCAATCTAAGTCTGCAGGGAGTCAGTGTAACTGTGTTCAACACACAAGACAGGGTTGAGGCCATGATAAAGAAGCTATGGTTCGGGGCAAGTTGTGTGAGTGGGAACACACACCTGTGTTTCCCTACGCTTCGCGAGTTCTTGGGGGAAAATGACGTGCACCTGGGTGAGCATGTAAAAACTCTCATAATTGAACACCTCAACCAACTCGCCGAGCAGCTACGGAAACACTTTCCACCTATGGACACATCTGCCGCTTGGATTCGCAATCCATTTGAAGTTTCCCTGCCCGTCCCACAGCTGTCATTTCTCTCTCTCTCTCTCTCTCTCTCTCTCTCTCTCTCTGCAGGCTGAGCGACTTTTGCGCTAGACTTGAAAAGTTCCAGATGGATCCTCTTTTATCGTCTTTTAATTTATCTTATGTTTGAGCCGCTCTTTGTTACTTAATTATGTTGTGGATCGTGTGTAGGCTAATTTTATTGTCGCACTTATCTATTTCAGGGGGCTATTGTTTTTAATGTTGTGGATCGTTTGTAATTCATTGCAGTTTAATTCAGCCTGTGTTGATGTTGTTATTGTCATGCGTGTTGTGGTTATTTGCGCATGTTTAAACATGAGTCTCTATATGACGATAAAACAAAGTTTCGTTGCGTTTTTTTTTAAGTGTGAATTGGGGGTGCACCAACCCGGTTGGGACATTGAAGGGGGTGCGCAGGAAAAAAAGTTTGGGAACCGCTGCTTTAGAGCATCATGTCTATACGATGTATAAACCCAATGAACAATGCTGCCCTTTCATACTTTTCTCTTAGTTCACAATGATGCGTGCAGCCGTCGGTATCTGGATCTTATCAGCAGTGATCTGCGTGGGGAGAGGCCATCACTCTGATCATGGCAACCATAGTCACCGTGGTCGACCAGATCAAGACACTGCACCAGACGGCCGTGCCAACAGCTTCCTTCAGGTGACTTCAGCAAACAAAGACTTTGCCTACCGTCTGTACAGGAAATTGGCAGCTCATGCCGACTCTAAAGGCAAGAATATCTTCTTCTCCCCGAGTAGTGTTTCCGTCGCCTTGGCTGCCCACCATCAGATTGTTAGGGGCCTGGGTTTCAATGACTCCTTACTGACGCAGACAGATAGATCCTGTAGATCAGTCCTTCCAAAAGCTCCTTAAAAAGACCAATGACACATCTCAGGACATCAGTGAAGGGACTGCTGTATTTGTGGACAACTAATTCAAGGTGAAGCCCGACTTCCTGGAGACCTTGATGCAGTCTTTCCTTGCAGATGGGTTCAACGTTGATTTCACCCAGACCACAGATAGTGCCAATACCATCAATAAGTACGTGGAGGATAAGACAATGGGAAGATAGACAAGCTGGTCGAGGATCTGGATTCAAGCACAGTCATGTATCTCACCAGCTACATCCACTACAAATGTAAAACGTCAACTGAGATGAGATGTTGCTTTTTGACTAATGTTGGGTCCACACATTTACGTTTTATGTTATATTTTATCCCTACTCATGATCAAATCATAAACAAACAGGGAAGTGGGCAACTCCATTCGATCCAAAACTCACCAGGAAAGACATGTTCATGGTGGATCTGAGCACCAAGGCTCAAAGTTGCATCACTTATTCACAATGATTCAGATTAATAGAGTATCATCATACTTCTTTTTCAACTATGAGAAGTTGGAAAAGTTTAAACTGCTTTTTTTTCAGGTTCCAGTCCAGATGATGTATAAGAACAGGCGTTTCGATACCTATTTCGACAGGGCAATTAAAACATCAGTCCTGCACCTTCCCTTCAACAGCTCTTACTCCATGCTGCTGTTGTTACCTGATGACATGTCAACTCTGGAGAATGCCATTTGTCCGGCACACGTCACCAAATAGTTCAAGAGGATGACGTCCAGATTGGGAGATTTAACTTGTGTTTTATTTCCAAAAAAGAAGGTCTGACACCATATTAGCAACTCAACTTTTTCCAGGTCAGTTATTACTGTCAGATTCATTGCTAGATATTGGTCGACTTCTTTTTTTTTAGTAAACATGGTTTACGCCAAATGGTTTAAGTGGATGACGTCCAGGTCCTCGAGAATTCAACTTTTCGATTTTTCACCTTCAACCGCTCATCTGGGTCTCGTCGGGTCACTGGGGTTAAAGCTCCAGCAGGGGATCCCAAACTTTTTACATTTTTCATTTCTGAAATAGAAGGTTTGAAACTGTAATAGAACTCAGCTTTGTCCAGTTACTGTAAATCATATGTGTCCATTTCCTATTTTTTTATGTTGTATATTTTCCAAAGTTCTCCATCAAGACTTCCAACACATTGAATGATGTGTTGATGGAAATGGGAATGACGCACATGTTTGGTGAACGTGCGGATTTGAGTGGCATTTCAGATGGGAACCAACTCTCAATCTCGGAAGTAAGGACAGAAAGACACTTTTATTTGACACTAATTTTCTCCTTATCTGTATGCCTTGGATCTCTCATCTCACACATCTTTCTTTATGCCGTAGGTTGTTCACCAAGCTACCCTGGATGTCGATGAGGCCGGAGCCACCGCTGCAGCCGCCACTGGCGTTGGCTTTATTAAACAGTCCTTCCACCAAATCCCTGTCTTGAAGTTCAATCGTCCATTCATGGTTATGATCACTGAACGCAACACAGATAAAGTGCTCTTCATGGGAAAGATTATTAACCCAAACCTCTGATGGAACAGGCATTTAATGTTTGCTTGGGGTTTGCTGTTGAATCACATATAAAATACTGAGAAAATCAATGAACGCATTACAAAACAAATGCTTTTCATGGGCAAGATTATAAACCCAAACATCTGATAGAACAGGTATTTTATGTTTGCTCAGGCGTAGCTGTTGAGTCACATATAAAGTACAGAGCACATTAAAACTATTTCTTTGTTCTCCTTTTTATGATTGAGTGTTTGTTCTTCATACTATAGGGTAAAATAATCAATAAATAAAATGTATTCAAGAAAATGTGGTATTTGTATAACAAACGTAATAAAAGCAGTGTCTAGAAAATGTATCTAATGTATTGTCTTTGTAGCAGATTTTTATATAATTTGAAAAGTTAAACAAAATGTGTCCCTTTTGACCTCAAAAGTATGTTTTCAAAAATATGTTTTCTGAACCAATGACAAGAGAGAGGGACTCCTCGTAGGTACTTTATTTAGTGGGGTTTATCATTCCATGTGTTATATTCGCCTACATAACGCTATGCTGTTCATCTGACGTTAGGGAGCAGCAGCCCGCCTTCCGGAACCCGCTCTGCTGGAATTAACCGTTTCCACGAAGAAGAAGACGCTGTGACGCGTTTTGATTGGTCGGCTGTTAGTTCGTCTCCGTCATGGCCGAAACAACTGGAGAAGAACCGCCAGCTAGCCCGTATTTTAACAAAGAGAGAATGAAACATAGCCCCGAGGAGGAGGCCAGGCTCGAAAGACAGCATTTCTGGAGAATAATCGATGCTTTTAGATTTTACAGGTATATCGGTGAAGGTTAAAATACTGTACAAGGGAGGTAACGAAAGGTTCTGTCAATAAACGATGTGGTTAGCAAGTGACAATAGCTAAGGACGGATGAGTAGGTTTGGAGGGGAAGCTACTAACTTAGATGATTCATTTAAACATCGATCGGTGCTTCCCAACGTGATTTTACTTGTATTTGTTCAGCTGTCTTTAGCATTCACTTCCTTCATTTGTTTTTAACTTCAGTTCCCCTCATTTCATAGCACCTCAAGATAAAACCAACAAAGGGGAGGAATATTGTGACGTAGCAATTGCCCGTGAAGGATAACGAGTAAATAACACATGAACTATTTGGACCCCAAACTCATTATTCGGTCTTATACCCAGTTTCTCCTCAGACGAATAGGTTATTCCTAAGGGGACACCTTAAATAATAGTGTGTGAACTCTTTTCTCTGACATGTGTCTTGTCTTCACGTCAGGGTCCACGTCCAGGAGCAGGTGAAGCGTGCCGAGCGACAGTTCTTGAGCCTCCCGGAGCGCCACCAAGAGTTACTGCCAGATGTTTTGTCCAATCTGGCCCAGATCAGCCAGTGTGCGGACCACAACCAGGAGATCCTGCAGGGCATCGTTCACAACAGCCTCCACATGTTTGAGAACATTGAATACGGCGAGAGGGTAAGGCCTACGCCAGCTGGTCTGCTGTACAAAAACAGTTGGCATAGTTTATTATTTGCTCAAGAAATTTAGGTAAAAGTGTTTTCATTCAACTTGCAGGAGGATCCGCGGAAGGTGGGACCATCTACTACGTTTGATATGGACAAGCTTAAGTCCACCATAAAGCAGTTTGTCAGAGACTGGAGCGAGACTGGTCGGGCAGAAAGAGACACCTGCTACCTGCCCATCATCCAAGAGATCCAAAGACTATTTCCAGATGATCAATAGTAGGAAGCACATATCCCCACTTACAGACTAACATAGAGCCACCTGCATGCATGCTAAGACAGTGAGATATGTGGACACCCAATGATGCAAGGACACACTTTCTCCTTGTGCTACGGTTTCAGAACAATGTGACTTATTATATGTTTTCCATGTGATATGTGCATTTTGAATATTTTATTATGTCAGTGATGTGTCTAAGGTGAGCGTGCTGATTCCGGGTGCCGGGCTTGGCCGCCTAGCCTGGGAGATAGCACGACTGGGCTATATATGCCAGGGAAACGAATGGAGCTTCTTCATGCTCTTCTCTTCAAACTTTGTTCTCAATAGGTACAGCATTTACACTGCAACTATCACTCCTTTGACTCCTGCTGCCTTACACAACACAACACTTAAGGACTATTGCCTTTCTATGCAGGTGTGTTTGCTTGCAGAAGGCGTAACTGTATATTAATCAAACATAATTATATGTCACGAAGCTGGTTCAATGATTACAATTTATTTCTTTTTAGCAATCAATTCTCACCTTTTGCTATTCTGATGACCACTTCCATTTGTCCTCATCCCTTTTGACTGCTTCATTCAGGTGTGAAACGGTGAACTCGCTGACCCTGTACCCGTGGATCCACCAGTTTAGCAACAACAAGAAATCCTCCGACCAAACGCGACCAATCATATTCCCCGATGTCAACCCCCAGAGCTTACCTTTAGATGCAGACTTCTCCATGGTAGCAGGAGACTTTGTGGAGGTCTACAGTGAACCAGGTCAGTTGAAGCTGCGTTGATGTTCATTTAAAAGAAGGGATTTTAGTCACACTATGTTCTTTCAGGCACAGTTTACTGCCCTTATATATAATGCCCTTAGTAAGCTCCACAAAACAACTGTACTTCTTCATCCATTTCATAAGAGCCAATGACTCCAAATATATTGGACCATTCTAATGTGAATGTGCTGTTAATGGTGAATTATTAATCATTGGATAATTGTGTTCCTCGTCAACATTAGTGATCATGTAATAATGCATTGCATTTTTGGGTCAGATTCCTGGGACTGTGTGGCTACCTGCTTCTTTATTGACACAGCTCATAACGTCATCGAGTATGTGGAGACTATCTGGAAGATTCTCAAACCTGGTGGAGTGTGGATCAACTTGGGTGAGTTAGCCTTTGATTAAATATCCAAATGAGTAAATAAATATTTAAACATTTACAAAGGGAGATATCCAAATATGCTATATATTAGAAGAAATACATCCTATTAACACTGATTGTTGCATTATTGTCTGTATAAGTAGCTTAAAGTTTAAAACCATGTTCCTTCAGGTCCACTGCTGTACCACTTTGAGAACATGGCCAACGAGCTGTCTGTTGAACTTAGCTATGAAGACATTAGGACAGCAATTGTTAACATTGGCTTCCATATAGAGGTAATTTAAGGACTTAAATTTCTATTCATGTCTCACCATTATTTGTCTTTAGAAATCATTTTCCAGATGTAAAAGAGCCTTTATTTCTCTTTTGCAGGTGGAGAAAACTTCCGTTCAGACCACCTACACAGAGAACGACCGCTCTATGTTGAGGTACATTTACGACTGCATCTTCTTTGTGGCACGAAAACCTGCAAACCTTTACTTTAACGGTCAAGAAGAAGAAGAAGAAGATTACGATGACCAACAACAGAGCTCTCCACCGGCCGCAAAGTCACCACGGCGAGAAGCTACAGACTACCTCACGTGACAGGAAATCCTTCGAAAAAAACAGTGAACTTAGTGGCAAAGACGGACAAGAGGAATAAAATAAAGTGGACCCAAAAAGAAAAAAATCAGTGCACAAACATTTTATGTCATCTATATTTTTAAGACGTGTATCATGGAGGAATATGCTAAACTCTGCAAGCCCTTTTTAATGTGTAACACAAGGATAAACAACTCTTCTTGAGATACGTCCGTTACCCTCGATTGCTATTTTGTTTCAGTGCTTTGTGTGTCCACTGCTTTTTACCGCCGTCCTGCCTGCTTGACTCCTGTGGTCTTAAACACCTTCTCATTTCCATTGAATTTCACTGCCCGAGAGAGAGCGTGTATGTGCGTGCGCGTGCATGATAGCACAGCTAATCTGCGTGATAAGCTTTTTAAAATGTTGTTATATATTGTCAATAATCATGTCTTCTCATTTGCATTAATCATTGGTAAATACTGAAAATGTAATCATACTATGTTTAAGCTTTTCAAGAATGCATTGTTTTTAAGTTGCAGATGGCTTTTGTCGTCTTCTGATTTCTAATCACCCTTTGGAATAAAGCCAAACATTAATAACATCTCCAGTTTTGTTCATAACAGCACTTTAACGCAGCTTAAGGACGGATGTATTTATTTCAGATAAATAGATGTTTTGTTTGAGTTACATGCTTGCTTATAAATTAAGAGGTAAGTTACAGGCGTTAAAAGAAACGATGTATCGGTGAAGAGTGACAACTTAATAAAGTCATTGAGAGTGAAATAAACGACTAAATATAAAGGTGAAGCCAATGTTGAATTCTTCTGAATTTTCCTTCTTTCTGATGACCAGCAGTTATTTTCCTCTGCTCATGTGAATGGGCCTGATGGAGGGAAGGGATGTGAGGTAAAGGACAGGTATGCATCCTCTATGGCCTCATAGATGCAGGGCATGGCTTTGAGGTCTGGGTCATTTTATCCCTTCTATTATCTGAAATCATAATTTTTGCTTTATGTGCCACTGAGCAACTTTTAATGGAATGAACAGAGCAGCCTGGGGAGAGTATTTACATATTTACATTTAAAACAAAAACGCATTAAAGGATAATTCTAACACGTGTTAGACTAAATATGTACAGTGGTCAGCTGACAAAATATATCCCCCCCACCACAATGTTATTCATATGCAGCTCTAGAGTGGAATCTGAAACAATGTGTCCTCCCTTGACTACTTTATTCTTGTGACTGGTTTTGTCTTCTGAGCTTTGGGGATGGCACCGATAACGTGGGCGGGGTTAGACGGCGGCGCTCTCTGATTGGTTGTCCGTACCGCCCCCAACACACGTACTACCGGGATTGAAACCACCGAACGCATCTTTGCACAACATCGGCAGTAAAAAAGCATCTAACGTAATATCGACCCTATCAGAGCCCGCACGTGTTGTTGTTGTTGTTGTTGTTTTTACTCATTGCGGTTGAAGTAAACGGTGCGCGGACATTCATGGCGAAGAGACGTGCGCTGCTGCTGCTCGGCGCCCCCTCCAAAAGATGTCACCTCTCTCCCAGCGGTGTGGACCGGCCGCTGGAGAGCATGGCCCCGAGCGGGGGCGCGACTCCGCGGTCCCTTCTGGATCTGATGGGCACCCGCTGCAGAAAGAGGCCCCGCCACCAGGAAGAAGACCCGGAGACGCGCGAAGAAGGAGCCCCCCTCCGCCGCGAGCCCGCCGACTGCGACACGAGGAAGCGGCACGCGGCCAATCTCTTGACTCTGCGCACTTCTGGGAGTTCCCTGCGCCGCCGCAGCTTCAGCGCGCCATCGAGCTCCGAGAAACGACCCCGAGGTGACTGCGCGGGCTCAGAGGCCGTCACCCCGAAAGCTAACGATGAAGTAAGTTATCGGCAACGTAGCGGAAGATTTACTCCGTGCAGCCCAGTGGAGAGAAAGTGACGTGGTGTGATGGCAGTAAGTGTCCACTAGGGGTCACCCGTTACCTGTTATAGAGCCCCTGCCCCCCCCACCACCTGTCTCAGTCAGGAGAATGTGCCTCTGTTTTTGTCCACAGATTGTGGATGCCATCCACGGAAATGTTACTGTATTCATCCCTTCTCTCATTTCTGAACCCTCTCAGGCCCTGAACGGCACTGATGACAGCGCCTACAACTCCTTCCAGTACTGGAGGGCCCCCTTACCCGAGCTCAACCTTTCACTGCTGGAGGATCCTGGCCGTTCCCCAAGCAAAGACGAGCCCGAATACAAAGACTCCTCTTCTGAATACATGGAAACGTGAAGATTGCAGGTGGAAGCCAGTCCGCTCTACTGTGCCCTCGCACGAGCAGTCTAACGTGTCTCGGGAAATATGTGATGCATTTCAGCTGATAGAGACGTTAAAAGCACTTTTAGGGTGCTTAAAACGTATCCAGGAAAGATGCGACCTCTCGATAGACTGCCACGGTAGCCCCGTCTGTGAACCTCGTGCTGGTCTGAGATCTCTCGGTGACTTGGGGGAATCAACACTGAGATCCTCACCGCAGTATGCTGTTCTTTCAGTGGTGACCAAAACCGTGGTGAAATTTTGGTAAACCTCAAGTTGCATAGACCGGTGTAGAATAGTGACTCGTACTTCTTTTCTTTTGCAAATATAGTATTTTATTAATAAATAATATTAATAAAAACAGTTGACGTCATAATCACACTAGAATATCATGTTTTGTGTAACTAGTTTGAAGGTTGTTTATAGGTTCGATGACTGTTATAGATGTTTGATACATTTGTTAAAACACTTTATTAAAGGCCAGCACTTTAATTACATTTTCTTGATTCCCCTCATTACCAGAGCTGATCTTCGCGACCCCCTTTTGGTTATTGACAATACAAAAGTGTTCTCTACTCCCCTGCACATACCCAGCGCAGTCCATGCAAAGTTAGAGACGGGCTTCTTTGTTTGCTTTACAATAGATTTAGTTCTTAAAGTGACGTGCAGTCAGAGTAGGCAAGGTAGGCACTGCCTACTCTACCAACATTTAGTAATGTTGTTAGTAAGAGCAGCTAACACATTGATGCTTTGCTCCACGTGGTTCAACTCTCAAGTCGTTCCGATCTTTCCATTAATATATTTTCTTACATGTTCTCATACGTTGCCGGGATGTAGAACTCACTTAAACAATCGTAATCACTGCAATGGATATGTGATGCGTTTTGAAGTTTTTCAGCAATAGAAAAAACGGAGGCAGACACAGCTGCTGCTGTTAAGTAAACACAAACATCCTGAAATTTCTTGAAATCGACCGTGCGTAACGTTTACTGTTATGACTTGTCAGCCTAAACAACAAACGAGGTAATCTGGCTTTCATGAACTCGGTGCCTTCCCTCTTACTGACATCACCGCACGTCACTGCATACAGATGTGATCCAGCTGTTGGATGAGTTGTGCTTAGTGGCATGCAAGCCCAGCTGTTTTCAGTTAGATGCAGAATTACTGTGGATTCAGAAATGATTCAGACATCTTTGCAAACTATTGTGGCTATGAATTTAGATCCAAATAACTGGCGTTTTGGTCCATCAATCTCCAGTCAATAACTTATAGTATTATGATTAAAGTGAAAACATGTTCATAGAATCTTTTGCAAATGTATTATGGTTCAACGTTCATTTGTCGTCTTTGTACGACAAGGTTACACGACAAAATGCAGCTGCAGTTCCTTTATGTCAAACAAGCACACAAACAAACCAACAAACTAACTAGTCAGTGCATTTCTGTAGTTTCTTTTTTAAGTTTGCATCTGGAGAAATGTAAAGAAATAAAAAATCCAAAAACTTAAATCACTCATTTACATAAGTATACACTACCCTTAATTTAGTACTTTATAGAATCCTCTTTGGCAGAAATGACAGCTTTGGCTCTTCTTTGGGTAAGTCTCTGTAAACTTTGCCACCTGGATTCAGGAGGTTTATGTCGTTCTTTCTGGCACGTCTTCTAGAAAAGCCATCTTCAGGTCTCTCCACAGATGTTCTGTGGGTTTTGAGTCCTGGGACTGGCAGTGGGGGCATTCAAGGCCTCTCCAGGTCTCTTGCTAAATGCTAAGAGCTGAAAGGTGAATCCTAACCAGTCCGTCGGTCCCGCCGCTGAAGACCAGCATGCTTCACTGTGGGCACGTGAAGTCTCTTAGGTTCTCGTCACACCGGGCCAGGAATGCTGCCGAGATCGCCGTCCTTACGGCACGTTCTCCCATCTCTGCAGAGGCCTTCGGAAGCTCTCGCACAGCGACTGTTGGGTTCTCTTGTCACCGTCGGGACTAAGGCTCCCATTTGGCTGGATAACAAACTTCCTCCATTTCACAAGTACTGAGGCAATCCTTCAAAGGTTGGAAATGGATTTATACGTTTCAAAGTTTAAAAAAAAAGGCTGCAAGTGTTCCATTCACAATTAATTATTGGCTTTTAGGGACACAGGACACAGACTTTCAACTGATAAGAAGGCAGCACAGCAATCAGTCTAACGTGCACCATAAAAAAAAAAAAAAGAATAAAAGTTTTATTTAGATATTGCAACGCAACAAGTAGGCACTGGACCAAAAGCTGGAGTCTGAGACTTTTTACGAGAGATTTCAGATTTCTTTCTTTTTCTTGCCTGTTTGCATCATTTGGGGTTAAAGGGTGCCGCTTGATGGGGGGAAATGGCTCTTTCTCTAGGACCACGGTGGAGGACACAACACACGGCGGCTCTGGAGGTGAAAGAGTCTGCGTGAAGAGTTTGTCTGAAGTGAAGGAGGTCATGGACTCCTCGAGGCTGTCCCTGCCCTTTGGACCCGCGGCGGATCAAAGGCGCCTCGTGCTCGATTGGTTCCAGAGGAGAAGGTGTGATTCGCCTCGAGGCACATGTGGACTCTACTGATGAAACACGTCTGTGACTGCAGTTTGCTACCATGGTAAGTTATGTATAACTATATGTTACATCAGCTAAGAGTGCAGCTTGTTTCCATTTGCTCAAGTTATTTATAATGGTTAAAAAACTGTTCATTAAACGTTAATTATTAGCTGTCGTGTTGCAAACAGCTGATGTCAGGAAAGTTTTGATGTGGTTTCAATGTCGGCCGAAGTTAACATATAACCTAATCGACGCTTTCATTTTTTCTGTCTTCATATGAAATCCTTTGTTACACTTAACATTAAATCTAAGGCTGCACAATTCAAGTTTTGATTGGTGTGGATTTGTTTACAAAGGGTCATGATAAGGTACCTCTATTCTATATTTACATTTTATGAAACTAAATATTCTGCGTTAAATCTTTTCATCTGATAGTAGTGAAAACGTCAAATACAAGTTAGCGCCATCGAAAACAACGACTGTGAAGGAAACAAGTTGGTCAAAATATTACGTCCGATTTCTTATGACAGTCTTGATAGAAATGTAGATAAACAATGCAATAGTCTGTCTAAACAAACGTCCAGGCTGCTAATAATGCACATCTCATGCATAGCGACCTCACGGTTTACCACCTGGAATAACATTGCTACCCAGTGGCCATGTATGTAAACATATTTTTATATTCCCTCATAGTGCTAGAAGGTGATTCATGTTTTGTTTTAATAAACGCGGCTTATTGTCATTGAACAGACTGTATTTTTGTATGTATATACATATGTATATTGTACACAAACACAGAGTACACAAACATCGGCTACCCTCGAAAATCTGTTTAGTGTTCACACAGTCTGCTCCCCGGCTCCCTCCCAGCCGTGTGTACTAATCTCAGGAAGGGGATGTGTGTATGTTTCCTACCAACTATTCTCTGCTCAGTAATGCCATTGTCAAATTGTTCTGTTAAACGGACAGCAGGCGCTGGACCGACCTTGAAAGACCAAGCGGAGCATGAAGAAAAGATTTCAATGAGTGTGTGTTAGTTAGTGTTAGTGTTAGTGTTAGACCTCTCATTGGCCGGGTGTTTTTTCATCTTTTTGTGATGGGGAGGGACCTGCAGTCCCAGCAGTTCACTGTGGGTCCTGCATGTTCACTGTGGGCTGCTGCCGGCACGCTAATGAGCTTCACCGGAAAGGTCACTCATCCAATTTCTACGGCAAATAGTGTTGTTTTTCTTGCAGCAAGTTTGACGCGGTTGAGGAGAGATGGTGGTAAGCTGCTCCAGGATCTGTGTACTGTAAGTAAATATTTCCTCTTCTTATTGCAGCCACGGAAGTCTTGGATTGAGGAGTCCTTCTCCAAGAGAGACTGTGTGAAGTTTATCCCGTCATCTCGCGACCTGCATAGGTAACCTGATTGCATTGATGAGCTTCCAGAAAAGTACAAGTTTTTATGATTCTCAGAAGAAATACAAGATGAATTGTTTAGTTTCTCCATACTTTGATATTATCAGCAGTTCAGAGCAAAACTATGTGGCACTCAGCCCTTCCTTCCAGGAATAGAGACCGTGTGGATTCTTTTATAATGTGTTATTTCCTGTTTCTTACAGATGCATTCCCGTATGTCAAGTATGCCAAAACTTGATCAGGTATAGTCTATGAATTGTGTGTTCATGTGCGTCTTCAAACCCTCCTCAAACCGACTGCCTCCCCCTCAACACTCCACCCGCTAGTCCAATGAAGATCTTGTGTTACTTTTCCCCCCTCACACTTTATTTCATCGTTCCCCTTTTTGCTCTTTTATATTTTTCCAGTATCTCACCAGATATAATATTATCAAGCTTAGAAAAGAAGCACTTGTTTAAATTCTCACTAACTGCTTCAATGAAAGTGATAGTGGCAACGCCTTTTTATTTTGTTGCTATCCTATAAATAGAAAATAAACATAATGCACGGAAGTCATCATTGTCAGCAGTGTAGGAGGTTTGTGAGCGGATCGGAGATGTGTGGGAATTTTGTGGGGGTGTAAAGGATGAACACAACCAAACATAAGCCAAAGGACAAAGGGAGGTGAAGAGGAAGGGAGGGAAACAGGAAAGGGAACAAATTGCAGTAGCCTGGTTCAAATAGGCTAGATGAGGCCTTGCAGGTATCTGTGAATGTTGCCTATCAATACTGGCATTTTGTGGTGTTCTCATGGGCAAATACCTACTTCTGATAGCTCGAAGGAGTGACGGGCGACAAAAAAAAGAGAAGTGACGCTGAATCTTTTTCCAGCTCGCACCACCTGCTATAATTACATTACATGATAATAATTTACATTACAATTCAATTAATAGATGTTGTTGTGGCCGCCTGATTATGGAGCACCATTGGCACGAGTCCCTTCCCCCCGTATCCCTCTATCCTGGTCCTGGCCTGGACCCGGAGGAGGACTGGTCCATAGAGCTCCACACCAAAGCCAGTCCCACCAATGCCTACGGGACCATAGACTTCCAGGACACCGCCACGCGTGTATGCCGAGCCAAGGTCTGCCTTTTCTACTACCTCGTCATACTTGGGCAAAGAACACAACTTGTTGTGCGTTCAATTATCGTGCCACTTTTTTTTTATAACTAAGCTCCTATTTCGTATGAAGGATTACTCCCAAAATGAAGGTACATTCTTGCCCAGGATTTGTCGAGCATGATCGCTGTGCAAACAGGCTTTGGCGGTCTGTTATCTAAGATCGTGTCTCCTTCACTGAACAGTCAAACAGTAACTGAGAAAAGCAGAAAATAGCTTCTCAGTCCCCATTGTTTTTCCTCTCCAGTTTGTTCGTGTGGGTGTGCACTCCAAGCCAGAGGTGCTTCTCCAACTCATGTTGAGAGAGTGGCAGATGGAGAGACCCAAGCTGCTGCTGACTGTCCAGGGGGGGTCGGAAAACTTCCCCCTGCCCCTCAAAGTCAAGC